AAATTTTGAACGGTTAAGGTTTTATAAAATAAACTCATTTTTATATATTTTTTTATGTTTGTTTTATTTGCTATTAGTATTTTCTCTATTCAGTATTTTTTGGGGAACGGTTTATAGTCATTTACAGACTTTTTGCGTTAAAATTACAATGACAATAAAAAATGACCATGTCACTTATGGCATAAAATTGTGAAACGCTTATTTCCAAACTCACAGTAAGCCATAATATCAACGTTTCCGTGGAGCCCGATTGCTTTGAGTCGCCATCTTTCGCCGTCATTGCAATTTTAAAATGCAAATCCGTTTTATTGTTTATTGTATTTCAAAAAATACAACTTTTTCAAATTGACAACTTTATAATAGTCACCCCTTGTTGAAATCCCAAATACGATAAAATTATAAAAATTGGGTACTTTCATTTAAAACAAACAAGATTTTTAACGATTTTTGCAATTAAATTAAAATAAAATGTTAGTATTTTATAGCACACACACATCACTAAACCAGATCCCCTTCTATAACAAAATCAACAACAACTATATAACATAGACTTTCAGTGGGAGAAATCAATAGATAAACTTAGACCAAGAAACGTCACTTTTAACTCAATCATTGAGTTAATTGAGTTGAATTACATTTCTTCACTTTTTGAATTAGATATTGTTTAAATGACAATAAATAGAAATAATGTGTAGATGAGCTAATAAAGATTGAGTTATATTCATAGATTTTTTAAATAGGTCACTTACTGTAAACTGTTCTTTATACTAACCCCATGTCATTTTATATATATACTTTTATGTGTTACACTTTGAAAGAAGGGATTTTATTATTGCCACGTTAATTAATACCCCCAACTTTCTACAGTCAAAAAATACCAAGAGAATCTACTAAATACAGGAATTTAAAAAGTTTTTAATGTTTTCGTATGTGAAAAATCAAAGCGTACTCGCTTTGTTTTGTTTTAGAGCCCGACCGACATTAGCAAACACAATAATTAAGAGATAAAAATTACTCATTACGCTCGTATTTGATTAGACGCCCGACCGATGACGATGACTCAGCGGCGTGTCTCGTCGGGTCTCGAGCGTGGTCACGCCCCAGCGCTCGTTCAAGGCAAAAAAAAGTAAAAATGACACTTAGACCCTTTTACTACCCTTATGTCACGGATGAAACGGCTTGTCGATCAAAAAGCGCATTGTTTAAATATTTTGCACACAGCCGGACCGTACAAAAGAACGACAATGGATCGCTGTCATTGTCCAGAAGAAGAAAACAAAATTCGCGACACCGTATGGCGCAAAGGGTGATTTTTTGTAAATCAAAAATAAACAGACGGCGACAGATTTTTGATGTCGGGGATGTGTCGCGAAAATTTTTTTTCGACACACGGATTGCATACCTTACAATTAGTTAATCCATACAGTGTTGTCAGGTATAGGAAAAAATCTGGAACGTTCAAGATAACAAGATAATTATCAAATGTTAAGAGGCAGCGGCATTTCCGTAGTATGTTATTGGCCATTAAGCGTTGTCGGTCAATATTAAAATTGAAGAACAGTCTGGACCACATTCGCATAACAAATATACAATATTTGCATATCTGTGCAAGTTTTGTATTCATCGTTTACTGGTATCTCGTATAATTTCAATATAGACGGCCACCCGGGTACCTTTTTCGACACTTTTACTGTGCAATACTCTTTTTATTTTGTAAAACTAAAGATAGTGCTTATAGAACTGAATAATAATAAATTCTCTTTATTCGGTAAACAATATGATAGCACTCGACTTTAGGATTAACGGCTTAGGACGTGAGAACTCAGAGGTTTGGAGCAAAGCAGCCATTTTGGGTCCTTCTGTGGAATATCTTTAGGGCTAAAAAGTTTCTTGACAGTGTGATACTTTTCCATAAAACCAAACAACTAAAAACTAAAATAACATTGTTATAGGTTTTTTTCGTTGATAGTGGTATAGATCATTACAAACCAAACATTTCAGGAACACCCTGTAGTTTATAAATAACTACATTTTTTTACTTTTTCAAAAAACAGTATGCTCTTTTTCTCATGCAATATGCAAGTAGATAACAATTTTCAAAAATTAAAGGCGTAATAATTTAATAATATATCTAATCGGTTTTTGGATCGCCTTTTGATTTATAAAAGAGTTTATTTTCCTTGTTTTGGTAATTTTATTTAATTTATAGTCATCAATTTCTTCGAATAATGACGGAAATTCGAGAGAAGCTATTATAAGTTTTTGCTTGGCAACCGATTTTGAAATATTTGCTGCTTTTAACATTAAAGATGACAGAGAAAGGAAACAGATGGATTTTTTTTGTGGTATACACGTATAAAAATTGAGAAAGAAATTGATACGTCAAAATCTGAAGCCAAGAATCATTAAAAAAAAACATAAGTTTTGTTTTTAACTCAAAAATAGTAAACACATACATCAGAAAGCTATTTTATTTTTTCGATAAGTTTCAGGATAAAGAATATACGAGAGTGACCAAAATGCCATGTAGCGTAAAAACTAAAAATAAACTTATCCTTACGATAAGGAGCAGCTGACACATGGCTAATGTTATTCGTAAGGATTTAAGTAGTTTGGCTCAAAGGTTGTCTAGATTTGAAGGCATCACTTCAACTCCTGATCTTGTGCGATACCGTGACACATTTACGTAATCCCTATACCTTTTCGTTTTCGAATTGCAAAGTTAAAAAAATGACCACCCTGAGTTAAAAGTGGGAATGAAACAAATTGATTTACCTTTTTCCATTAAAAAAGCGTTTCGAGAAAATTACAATTTTTTTAAACTTATTTTTTCATTAAGTCGATACGAAAAACATATATAATCGATTTTCTGATTTGCGCCGGAAACCAGACCGAAATTTTTAATGGGACGTTAATGACGTCCAAACCATCAGCGAGTGTAAACTTGTTGCACGCCCAACGCCAACTTCATCTACATGACCTACGAGATTGAATTTCGATTTCGTATAACATTACACCAGGGTCCCACCATCATGTCCGTGTTAAAATCAACGCTCCAATGAATTTCGTTAGTTTTAGTTAGTATTCAAATTTTCTAAATTTTCATAAAAACCGCCCTCGTCGCGTATGCGGACGTAAAAACGACGGCATAGTCGGATCGCTTCGACATCAATACGAGCGAGCATATCACACACCCTTTCCACGATGCCGATACGAATTTCTGTGTGCCGAAAAGAACGTTCGCATCAAATCGCAGCGAAATGGCGGGAATCATTTTAACGTTTAAGGCTCTTTTTACCGAGCGTTCGCTACGAATATTGACACGAATGAGATTTCTTAAATATGCGCGGCCTCAGGCGACTAGATGCGAAAATATTCGCAAACGCGGAAACGACGACGTTTGGCAACACGGGGCCGACGACGTATCGAACCTCACCCCCGCGCGCCCTAACGCAGCAACTCACCCAAGAGGAGCAGCTTGATGTCCTTGGCCGCCTGGATACCGTCCTCTTTCAGGTTCTTCTCGATCTGCTTGCTCCTGGCCAACGCGGCCCTCTCTTCGGCCGACGAGGTGCACCCCATTTTACACGTAGCCTCCCCACAAAACAACGTCGCGCCGGTTTTCTGCTGACCTGCCCGACCGGGGGAAACAAAAACACTGACGCGCCGCGCGCTGTCTCGCCAGCGGGACGTTCAACAATGGAACGGATAGATCGCGGCGGCCATGTCGATAATAATTATGTCGTCGTCGGAAAACGCACCCGCTCGTTTATTTTTTTTTCTCTTCTCTCTCGCCGTGTGTGGCCTTTGTCGGACTCTCTCTCCGCGATCGGTTTTAAAAACGGCGACCCGGCCCACGACTCTCGCACAACGACACGGTTGCTGTGCGCGATACGCACCGGTTCGATCGTGGGAGAAGCGGCGCGCCTGCGTCGCCCAAAGGAAGCGCGCGTCACGGCGCCGTCAGCCAGCGGCGCTCGGCGGGGTGGGTTCGCGATTCAATCGCATGAAGCGCGGACGAAAATCACCAATAATGCAAATTTAGTTGTCGAGGAGACGGTACGATGGCGCTGCGCTGAAAAACTCGTGTCTCTGTAATTTGAAGATTACGTATGCCCAATCGTAATAGTTTTAATAACGTCCCTATTGAATAATTTCTTAATGCCGTGGAGAAACGAAAAAATCAACGAAAATGAAGCTTTTTTTATCATCACAGTCTAACATTTATCATAAACATAAACGTTGGTGGTCTGTGGCATTCGATCATTTGCGAAACTGTGGATGAATTGCAGTTCTCGTTTTCGGTTTTTGTTAGGATTTTGGTTAGATGTAGATGATTTTAAAATTAATGTACTTGTCAAGTTATTTTGCGGTTATGAATTCAAAAGTTGAGTTTGGAATAACAGACAATTCGATTTTAACGAAACTAATGAAAAGTTAAAGGTGTTAATGGTAAACTGAATTTACTAAAGAAGAAATTTAACTTTTTACTATAAATTTTAAATGGGTGTTAATGCTAATGAATGGTTGCGTGAATCTACCACTATTCTTGAACGTAAATGGTTTTAGGGTTGTGCAATTGACCGGCCATTTTTTTTTGAGTCAATTGACTGAAATAATTTGAAAAATACCATGATATCTATATTTATGTTATGTGTTTCATCGCCGTCGTTCTGGGAACCAAATGGGGTCGATATTATTATTGGGATTCTCCGAATTGCTAAGTATCGTATTCGTAACCCTTTAAGAGGGTTATAGGTAAATTGGACATCACAAACACAATAATTTATTATAAAATACATCTTTTTATTAAAAACTGATATTTGCCGGATGTTATTTCATACATTTTTTCACTAGTCAGTTGACCAGTCCCAACACTAAATGATTTACTTGAGTTGTTGAATTTGCTAAAAAAGTCATTTAACCTTTGACTTCAATTTTTAAATTAATGATAGTGTTACGTGAATCTGCGATAACAATCCTGCTTCAATAAAACCAAATTTCCATTATTATTTTTTTTATTATCGATAAATTATAACATTTTATAATTTATGTACAATTTGCGTCTCTAAAAAAACGGTATATGTCTACATTAAAAATAAAAACACCTTACACAATAACTCTTTAATAATTTGTTAAAAAACGCCCAAAAACGAAAACGGAAATCAAAACGAAACCTGGACAAATAATAATATAACTCTCTGTTTTATAATTTTCTTGTCGTCCGCGCTTACGCGTTTTCTTATGTACAAACATAAAAAAATTATCTCCTATTTACACGTGTTTATTGAAGTCGCAATGAATTATTAAAAAAAAAAAACAATAAACAATCAAAATTAAAGCCGAACAAGAAATGACCCCCGTGTTTCTACTTAAGATTTTATCACATTATTGACAGCATTTTCCTTTTACACGAGACCAGCCAAGGTCGACGACTTACCCTCACACCCAAACGTCCCACCCCGAACTCTCCATATATTTGTTACTCCTCACCATCAAAGGTCTCCACTGGCGTCCAAGAAAATTTTAATAGAAATAACAAAACAAATCAAAAAAAAAATGTTTAGTTTGTAAATAGCGTGGATATGTATTTGTGCTAATTCTTTGCATTTTCGAACTATAAAACAATTAGTTAAGGGCAAAACATTTGTTTGATTCCGTCTACGAACACGAATTATAAACCGAATCGAAAATTATTCAATCCTTTCATTATTATTATTTTTCGATTAGCCATAAAAAGCAGAGTGGGCTTTTTTACATAATCTATTTTAAAAATTCGAAGTTCACGAAAACACACAGCTCGACGGACGACACACCTACCACAAAAGCGATACTTACCGAACCCACGAATTCTGCGAAACACCAGAAAAATTATTATAAAAAAAATTCTTTTTGGAGGTTCCCGGTATAATTTGGGTGTAAGCTGCGTCGATGGCATTCTCAACGTGCTATACCACTACATCACCAAGGACGCCCGCGACCGCGCCAACCGACCGGAATACCACCTGCTGGGACGCGACCGCTATCCTACCGGGCTGTGCCCGGTTTAACGGGGACTACGTATCGTGTAAAATGGCAGTCGAGAGCGAATTCATCGGAGGGGCGGATCGCGCCGCGGTGCACGCGGGGGTCACTGCTGCTGCTGTTGCGCCTGCGCCTGATGGTGTTCGAGTACGTCCGAAACGGACGCGAAGGCGCACGAACCCAAGCCCGACGTCGACATCAGGCGGACGAGTTCGTGGGCGTGGGCCATCGCGACCTCTAGCGGCGGCTTTCGTGGTTTATGGTTCGATTCTGCCGGCAGAGAACATAGATAGTACTAACGGTTTTGCGGCTACGGTAAACGAAGTGGCGCTTGATTTTTGGACGAAGACGACAATATTGCACTTTTTTTTAAATAATGACACGCATGTAGCGATTTATGGGAGAAGAATTTCGCAAGCGCGGAATCTAAAGTTTCGTATTGTTTTTACTACTCTTTGATAAAAATTTGCTTCTCGAATATCCGTTTTTCCAATATTTCTGTTGTTTACTAGCACTTACACCAACTTGTCGTGCATAGTGAAATGTCATTAACCAATGAAAGTCCTTCTGTTATAGCCGATATATTTACTATAGCACAAGTTCACATGACCAAACACAAAGTCTGGAAACAAAAGTGCGAAAAATTTGTTTTCCAAAAGCAACTGATATGAAGCAACTGGGCGACCTGTTTATTTATGCGCATTCTAACCGTTATCAGTAACCTCCGGGCAGCCCTTTCAACTTTTTCAGGATTATTTGCTCGCAAACAGTATTTATTCTAATGAAAACTAAGAAGTGTCGATTTTATCGTCACAGAGTAGAATTTTTTTAGGCTGAGAAAAAAATTCGTCCTCGAATCCAGAAATCAAGCGCATTAGATCCGGATAAAACAAAATGGAGCCTCTCCGTCCGAACGATCGATGTCCTATATATTTGAAAATAAAAAGCAGAACGAAAAAAAAAAACACAAAACGCGCTCAACGAAAACTCGAAATTCGAAGGCGGGATATTTGAATATATTATTGTTAACAGATGGTAGTTAGCAAATCGGTTGGGGACACGAAAGCGCACGTGCCGAGGCCCCACGTCGACATCAGGCGGGTTAGTTCGTACGCGTGGCCTGTCGCCATTTCCAGCGACGATTTCGGCAGTTTACTGTACAGTTCTGCGGCAAAAAAAAAGAACGATTTTGCACAATTTTCGTAGGAAACCAACCAAATGATTAGTTACGAAATTGCGAAATAAAATTAACCTAAAAAAAATCAGTTGTGATAAAATAATATGGTACATGTTGCTTCAGTGTTCCAATGAAAAATTATGGTAAACTAAAGACGGAAATTTTTCCAAATGTGGCGCTACAATAGATGGCAATTTAAATTTTCCCAATATTTTTACAGTTGCAGCGACACTGCACGTCCTGCTGGATGGAAACAAACTTCATATTATTTGGTTTAGAGAAACTTCTAAACAGGAATCAAGGTGCCTCCTACCGCCCCACTCACCTAAAATGGCCGAATTTAAGGACGCACACACGGCCTCCCGCTGCGACGGCTCCAATTGCCAACCGACGGGACTCGCCCAAGGATTCGAGTAGGCTAATAAACTAAATGCATCCTGAAACAAAAAACAGCACAATTTTTTATTAAAATTCGAGGGAAAAAATTATCCCAAATTAAAGTATTTCGTCTTTGTTTTTTTACCATTTGAAACTTGACTTTTAAATTAATACAGGAAACATTGCTGTAAGAAATATTGACTTTCTTGATTTTCACTCCTCCCCATACTAAAAAAAAAAACACTTCTTTTTTCTTTCTAAAGTTTTCTTAATAGTTAACTAATACGCTCAATCATTCAAATTAGTCGACTCTGCCATAAAATATACCAAAAGGAGAGTAAAAGTGACTAAAATAAAATGTCAAAAGCAATTTTTCAATTGTAAAATTATTATAACAAAGAACCTAAGAATTTCAAACCACTAAAATCAAAAATTGAGTACTTTGCTTATCTTATTACGACAATCTACGACACCAAATAACATATGGAAGCTTTCAATAGTTCAAACGAATTTAAAGATTGTGGAGCTCGTAAATGGGGAAGGGTATAACAATAATTGAGAACGTAAAATGGCGCAATGAAATGTCAAATCTTTTCGGTTTAAGGCTACTTTCCTTAGAAAGCATATTCAAATTTTTAAATTACTGGACGGCATCAAATAAAAACTCACATTACATTATCCCTAATCCTACTACTCCCACAGTTAATCAAAAACAAGAACTAAACATTTTAATTGATATAAAATTCAGCAACCAATAACTAGAAATGATTACCTATTGGATCGTGGAACTAAAGGTTAGGGTGCATTAAGCGAACAGTCGGACTGATCAGTGTAAGTGAACTGGTTACTTAAAAATTTGGTCATTTTCTTTTAGTGAGAAAAGTCAACTGCTAACAGAAGTCGACAAATAAGATATAATTTATTACTGTTTGCTTCAACCACATAGACCTAACAACCGTATTATAAAGCCAATGCTTAAGCAAAAGCAAAAGCAAAAAACTAAATAAGTAGAATATTTTGTAAAAAAAAAAAACAAAAAACGATTTATCCTATTTGTCGATAAGTACAGGGGTCAATGTCATTAGTCCGACTTTTAATATTTTTTCTATTCCCTATTCTAAAATATACAATTATGCACTAATCACTTATAAATGAGTGTGTCTGAAAAAGTTAACAAATGTGTTGCATACTATACTTTTTACATTTACATTTGTGCAAAACGAGTGACGCAAGTGCAAGTGACGTCAAAATTCCATCAGATTTTCTTAAATCTACCGAAAACGAAGGCATCTAACCCGAGAATAACTAAAATCTAGAGAGTTTGTTATTAAAAAACGACAAAAAAATATTTAACGCAATCTTGATATTTACGTAAAGAAAAAAAAACGGCCTGGCATACTCAAAGGTGTGTTTAATTCTCTTCTACAATCTACAAAGTACAATATATTTTTTTGCAGAATCAAATTTTTCTCTCACATTGACTAAGCCCTAGCGACCAGGCAACAAAACTGAAGAATATCTTTGGCACTCAGGAAAATTTAAAAAATAAGCGAATTTCGCAATCATGAGAATGTAGCTTTACTTTCGATGTTTTAAAGGATATTGGTACAAAACATCGTACTTATCTATTCATCATATTAGGAACCTAGTCAATTTTCATCAAAATTAGGCAAGTAACAATACAACATTTGATACTTGGCCCCTTTTTTTTCTGTATTGTACTTGGCATATTTATACATTTTAGAACAAAACACTACTTTCTGTTTAAATGTTTATAGCGGTGTAAATATGAATATTTTGCGCTCAAATTTTTTTATCGTTTTCGTTTCATAACATTGACCCGTGTATTTGACGAATAGGATAATTTTTTTGTGCGCCATCTAGCGAGAATCCAAGAGAAAACTTTGACCAAAACCTGACGCTCTTGTGACATAAAATGTGAATCCATTAGAAAAATGGGCGTTTCTATTTAAAAATTTAATGTTGCTGCCTCTACCCACAACCAGAGGGTTAGAGGAGGGGGTGGGGGTCATGTTTGCTGTTATATGAACAGTTTTTTTTTCATTCAAAATTTAAAATCATTCTTTTGGTTTTTGATCATTTGTGTTATTCTCGAGATACTTGGCCATTTGGATACTTTCTGGATATTATTAGTCCCGCATGACGGCCTTACCTCCAACATTTGTCGATTCGTCTCTTTCGTACTTTTGTCCGCGGGCAGTCTCTGGCTCATACTGTAGAGTTCCCTGCCAAACTCCAGTATTCGTTCCACCGCCGGTTTAACGCACGATGACTTGTGGCAAGCCATGTCAACGTCTGCAACAAACGGGTCAGCTTAGAGTCGCCGATAGTCGAAAAAAGAGCCCCGCCCCCTCGTACCCATCTCGTCATCGCAGGCACCGACACCCACGTCGTCGTATTCGTTGTCGTCGCGACGGTTACCGTTCCGATACCCGTTCAGCGACGACTCTTTACCGTTGGCGCATGCGCCATGGTGACCGTTTTGTACTTCCTCTGACGTGTCCATTTCGATGTCGCTGTCGTCGCCGCCGATAATGGCGGGCGCGCGGTTACCGTTTCGAGCCGCGTTCGTCATATTCATCTGTTCGACCTGTTCGAAAAACGGACAATTGCAAAACCCATTCGCCGATAAATCGAAATATAAGGAGCGTTTCGCAAATCAGGGCAAGAAATAAATAAGGTAATGCAGGAGGGCATTTCAAGTCAAATTCGTATAAGAAATAAGGATCAAAGCTCGGAGAGTATTAATATTATTTATTTATTCATTTATAATTGCATGTTCTTTTAATAGTTTCATTACTTTAATTTAGTCATTTTTCTATTATTTTGACATTTTTAAATTATTTTAATTTCGCGGTACGTTTTGAGGCCTATACGCAAATACAAAGTGCAAGTTCGCTCATGATTTTCGCTCTTCACTGTGGCGGTCGTTTCGATAGACTTTATTTTAGTGACTATAATTAACAATTATCTGTTAGTGGCAATTTAGATTGTTCCAAACGCCTCAGCCGGCCGGCTCCCCACATAATCCGGGACTATAAGTGCAATCAAACACACAGTAAGGTAAGGCCTCAATTCGACGTTTTCCTATAAATTATATAGTCCACTTTTCGCCTATTGTTGAGTTCGTCATTTAACACAGGCCATTCAATAGGCAGACGCAACTACCCAATTACAGAATGGCACAATAAAGATAGAGATACCATTTAACAAAATCGGAAAATTCAGCAATAAATTTCTTATCTCTACAATGAAAGGAAAGGTCAGATTTTAATTAAAATATAACTACGAGCTAAAGAATTTTATATACGTTTGTTTTAAATAAACTTAAATTAAACATATCGATATCTATTCCGTTTAGACAAAACACAATTATTATAAGTCCGAGCACATCTTATTATAGTAGAGTTAGAAAAGTAATTTGACCCTAAAGCGCTCAATACAAAACGTCAGCCTCGTTCGCACCTGACATGGATTAGCGTTAAGGCTCCAGTTATTTATACAAAAAGAAGCATCCACAAGGTTATTTACAACTTTGTCAAGAAAAGCAATATCAAAACAGTTTCTTCGAGTTTCAAGCGACTTCAAATTGCAAAATTTTAAGTTTTCTTCGTAAGAGCGAAAGTGCCGATCTCTGTGGTATCTAAAAGTTTAAGATGTTAAAAAGTTTTTTTTTTGGTATGCTTTCTGATGATATATTTACTATAAATAGGATTCCAAACTGTCTACTTGTACATACCTTATCAAGCTATTATACATGATTATTATTGACTGATGCTTGTTGAATCCTTTGGTAGTTCTCAAAATGAAGCCTAGATTTCTCACACATTTTTGACAATAGTTTCGATATGGGCCTTAAAGTTTAACTGTGAGTCAAGAACAATTCCCAAGTCTCTTACTCGCTTAATTCTTTTCACTATTATTATACAAAAGTAGAACGATTGCAAGATGCTCGCTAACTGCTAAAATTAAAGCAAACATTTCTTTTTTTTATTGTTTTAAACGCTGCACTATTCACCATTCACTAGATAAGTATTTTTTTCTAGTTCCAGGATGCCCGTTTATCGTTTATTTATATTTACTTTCTTTTTTCAGTTTTCTTTAAAAATTTAATGGTGCAAAATATTATTCATCCTGGTAAATTGCAATGTTGTTTTTTTTTCGGTTATTTTTAAAAAAGCGGTTAGAAAAAGATAAATTCCAGTAAGAACAGCTGTGCACGTCAAGTATAGTGACTTATGTCTTAGGCTAATATAATTCCTATGTCAATTTACGATATCCAGTAATGAACTAGATAAATATGTGCTGCTATGACCATCACTGCTCTGACTGGACTTTATGAGGTTTGCACTGTGCTATAATACTTTTAAAGGATGTATCGCTCTGTTCATTGGCGGAATACATTTTTTAATTTAAAATTTCAAATTCGCGCAAAACTTATATTTTGACAAATTAATGACACCACTTATATGAAAACGTCAGTCTATTGGCGATTTTACAATTCAATGAGACACCTGGCGAAAAAAATGTTAAACTACTTCGAACGTAAAATTTGAAAAACAAGCGTTGTTTTCGTATGAGCTTTATGTTCGAGTTGTATGATGCGCTGTTTTGAAAGTTTTTGTGATATTGTTCGCGATTTAATCTTTTTATGGATTCTAGGAGTTTTCAACATTAAAGGAAAATCGACTTCAAATCCAAACACGAAACAAGTTGCTTTGGTTAGTTTTGGATTCCACGTTGCAATTTAAATACGACAAAACGGGTTTACATCGTTTACATTTAAAAACATTTAAACATTATGAATACTTTCAATTGGGCATGTTTGTTAGTAACGCCAGCATCGAAGAATAAATTCGCGATGTGGAAGTCGTAACCAAAATCTTAGTTTTTTAGATAGATTGATTCTGAAACCGTGATAATGTACGAGCATTGGGTTAAAAGAATGAAATTGGCATCTGGTATTATGTGAATCTAGTGTCACCGATCTTTTAAAAATAGAGTTAGTTCTTTTTTTTCTCCATTATACATAATACATACAGAGTCTGATTATTTAGTATAGAGTACAGTGACGTAAGCGGCGCAGTGAACCGATTTCGACCCAGGCCTAATTACGTGGCTTCAAGCACAGCCATTTTCTCCCGTTCAGTGCCGACTCGAATTTCTAATTGTGAACTGCATAAAAGTGTTGATATTGTGATAGCGTTTTTAAAAGCTTGTTTTTATTTTATAAAAATACATGACGACTTCGCAATTTTTAAAAGAAATATTATGTTAAATTTTATTTGTCTTATTCTAGTCACTGAAGATACATTTTTATCTGAAGCATTCATTTACCTAAGATGTCCCCTAAAAAAATAGGCAAGAAAGAATTAATAAATCATAGTAAAAGACGACAAATAGTTAACAATGTCTAGCAAATTAACGAAAAAGGAAGCTGAGGAAGGAATAACTATTTCACTCAAAGAGAACAGGTAATTATAATTATACCGCTGCAACAAATTTTTAGGCAATCGAACTGGTTTTTTATATGGCTAGAACTCTGACTGAATTAAATATCAGTTTCAAAATAAAACTACATCCGATTTTTTTTGTCCTGTAACGACTTGGTGAAAAAATATCTTTTATTTGCATTATTTATTATTGTATTACTTACTAAACAAATGAATAAAAACTTAAACAAAAAAAATAATTACTACTGCCTATAATAATAAATTTATTAATTTGGGACTTGTGTTTTATATTTGTATTTAACTCCTTTAATAATATACCTTTTTTAATAGCAAGAATTTATTTATATACATGTAAAATTAAAAAATATTAATAATTAGTTTATCTTATTAACGTCTTAATGTATTCTCTTACGCCTCACGTCGGAAGAGCCACTTACCAATGCTTGAGACACACTTTTCTTTCGGTATAAGTTCGATAAAAGTAGATTCTCTCACTTACGGTCGGTTTGCTGGTCGTCTTGTGACAGAACGCCTTCGTGGACTGAATGACCGATGTCTGGACGGGACTGGCTGCGCGGGGCGAGGCGGCGCTCAGGGGCGGCGTCAGGACGCCACCGCCGCCGCCCCCTGCCAAACCGCATTTCCGGTAGCAGACGTCGATGTCGGACCCGTTGACCATTTCGACGAATTGCCGACACTTGAGCATAAACAAGAGGTTCTGGTTGTTCTCGAGGAGGCCCGGATAGAGTCGGCTGGTTCGTTCGATGGCCTCGCCCATACGGCCGGAGAGGATCAGCTTTAGAATTTCTGCGACGATTCAATTCATTTTCAATCTCGCTTATTTTGTGAGAAACAACCACAACTATTTATGATGTTACAGAAAAAAAAATTATGAAAAAAATTATCCCCTACCCTTGGCACGAAGGTCTGAAAGAGGCTTGGCCGGGAAACCCAGATGACAATAGGGAGCAAATCGAATAGATGGGATATTCTGCACGATAAGGGTACAGAGCTTTATCGACAAAACAATGATTTGATTGATTTGGATCAAGACCATAGAACACAAACAGGGTCAGAGGGGTCACTCTAACCCCACCCGAAACTGTGTACCTCGCTGACAAGAAAATGTTGAATAATTTTTGAAATTTGCTTCAATATCAAAATATGTTCTAAAAAATATCTTTGTATTTATCTTAAAATTGTGACCATGTGATGAAATGTAGTATTTTTTTCGATTTTAGCAAATAGAAGTAAAAACTTTTTTGTCCACTGAATTATTATTGTCTTGTGCTGCGTTTTCACGTAAAAAGTTGCTATAACAGGAATAACATAGAAATAGAGAAATTATTTTCATAAAAAATATTTCAAAAAAATAATTTTATGATAGAGGTTAGTAAACACAATAATACAACTGCATATTTAAAAGCTAACATTAAATATTATACATTATATTAAACGTTATTTTTTAACTTTACATTGACCACACGCATTGTAAAAATTTTGCATGTTTATTTTTGCAGCAACTCGGAAGTCATGCAGGAAATAAAGTCATTCCTATTTTTGCAAGTAAAACATTTGCCGCAATGTGTTTTTTCTCCTTAATGGAATAATAATTTAGAAAGTGAACACCCCTGTGCCCTGTTTAATGTGTTTGTTTTGCATATGTAATATGTTATAATAAAATTGATTAAAAATAAATATAAAATATGTATAAAAATATAAAGTGGGTTCATGCAAAGTAACTTCCAAAACTGATGTTAACATCCAACAATAATCAAACAGCAATGTTGTTAGATTTCGCGATCATATTTACAACTCTGGTAACACTGATACGCTTCTAAAATGTATAATGCTCAAAAAACTTCAAAATTCCATTTAAAACAGATAAATTTGACAACACAGCTGTTAGCATTTTTGAATTCTGCATATTTAAAGAATTTTATTGTTCCAGCTTTGCCAGTTTTGGAGATATTTAAGCGTTCCGCTACTTTTTACTAACCCATATAATAAAACCTGTGACCTACGCAAAATATTTGTATATTTTTCGTCGCCTTGTTTATTTTTACTCAGAAATAATTTTTGAATTATTTTTTCCGCATATACTTACTTTGACGATTTTTAATTGAAAGCATGTCTTCGTTAAATGGCTGGTCAGTGATATGGGCAAACGCCTCGGCAGTGTTGCAATACCCGTGATGAACCAAATACGTCGAGACCATTCTGGAAAAAAAACAACCGGGCTCTCCATCTTGTTCCTCTCAAATTAAGATAAAACTAAGGCAAGGTAGATAATCATTGAATTTCAACAGTATTTTGATTTTCTTTTTAAGTAGCGATTGACTCATAAATTTGTTATTGCATGAAAAATATTTTTTCTATAGTTTCATCTATTATTTGTAAAATTTTTAATTTCTTCAAAGTTTGCTAACCAATAAGCTGTTGCCTAAAAACATATTTAGCATAGCGTTCTTGTAATCTTTATTTAGGACAATTGCTTTGCAATTAAATAAAAAATAACCGAAACATCCATTATGTACTGTGCATTCACTGTGTCTTGATTACATTTTAATTGACTGTAACTTTTTTGTTTTTATAGATATCAAGTTAAACAAAAAAAACACTACCAATTTTCTGACATATAAACATAGGTCATATATTTTTTAATGAATCACTCTGTTTATTATATATGTGTTTAATAGAATATCTTATTCCGATTACAATGATGTAACACACTTTATACTATAGTACAGTCGTTATTGATAAATCGGTAAAAATAGTAAATTTTTATACAATTTCAAAGAGTGCCCTGACTGTTTGACACATTAGCTCATCGTATAGTTAGTATATTACACTTTATCCAGAGCGCCGAGCTCCTTCAAAACAGATATTTCCAAGGCTGCCAATGAAATTTGCTAAAAAAGGTAACGGTAATGCTAAAAAGGTATGCCGGTATCCTAATGTTTTAAATGAAGAAAAGGCAAACATATTAGGATTCTATGAAGCACATCCAGTTTTCTCTATTACTAGAGTATATGTAGAGACAAGTATTTCTCGGGGATCAATCCATCCACTCTGTTTTGAAAGAATATAAATATATTGCATTTAAATTTTGTAAAACCCAAAAACTAACTGCCCAACAATATCAGAGGATGCAATTTTGTTTGAATTTTTTAAATAGACATAATGACAATAATATTTTTTGAAAACCATTTTATGGACTCATGAAAGTTCGTTCACTACAAGAAAGGGTTGTAATAGATAAAATACGCGATATTGGTCTTTAAATAATCCTACACAAATACAAGAAATAAAAACCCAGGGGTACCAATCAATTAATGTGGTCTCATAGATCTGCATATTTTAGGTTCGATATTTATAGATCAAAAGTTAACTGGAGATCATTATTTTCAACTCTTAGAGCACCAAATAGAACAATACAGATTTACCCCTAAATATATCAGCGCTGATTATATGGCCGCAAGACGGTGTCCTTCCCCACAATGTTGTGCAAGTTAAAAAACATGGAATATCCCAATGGTTGGATAGGGAATGGTGGAACTATGGATTGGCCAGCCAACAGTCCCGTCGAAAGTTGTAGAGTGTATGAGAAATGTGTGCAGGAAAATGGTGGTATTTAAATGTATGTAAATAATTATTGTTGTTGCACACAGTCATGGCATTTATAAACTTATAAAAACTTTCTATTTTTGCCAATTTGTCAAAAACGAGTGGATTAAAATAAAAAAATATAAAAAAATAAAATTGATAGTGTTTTGCTACTTTGCTACTAACTCTACATTTTGTTTTTGTGTTTACCTTGATATCTCTAAAAACAAAAAAAAATACAGCCAATTAAAATGTTATCGAGATAAATTGAACGCTGAATTACAAACGCTCTAACTTGTTCAGGATGGCCTGCCACTCGCCCTGAGTGCCCGGCACTGGGAAATCGCAAATTTCCGCTTTGGTGCGGGCACGCAGCTCCCTCATCATGTCCTCAATGTCGAACACGAAGGGATCCTGGCCGAAATTAGCGTCCACAACTTCGCCGGGAGTCTGTAGGCCTACCGTCGGATATAAATCGGGCTGAAAGAAAATCGTCGGATGTTATTTCCATTCCAATGACCTCAACACTTTTTGCACTTTGCCATTGGCATTGGTACATAGATAAGAAGAACATTTTTTGAGCCCTAATTACAAATTAAGCCGGAATTTGAAAATTGCATCGAATAATGTTCTTTTGTTACACACAGCCATTGCATGCATTGCATTATTAATTAATATTATCATTTCTTAATTAATTAATACATTATTTTCTACAATTTTGTTTTTTAATAAATTTTACAATTAATCATTTCTTTTAAAATTGAATTATAATAATCGAATAATGTTCTTTTATTACACACAGCCATTGCATGCATTGCATTATTAATTAATATTATCATTTCTTAATTAATTAATATATTATTTTCTACAATTTTGTTTTTTAATAAATTTTACAATTAATCATTTCTTTTAAAATTGAATTAAATTATTATATTAAATAATTACTTAAAAATTTATTACTCTTCATTAATTTTGATAATTAAATTTATTATATATTAATGAAGTATATAATTAAAGTTAAATTAAATTAACGTTAAATACAATACAATTTGAAAGGTAATATGTGTTAATCCGAACGTTATATCCAGTGGCGTGGTCAGATATTTAAAAAAAGATTGAGAGTTTTCGCAGTGAAAAATATTTTGTAATTTGTCATTTTGTAATATTTACACCAATTGTGATTGCCAGGGAAAATAAAGTTTTTGGAAAAAGAAAATTAAATTTATAAAAATTCAAAAAGAATTGCTAATGGATCACACTTTTCAAGTTTCATTTATATACAATGCAAATCGGAAGACATACTTAATGAAATTTTAAAGTTCACTGATATCGGCAGGTTTTGCAGTTTTTTTCCTAGAAAGAGAAGAATTTTCTTAAATATGAAGAGGTGGAGATTGGATTGATAATTAAATAGGTTCAGATTTTATTTTAAACAGCGAAAAACAACGAACAACAAAACGTTGCCCACCTCTTCATCGTGTTAAAACGTTTCGAGGGTATTTGGGTTATTTCTGGCCATCAGGCAATTAAAGTCTACTTTTAAAAAAATGGACACGCGGCTGGCTATAAACCTAATTTAAATGTGCAACATTACTTGATTGGCAAAGTCCGATTTGTTTATAAACAAGCCTCCACGGCGCACCTTTTAATATTCGTGCGCGACATTGAACGGAATGTTATAAAAATTAATATCCCACTTCGCATGACCATTGTTTATATTTTAACGCGGTCATTTGCATAAATCGTAGACGATTCGGGACCTACATACTTATCTGAAAAGATAACAGCCATATTCTAGATTTTTTATCTAGGTGCGAATATCAAAGATGTGTAACAATTCGCTTGGCCCGGTATTTATTTATAGACTCGAAAAATATTCTCAAAAGTGGAGCGCCATTTTTCATCGCGTCCCACGTGTCACCGTTTTTTAACCTTGAGACAACCTTGGCGGCAATTCCGGAGATGCGGACGCCACTGCAGACTGTAATGTCTTCCGTAGTGTAAAGAAGGGGGTAGATTTATAAACAACTACCCTCGTTTGCCTGGTATACATAGTAACAATGTGAACACAGGTGGCTGGCTGCATCTGTCGTCAGTTTATACAGTTCCTCAAGTGTGTTTAAAATATTTTAAAAATGTAAATCTAAAATTAATTTAATCTGACGTTGAGGATTAAGGCCCCCTAAAAACCTTCACAACATCCAAAAGTATAAATAAATATTTCATTTATACTCGATCCGATCACAAGGACATGAAGTCATCACGGACGCAGACAAAGACGACCGGTTAATGTTTATTTATACATGTATATGGACTTCTGAGAGTTTTGGGCTAAAAATCTACTGTTTTGTGAAGTGACACTGAAATTCCTATTTTGACCAACTTTGAGGATGCGTAAACCCCAACGCTCTGTATAGTTGTTGATCAATTTTCGGCTGATGCATTATATTACAAATAGAGATGTCAAAAAGAAGTTTATCTGCATTGAAGCTACAGGAAACAATTTCCAATGCAACATGGAACAAAAAAAAATCTTCAAAGGTAAAAATATAGACACTCCGTAGATCCGCACTTGTAAACACTTACAGGTAGATCGCTGAAGGCGGTGCCGAGATGATGGCCGTTCTTCGTGTAGAAGCAAGTGTTATCGATGAGGTTTACACCGCAACCTATGACGTCACCGGTGGTGAATGTCGGACCATAGGGTTTGCCGGTACCCGACGAGCAGAACGAGTGACCGTCGTCACCGTGGTACCCGTACGAGTCCTTGTCCCAGCCTGAAGTAAAAGTGACGTTCGATCGCTTCGCCGCTTGAACGTGATGGTGGGCGGGGGCTCACTTACCCGGCAAGCGGTTTAGATTGACCCCGCGCTTGGACAAACCTATGCCCATATAACCGTCGCGACCCTTGCTGACGATTTTCACTTCGAAATAATACAGGCCGCAGGCGGCCGGTATGGGATGGGGCGCCTGGATACTGGCCGCGTCCCGATGCGAGTTGCCGTGCCCTGAAAACGAACGCAAACGGCGATGACGACGCTACGAAAATTTACTTTATTTTCTTCTTCTTCTTCCTTTCAAATCATTGACACATCCATATAGCTAGTAGATAATATAGTGGCCCTACTACGGTAAAAAATGACGCGCCGATATTGCCGCAGAGATGGAAATGATCTTCCAAGCATGCCTTCACCCATTAACCTGCACCTGCACCCACACACTTAACTGTCGAATTGACGAACTGTCAGCGACCATGTTGACTGTTGGACGCCGTTACGTCTAGCTGAAAACGAGATGTCAAATGGCGGCGCATGCGCATATTAAATTAATTATAGTCATCGCTTCAAAAATTTCCGTTTAGGCAAGGCCTCTATATATCTAGTAGCTATATTGATTAATCGTTAAAAACCACTGTAATTTTCAAATAGAGAACAAGATGAAACAGTTGATCCGTTTCCACTCCAAATTATAAATTTTACATAACTTTAGTTTAGGTAAACTAATTTTTCAATATATTTTTTTACTGCCTTAGTAAGTATAATTTAACTTTAAAATAGGCAAAGGTTTTACATGTTTCGTTCGACATATCCTGATCTGAATCTCCAAGAATTTCTATCTTTCCAATCATTATCTGTAACGCCTCTTTCTTTCATGCATTTTGCACATCCCGTTCCCATGAGTGTCCGACTCTTTCTCTTTTCCTTCGGTCTGTAGGATAATAAGTGTCTCCATTGCAATTGTCTCCGAATATCCTAATTATTTCTGTATCTGTATTGATATCTTCCTCTCTGATGCTGATATTTTCTTGAGATTAATGTTTAGACCCCATTTTTGTACTCCTCTGAACATTTATGAAATCTCGTCTGCGTCATTGGCAATAATCACCTGTTTATCAACAAAATGTAAGTGAAAGAGGTAATAGCCATGCCATATCACATTCTATAGATTCTTACAGCTTCCTTGGCATAGAATTTAACTTTAATTTCCATATCTACATATCAAATCCCACAAATTGATCCTTTCCGGTATTCCCTTGAAGTAACATTTCCTCAAGAACTTTTTTGTCTCTCATAAAAAGTACTCCTATATAAGAAAATGGAGTGCCCACCGGAAAAGACGATGAAGTCGATATGTGCACCGATTTGCTAGCGAGTTTGATGGTTGAAGATAAACCACGCTCGCGTTCATTTGCCCTGCTCTATACCGGTGAATCCTGGCTAATTATCTAATAATTTTTCTTTTAGTACGTACCAAGGCCAAGCTCTCCCAAAAATCTTCAGTAGCTGCCCAAAATTATATACATACTCTTACTGCAATAAACACAAGAATTTCCTTATAAATCACCATTGACTTTTGTCAATATAAATAAAATAATGAACAGATATTTAAACCTCGCAGTGTCTTCTGACCTGATAAACCATAGAAGAAATGTATTTCATTATTTCCCAATCCTTATCTTTACCGTAAATAACTTTTGCCAAGTACAAATTTAACTGTTTGAAATCAAAATATACAAGTCGCTGGACCCTAAAAGCCTCTCCCGCTCAGCCGATCTTTGATTTTGATCCCTACACCACTGGGTTATTTATTGGGCTCGGGTTAAAGGCACCGACGGCGATGAACCGCCACGAGGGGCGGGGAGACGACGAGATACGATCCTCATGCGGATCACAGACGGTCGAAGAACCTACGCTTTTGCGACACACGACGGGGATCGAACAGTGGCGGCGGGTCGTCCACCCTTCAGGTTTTTTTTTTCGTCTGCTCAAGCAGCCTCCTCGCCATGTTCTCTCCCCTTGGATACCGAGTTAATGGAATCATAGAGTTGTAATAGAAGTTACTAACTGAACTAGCGAGTGCCTCTAGTCCTTATCGGGGACCCTTTAGGTGTCAATTTTGACACGAAACCGCCATAACGTTTTTAGGTTAAGTTTAAAGCGTTAAAAATAAATGTAATACACAAAAATAACTTTAAACTCGCTGTTTTTAAGTTGAGGGTTTTAAATCTAAAAAGAAGATAGGGAATATGTTCAAAATAACTGTCGCTAACTTTCAAATATCCGTGCGGCAATTTATAATCCCCTGTTTATTTATTATCACGACCCACGCACATATGTAGGTTACAACTCTAAAAATAACGCCAAAGTACCAAAAGGCTCGAGCTGCAGTTTCAAATTATGTTCTTGGATCCACGTGTTCTAATACTTCTCACGCCAAATTAACAAAACTATATTATCCTGCACAAGCAATGCACGAAATTTCTTTCGAATGCTGGCATCAGCAAGCTACCGAGCTAACCGCGAAAATAAATCGCGGATGTAGCTATCCTAATTAGTTCACTTACTGTCGACCACACTTGGCTTTCAACTCATTGACGTTTCTTCTTTCAAATTTGTTACTCAACGTGAATCATCCTGTATACACCGGCGCAACAGTAAAAACTACCCAATCTTCCACGTCCCAGTGGGTATAGAGAAACAATTATATCCACGAGCAAGGTGAAAGTGGAATCGCATCGCGATAATTAACGTTGCGTTATCGAATTGTTATTAACCATAAAGCTGGCGACGGGTTTTATTAATTAATCGCGAAATGCGACAAAGCGAAAGGCAAAGAAGACATGTATTGGGGATGCGTACTCGAAACGAAAAGCAGGGGGATGGCTCTTTGAATGTCAGGCGATCGGCCACAAAAGTTTTGTTTAAAAACGGAGGCATAACTTGTTCGACCCACACGTGACCGGAACCCTCCACGGGTCCATAAAATATTTACCCTAAAATAACTCGCTCCGGAGTTTTGGTGCCCCGAGAAAACGGCACAGCATGCACCTTTTTTTCGAGACGCTTCTACTGTTTCACCTCTCTGATTTTTAACCTCAAAAGTAATGGAATGGCAAATTATCAACAATTCGATTCAATCTACAACAAATAACAGGGCGTGCATCCTAGATGCGACAAGATAATTTCATTTATTGTAAAATGTATTAAAAAAAGATTTTTTATAACATTTTAAAAATTGTTTCAAGAACGCAATGACATAAAATCAACTCGGGTATTCTGCAAAGTCGGCAAAACACTTATCTTCGTTATCGAAAAGGAAGTAAACAAAATAGAGCACCTCTCGCTACGTCACAGAAGTAACCAACTGATTAGCGGAATTTCAATTTTCTTTTCTTCGAAGGACCCAAATCAATAGGCTTAACAATCCTATGGGTAAAATTAAAATTAGAATATACCATTTACCCCTTTCGGACATTGAAATAAATGTGAAAACGAACGACCATGTTGATGTCGTCCAGCTGATTCTGACAAAGTAAATCCAGATCAAGTGATTGTCCCTAACGAGAACTAAAATAATTCCGTCCTCCTAATAAAAACCCCATAAAAATTAAGCACGACGCATGAAAACCGAACGCGTTTGTTCCGTGGTGGACTTTTACGTCGCGGAAAACAAGAATACGCACGACGAAATCGAGCTCATTATCATAACAGTACATATCCGCGCACGTACCTTATTTTATCGAAGATTACTATTTTTCCAAAACGACGGCAGAGCCAGAAGTCAAATCGGGATTATGCGACCTATCGCTTGTGCGCAGAGAATTCAACGAGGCTCGTCGTATTTTTCACACTCACCCGATATCTGCCATACGACCCAACTCACCCCGTGTCATGATCAGCTGATTTCTTTGTTTGATATTGAGAACGGGCTTTTTGCCAGCAAGACACTCGATGACACCCCACAAAAACGGTACCGTCGCGAACCCCGTGCTCGAAATGACCGATCCAGAAACGCAACAAAGATAATGCGCGACGGAATTCGTCCAAACGGACCTTGAAAGCATTTCTTACCTTTATAGTGGACACGTAAATTGCCCTGCGAGAGTCCAATGTAGCCGTATTTTTCTTTGGGACTCCAAGCCCGCGGCAACGGAGTCTTGCTCTCGTTGACTGCCGGATAAAGTCTTTTTAAACGGTCCATCGTGCCATTTTGCGTTTCCTTTTGCTGATCCATCGCACTCCGACCACTGCTCACCGCCGCCATTGCTAAACTCACTCGAATCGGCGATCAGCTTGTCCGACGTTGCCGGATCGCGGCGAATTTTTATTATCGGGAAATATTGATCGGTCAAATCCGAACGATATTTTCTGTCCGTTCTTGTTTTTACATGAAACGGCTTCGAAAAAATGCAAATTATCCAAAGGAGCAGTTGAAATTATCTAATTTTCTTGGACGCACCACCGTGCCCGTTTTTGAACGAGCTGGCAACAGCGTTGTCGGATGATAATTTGGTTCCCCAGAAATGAAATCTACAGATGAGATTTGTCGTTTGCGCCCTCATTTGAAAGATGTCGAATCGCGTTTCGTTTTCAATGGCGCGATATAAACTTAATGATTGTTTTCTGACTTTTTTGGTAACTAATTTGACTAAGAAACGTAGCATAAAAATCGTCTAAAAAGTAACCAAAACTGACCTCTTATTTACGTCAAATTCAAACTCAAGAGTGACCGTTTGATTGGAATTCCAGAATTTTTTTAATAGCACAAAATTTAAATTGTTGCAGCAATGAATAATTTACAAATTAAGAATAAAAAAACAATTATCGACATATTTTATTATTAGAATCAATCCAAATAGTAATAAATAAAACCCATATTTACAAAAACAGCTACTATTAGATAAAATAAATTACAATGAATGACCAACAGACATTCCACTGCATTGTTTTTTTTTTATTTCCAGCCTTACTGTGAAGTTAAGTTTTAATTTCTACCTCATATTTTAAGGCAAAGTATGTAGTTATCCCCTACTTTTTTGAACAGATTTAAACATGTTTATTAGATTATTATATATTATATAATATGGTAAAGAGTGCATAAAACCCCTTTTTTTTATATTTGATGACCTCCAAATAACAAATCTTAATTGATTATTCATACCAAGTAAAAAATACAATATTTCTTTATAAAAATAGACATGTTTTATATTATAAAAAAGGTAATTTGATGTCCAATTGAAATATTTACTAAAAATTAGAGGTTTCCATAAGAAGTAAACATAAAAAACTAACCTACTACCAATTGAAAATTATTGCATAGAAAATTTGTGGTCATTCGTGGCATTTTAACAAGAATTTCAAGTAGTTTTTGGATATCTTAACACTGCATTAAAAAATCAAATCTACATGTTTAAAGTGGTAGAAAAAAGTAGGTAGGTACAGTCCAAAAACAATGACAATTTTCACCATGCTAAGATGGTTCAAATTCTGGGCTTTTTCGGTAGAGACCCAAATGCCGAGATAACAGTACTTTTTGTGCCTGTCGCAGCAGTAGTCAAAGTTGGTGGAGCCACCAATGTTGGAGGCTTAATTGTACTTGCTCCCAAAGCTGGCATGTCCCATTTGCTTTTCCGCTTATTCTTGGCATCCTCTTCATGTTTCTTTGTGCCAGATATAAACTCCACCTTGCCTTTCCTTTCCTTTTCTCTCCTATCCATCTCAGCCTTTTGAACTTTTGCCAGATCCTCATAGAATGACTCTTTGCTCCACTTTAGCGGATCATATATAGAAGGGGGATAATTTGTTCCTAGAAAGAACTATGTATGATAGATTCAAATATTACCAAAATAAATACCAACCAAGCTCATTTAAGTCGCAATATTGAATAAGCTTCTCATATATGCTGGGGTTTCTAAAATCCTTACGCTTTTGTATGACTGCATTCATGTCCATCTGCTGCGATTGCATTTTCTCATACAGCTTGGTGATTTTATCTTGTAATTCTGCTGAACATTGCCCTGCAGGTTCTGGTGGGATTGTAACCCCCTCTTCGATCAATAGCTCTTCATCGGAGTGTTTATCATTGTCATTTACAAATATCACCTTGAACAAACAAATTTGGATATGGATTTCGGCACAACCCATTGGCCCTCACCTGTTGAGGAATATCATCATCAGCTTCTCCCTCATCTGAAGCTATGGTATCATCATGATAAGAAACCAAAGTGGCTATTTTTGTAGTTACAGTTATGGAAGTCACAGTTATGGAGGGGCTAATTGGACGCGATGATGTACCTGATTTATTGTCTGAATTGTCACCTGATGATGATTTCGCATTATCTCCATTACTTTCGTCGTGTTCCTCCTCCTCACCTTCCGAATCTGTGTAAGTAGCAGTTAGAGACGCCAAAGCTGATGTAGACATTCTCGTACACCTCCAATTAGCTTTAGCGAGCTAAACTAATTTCAAAAGAAATCCGAATCTTCCTATATTATCAGTTCAAATCATAGATAAGATGTTTTGGTAATACGAATATGGAAAAATTGTGCCATTAATACAGAACATAACCTCAATTCCTTTTCTAGTTTCTATAGTAAAACTTATTATGCAAATGTGTATAAAATTACATTTATCAAATGTGTTCTAAATACCATCTGCTGAGTGAAAGAGAAAATACCTCTTTCACTAAGTATTGACATCGAAGGATTGAAGCACGTATCAAAGTTAACTCAACTATTACTTGACAATCACTGGATGAATGAATATAAAATACAACCAAATAATTTTTTTCGGATTCTGTGCGTCAATGAAGTATTAAAAAAAAATTGTGCTGGGCGCATGATCTTAGTTATGTTGCCCAGAACGTTGAGTATTTCCAACCGAAACTTATATTGGTAGCTTTTAGAATTTGAAATTCGAGGCCGTTACAGTTATAAAAAATTAAAGGTTAGTTAATTTCATCTAATGTTTTTTAGTATTTTTATTTGGATCGGATTCTGCTAATTTTCGGTTAGTTTTGGACACTTAGTAAATTGCAGTTATTTTGTAGAGCGTGTAAATAGAAAAGTCAATAAACAGAAGCCCCAAGTTTAAATTAATTCTATTTCCCTACAATAACATGTATATAAAGTCGATTGTGATGGAAGGATTTAAATCCTATGGCGAAAGGACAGAAATTACCGGGTTCGATCCGATGTTTAATGCTATTACCGGATTGAATGGTAGTGGAAAATCAAATATCTTGGACGCGATTTGCTTCATATTGGGCATTACAAATCTAAGTCATGTAAATTAATTCTTAATGATCCTATATAATGCAACCTAAACTGCATATTTTTCAGGTTAGAGCAAATAGTCTACAAGACTTAATTTACAAAAGTGGTCACGCTGGCATTAACAAAGCCACCGTGACTATTACATTTGATAATAGCAACCCTACCCAATGCCCCGTAGGTTTCGAAGGTGTTCAGGAAATTATTGTTACGAGGCAAATTGCTCTTGGTGGCAAAAATAAATATTTGATTAATGGCACAAATGTTCCTAACAAGAAAGTATCCGATTTATTCTGTTCAGTTCAATTAAATGTAAATAACCCTCACTTTTTAATTATGCAAGGGAAAATTACCAAAGTATTGAATATGAAACCTCCAGAGGTAAGAAAATATATTTGTGATATATTTTTTGAAAAAAATGTTTTATAGATATTGTCTATGGTTGAGGAAGCGGCGGGAACGCGAATTTATGAAACAAAGAGACATGCAACTCAAAAATTAATAGAAAAAAAAGATTCCAAACTGCTTGAATTTCGTACTGTGAGTAGTCCAGATGGGTTATTGAAACAATATTTCTTATTATTATTATCTATTGCGTTTTAGGTTATCAAAGAAGAACTATCTCCAAAACTGGAGAAACTGAGGGCAGAACGAGAGCAGTATTTAGAGTACCAGCGGACTGAAAGGGAACTAGAGCACATGATGGGTTTATATCAAGTTTGGCAGTATTTTGAAGTAAAACGCAAACTTCTCAATGCCCAAAAGGCTTTAGAGGGCAGTGAGAATGAAGAAATTGTCCTTAAAGAAGAAATCAATAAGAACCTGGAGGTGGTCAAATCTTTGGATTTTGAAATTGAGGAGATTACTAAAAGCAATGAATCAGTAAGTGTGGGGTTTTCCTACTTGCTTTAGGTAAATGGTGTTTATTAGGAATCAGATAACGAGCTGAAAATAGTTGAAGTGCAGCTAAAAGAAGAAGAAAGGAATGAAGCAAAAGTTGATGCTTCTTCAAAATCAATTAAAGATAACATAATGACCGAGGAAAAAAAAAAGAAGCAGCTGGAGAAAAACTTGACTAACAATGAAAAGGCACTAAAACTGAAGGAAGGGGAGTTGAGCCAAGTGAGAGAATATGTATAACATATTGGAGACCATTTATGAATTTTAAATTTTAGGTTCAAGACTTGTTTGAGAATTTAAAAGAGAATGATAGAAAGGATCGTGAGGCCTTTGCCTTGTCTGAGAAGAAATATGAAGCCTTGTGTGCCGGAATGGAAGTGAATGATGAAGGTGAGGCAGAAACATTGGCAGAACAATTAATCAAAGCGAGAGAAGATGCTTCTAGGTGAGAGAAAATGCATATTTTTTAAATCCCTACTAAAACGGGTTGCTTTTTTGAATAATCAAAGTTTTGTCAAAATGGATGTACCACAAGTACCAATTATAGGGCCTTCTTTTATTTAAATTCTACATCAGTGAATTGGAAAATTGAGACATAGGAGGAAGGGTAATTTCTCCTGTGGACAACAATGTTCTTGGCTTTGATAAGACATCTAGGAAGGATGCAGATGTTAAAATGAAAAAGTTTTTAGATTTTTAAATTATCCCTTAATATAAATAAGTCTTTTAAGAAATACTAATTGATACTGGTAGTGGTACTAATTAAAGAAGGAAATGTATTTGACAGTGAAGTTTTACAAAAACCTGAAATTTATTGCTCTATAAAATCCATACATACATCCATCCATACATCCATATATCTTCCTGGTGATGCAGGGGATGTGAAAATTGCAAAATTTTCTGAAAAATTAAATGGAATAATATCACTTTTCTTTCACTCAATATATTATTCCTAGCCTAAAATATGGAGCAAAGAAGTTTTGTTTTCATAAAATTTTTGAAAAATGCTATTAGACCGTATTTGTTATTCTTCTTTAGTCTTTATTCAAGATTTAGATATATAAATATTGCCGGGCATAACAATGAATATAGACAGAATATGCGTAGTGGAAAAACAAATGATTAAAATCAACTTTTTAGTATATATAAAAGACAAATAAATAAATAAAAAATACCAATGAAATTTTTGCTCTGTGTTATCGGGCGTTTTTGTTGTGCTATAAATATTTAAACTTATATGTTTATTTCTTTATAAATTTTATTTTGCGAGAATAGTATATTATGCAACAAGTGCGGTAAACGGCATTTGACTAACTATAATTCATTATAAAAAATGGAACGAAACCGTAAGAACTATGTTTGCATTGTTTTTGTTGCTGACATCTATGGTTAATGATTTTGTTTGTCGATTTTTAAGAATGTTTTCAAATATCAGCAATTCTAATGGCGTTTTTATTTCATCGTAAACGTAATTAGAATATCCCCGCAACTGTGTTTTGATTGAAAACGAATTACCAAAAAAATGTCGAATGTTTGTTGGTTAGGGCGAGCACTGAAAGCAAACAGGCCGCAATGCAGCTGAACTTTTGTCAGAACCGGCTGAGAGACAAAGAGAAAGAGGCAGGGGGCACTTCGTCTGACCACCATAGGGACGAGGTCAATTTAAAAAGGGTTGAGCAGGAAATAACCAACTTGGAGGTACTCATTCGCCTCGCTTCTCCGCCACTCTTCCAAATACTGATCCGACCGATGTTATTTTCAGTCGGCGCTTTCCAAAATCGGCTTCTCGGAAGAGCATATGGCGCAGCTGCAAGAAAAGAGGCGGGTTCTCGGTCAGGAGGTGCGCGGTTTGCGCGACAGCGTCGACAACTTCGATGCGCAACGGCCCTACGCGTCATTCAAGTACCGCGATCCCGAGACTAACTTCGACCGGGCCTGCGTTAAGGGTGTGGTAGGACGGTTAATCACCTGTAAGGACATCATGTACGCTACCGCTTTGGAAACGGCCGCTGGAGGTAGGCTTTACAACGTCATCATAGACACGGAGGTGACCGGGAAAAAACTACTGCAGAGGGGAGACCTGCAGACTAGAACGACCTTCATACCGCTGAACAAGGTCACCTCGCACAAAATGGACCCTGGCACGATCCGTCTGGCCCAGAACTTAGTGAGTGACAACGAAAAAAAATCCAATGTTCCAATTAATTAATTGATTATTAATATTTAATTAATACATCAATGTAAAATTATTTAGTATTATGTTTCTTGAAAGCAACAATTAGTTTTAGTTCCTCATACCTCAGGTGTCTTATTTTACCCCTTATTACGATTTTAATACGATTTTAGTACGATTTTAATTTTTAATTTACATTTATTACCTACTTACCCTTATCAACAGAAGTTTTTTTTAACTTATTAGGGGTGGCGGTGTTCTTTCAAGAAAGCAGTTGTTTTCAATTTCATAAACCTTAAGTTTATTAATTAATTAAAAAATTAATGAATAATTTAAATAATGAATTTGCTAATTAATATGTAATTAGTAATAATTTTTGTATATAAACGTCGGCCGAATTCGTTCAGGTGGGCAAAGAAAATTGCCAACCGGCACTGCAGCTGATAAACTATGACCAGCAACTGGAGCCCGCGATGAACCTCGTCTTCGGTAATGTGTTCGTGTGCAAAAACCTCGATGTCGCTAAGCAGGTGGCGTTCCACAAACATATCATGAGGCGGTGCGTGACTCTGGACGGAGACTCAGTAGATCCTTCCGGTACGCTCAGTGGCGGCGCCAGGCAAAAGGGCGAGCCAATGCTCAAGCAGTTGCAGAACGTTCTGGAATATGAAGTGAGCTTTCTATAGCTGTTTTATTTGGTGTAGTTAAAATAGCCAGAAGTGGTAGCGCTGGAAGCTTAATTTTTGATTTAAAATGTCGCAAAAATTATATCAAATTAATGACGACACCAAGTTCACTCTACTAATTTAGCTAGTTTTATTGGTCGGTTTTTTTTGTTGGTCTCGCATTTGAAATTAGACGTAACTCGAAATTAATGGTGCTATAATTTTTTTACACGAGTTTTTAACCGATTCTAACAAAAGAAAAAATAATGTCCACGACAATCAGTTTATACTATTATTCATACCCCGTATCATTGTTTGAACTACCGCTGTTTGCATTTAAGAATCAACTGAAACTTAAAGAAAGTGAACTGCGCACGATAGAGAACAAAATCAGACAACTGACCGGTGTCCAAGAGCAGTACAATGGTATCAAACAGAAGCTCGAGTTGTCCAGACACGAGCATAACCTAATCAAGCAGCGGTTACTAAACACGAGTTTCCATAGGAGTCAGGAAGAGGTGGCTGGTTTGAAAGCGCAAATAGGTGGGTTGACCGGCTTATAGGCAACCTTGGAATTGACGTAATGGTGAAAAAAAATTCCGCAGATGAACTCCAGGCACGAGTCCAATCCTCTAAAGCGATTGAACAACGTTGCGTCCAGAAAGCGAGAGATCTCGAGGTTAAAATGAAAGACTCTACGGGCTACAGGGAGAAAAAGCTTAAAGAGGCAGAAGCGGAAATGAAGCAGCTCAAGCGACAGGCTGACAAGAGCAAGGAGGAGTGGCGTCAACGCGAACAGGAATACGAGACATTGACCTTGGAAATCGCAGAGCTGAAGAAGAGCATCGAAAACGTCAGGCAAGACCTGCTTGCCTCAGAGGCGGTCCTTGAAAAGCTCCAGGAAGAGTTTGAGGAAGTGACTGCCAGGTCTAAGGAGGTCAAGGTGCGTTTGTTTTTTATTTTCTTCATTTTCATTTTCATTTCACCCTTAAATATTTCATTTGAACATTATATTACATTAATGTTCTAGTTTTTATGGAATTTAATTTTTTATGGTTCTTTTGTTTAAACTTATTACAACTCTAGCGAATTTATTATAGCAATTGTAATTAGTTAATGTCTTAGTTTTTTATTTTTATTTTTTTTTATATTTACTTTAAATTTTAATTAAAATTAAATTAATTGAAATGTGTCTGCAATCATTATCATTTGTTTTTTATATTTCTCACACTTTTTAAAATTTAACCTGCCAGATATTCTCCATTTTTTACATGAGTCTTTTCACATTTTTTGTGTCATAATACTTCTTTTTTCTTGGTATAATTTTTCAACTGGAAAATGTTGACAAGATTGTACGCCTGAATCGTCCTCTTATAGGACAAGGTCAAGGCACTACAAACGGAGGTCAGCAAATTGAAAGCCTCCATTACCGCGAGGAACAGTGAGGCCCAGCAAAAAGTGAAAAAGAGGGACCGCCTATTAGCCAGGAACAACGAGATTGAGCTGGCGATCAAAAAGCATAAGCACAAAATTAATGAACTCAAGAACTCATACCAAAGCACCAAACACAAGGTAAACAGCAGTCGGCGTGAGAAGGCGTCCTTGACTTGCCCACTCCTCTCCCTTTCAGGAACAGGAATATTCGAAGAGAATCGCCAAATATGCGAACTACATGGAGAAGGGCGAGGCATTGTCATCCCAGGAGGGCCACGACCTGGAACGCCGCATTAAGGTAGCGCAGGAAAAAAAACACAAGCTGGGCAGGGTCGTCAATGCACAGGCGCAGACGATGTTCGAGGAAGAATTGAAAGCGGTAAGCGCGATGCGCTTCGGTGAGGTGGCAGAGGTTGACCTATATGTTGCAGTTCAACGAAATGGTGAAGAAACAGGGCATTGTCGAAGTGGATAAGCAGAAGCTGATTAAGATGATCAGCGAGCTCGATCAGAAGAAGAAGAATGCGCTAGAGCTAGCGCACGAACAGGTGTCGAAGGATTTCGGCTCGATTTTCGCTACCTTGCTGCCCGGCGCCAACGCGAAGCTCGTCGCGCCATTCGGCAAAAATATCCTGCAAGGTCTAGAGGTATGTCCCACACAGTAAAGTTAGGTGTGATGTACATTATATCAATGTTGTCGATATATATCTATTTAATATACAGTAGACATACAATACATTTAAAAAGAGCATTCAGTGTATATGACGTTTATCTCGGGCTAAGAAGTACCATGTACCAGATGGTCAATTATAATGCCATCAACGCTGCCCTAAGCAAATTAATTATGATGGCTTCTATCGCCGCTAGAAGGCGTTTTGCGACGTTACAACAAAGAAATTTTTTTTCTCAAAAAAATTAAATGCAACAATATCACGTTTATTGCAACAAGCCACACTAGTGAGAACCGCATTTTGATATCTCTTTAATAACCTATAATATCAGTTAAAGAAATGAAAACAAAATAATGTTGCCATTTTCGGGAATACCTATTTTCAGGATACCTGCGCGTTATTAAATGCTAACATAGTTCTTTTAGGAAGAGTAAAAAAAAATAATATTCTTAAAAATATTATAATTTTTGAAAATTCTAGGTACACCTCTACTGCTTTAATTCCACTCGACCCTTATTCTGCAAAAGAAAAAAAAAACATACTTGGTTATTAAGGTTAAAAATAAATGAAATGAAGTCCTGAATGGAATACAAAAATGAAGCAAAGTACTAGTCCACAAATAATTATTTTATTTTTATGATTTCGTCATGTGCCAGTTTTGACGTTTTTCTCTTCACTGCTTCTGAAAAACAAAGCTGTTTCTATTACAAAAAAACTAACAGAAAGACATTATAATATCGCCAAAGCAATTGTTACAATAACTCTTAATAAATAACTATTTTTCTGTAACAATAATATCATAATTTACAGTATTCGCTTCACATTTACCAGAACTTTTAATGAAATATGTTTATCCACTACATGGTATAAAGCAACCATAAATAATTCCATCCATATAATTAAAGATAAAATTAATGGATCTTTATAACGGCGAGAATTAAGATTACTCATTCTGTGTTACCAAATAATTTACCGTGAATAAACTTAATAATCTACCAAAACACATTAAAAAGCTTCATAAAATGGCAAGGAGTTCTGTTTGGTCCCTTGGTTCTTCGTTCTGAAAATTGTTTATAATATGTTGATGTCTGCATAAAGATGTAGATGGAATATTAAAATGTTAATATTGTGTAGTTATGTTTATCCATAAGATATACCCAATTAGATAATATATATGTCAGAGATCGAAAAAATAAAAATAGAAATATGGAAGAGTATAGACCACCTAATGATAAGGGCGCTTACATATTGTCATATAATATCATATTTATATTTCATGTATTCACAAAGTCCTGTGTAGGGTATTTGTAGTATTTGCTAACGAAGGCACTAAAAGCATGAGACTGCGGGAATTACAAAATTTGCTTTTGTTTACCATTCATGAGGACACTTATACTTAATATAATTTTAACTTCTGCGTAGTCGACATAAGTTAGAAAAGGAAAAGAAATTATCAACAGATTGGTCAGTTTTTAAGAAAGTTTTTTGTTCATGCCTTGGAATATTTTGCGGGAGCTGTAAATAATATTGATACCAAATAATTAGCACTATGTCTTAAAAAGTCCATTTTTATATATTATTTGACACCAGTGTCCTATAATATGTAATAATCACCAGTGCGCCTAAATTTGTTGATATTTTCTTTAACATATTTCAAAAGTATATAATTAAATTAAATGCTACGGAAACATCCCTACGATCAGAATTCTATTGACGTCGAAGATGTCATATCATATTTCCCACGGTGAACGGGAGACATTTATGTAATTCTCCTAACTACCAAAACCAACTCTTTGTTAGAGTTGTTGGCTGTTCCGACGAGTTCCAGCAAAATGTTGATTCCTTTTTGTTATTACTATAAAAATTCTCTCCACACTTTTAAGGTCTTTGATATTTTACCTTAACGGAAAACGGGGGTATCAAACACTCCCACAAGTCAACTCTCTAAAAAAATTATTATATTAAAGTAATACTAATAATTTTTATGTGTTTCACTTATGGGTGAGAAACCAGGTTTCATTATTAAAACTCGATAGTTCTGACATTGTCGTCAAGTCTTATTTTCATAGCCAACTAGTTCGGGATGCAAAGTGGGACGTTTCAGATAAAAGTGTCGTTGGGTAACGTGTGGAAGGACAGTTTGACAGAGCTGAGCGGTGGTCAAAGGTCGCTCGCTGCGTTGTCGCTTGTTCTGGCAATGTTGTTGTTCAAGCCGGCGCCACTGTACATATTGGACGAGGTGGACGCCGCTTTGGACCTCTCCCACACGCAGAACATAGGCAGTATGCTAAGATCTCATTTTAAGAAGTCTCAGGTATTCATATATTTAGGTTTCGGTAAGGAAGGGATAAAGGGAGAGGTGTATCAGTTTGTCATAGTGTCGCTGAAGGACGGTATGTTTAACAACGCGAACGTGCTCTTCAGGACGAAATTCGTGGACGGCGTATCCACAGTTCAACGGACAGAGAATACCAGGAAAGGTTAGGTATTAAATTTTTTTGGAATGTATATAATTTTTAATAAAGCGTGTTTATATTTACCAATCCGTCTTTGGAGCCTTGTTTTTTTTAAATTCTTTACCCGATGCAAGCAAATGAAAAAATAAAAAAAACGGATTTAAATAAAGCGTAAAGTCATCATTGCGTATTAGGTAGGTAACTTGTAAACGGTAAGTGTTTGAAACAGGAATTTTAGGTTAGTTTTGGATAGCATCAGTCATAATCTGTAAGATTTTTCGGGCTGTTAGCCCGTGGTCCATTGGTTTTGCTACCAAAGCTTTCAGCTGCTACTGCGACAGCCATCTTCAGTGGAACGTAGATTGTAGCGCGACAACTGTATCGGTACCGTTGCCGGTTGTCGAAGTCGTACCTGTTGCGAACCGTTCGGACGGACGGCGGACTAAACCGTCGTTTGAGCGTCCGGGCCCCTCTCCGTGTTGTTTGTGCTTTTTGCAGGACGTTATGCCATATTTTGTTTACTTATAACCCCTCTTCACGTTTGTTGAAATTGTTTTTATGTTTGTGTATTTCAATTGCTTCTCGATGTAGTCTTGCGTGGTAATGTTTCTCTGTAGACAGAACTTCGATGTTGTTGAATTTGAAGTTGTGATTGCCATTAGTAAACACGTGTTCTGCCATCGCCGATTTTTCTATTTATCCCAAGCGACAGGATATTTTGTGTTAAGTCAAGCGCGTAGATATGATGCGTTTTGTTGTTCCAATATACACGTGTCCGCATGAACATGGGATTCTGTATACCCCGGCCGAAGACAGCGGTTTTCGGGGATCTTTGGACGATCTTAAGTATTGTTGTATTTGTCCGGTGGGTTTAAAAAAAAAGTAATATAAATAAAGTAAATATTTTGCACTTCTATATTTAAATTGCACGCCAAAGCAAGAACGTTATCTGTTTTTGCAATGATGTATGTTTTGTGGTTAAAGTGAAATGCGCTTTTCCACAAACAGTGCTAATAATAGACATTTAAAAAAAAATAATTTGTGAGTATGGCTTAATATATGTTCATTTTTTTTTGTAATATTTTACTATTTAAATTCGTATATGTCTACTGTTTAAGATACCTAGCCTTACACGAGTTATCTCACTAGCGAAGATCCAAGAATGCTGACCCAGCAGAGTCCTATTTCTACATATAAAAACGTAGTTTAACGGTGTCGACGCAGAGTTCTGTCTAGACATCTTATTGTAACAGACCTTTTTAAAACGGTTGTAAATTTAAATAAAGTTTTTAAAAAAGGCAACGGTCGTCCCGAGTAGTTAATTGGCGTAGTCGTAGTAGGATTTCCAGAAATTGACTAGCGCACCGTGTCGCGACGTCGATTTTTCGTATCATCGATTAATTGGAAATCGGACCTATTGGTGATTAGTGTTTGGCAGAGTGGATTTCTGAAAATTGAAAACCCCAGTTTATCGAAGACCTGTACGGAACACGATCATCGGAAATAAGAAATCATATCGTCTAGTTTCGCAAGGACAAGAATTTTGTGAAGACCAATATCGCCGATTGAAGTCTTGTTCTTATAGAAGGGATGACCAGAACCGCCCCCTACCTAGTACTGTAAGTTGCAATTATTTGTTAATGTCTGAACTTGATGAAATAATTGATAATATTGAAACGTTAGCTATCGATTTAAGTAATAATGCACCTTCAACCAGCTCAGGTCAGAAAAATTATTTCGCAACAAATTTGGAAACTATTTTTGATAAACATAATTTAGAATCAGACAGTCAATTTAGTTAATCTCTTATAAGTATGGTTACTTTTAAATCTGAATATCTCAACTGCGTCCCAGAATTCGATGGGAACCCAAACGATTTATCTAGATACCTAACTATTTGTCAAACTTTTATTGATAAATTTTATAATGTTAGAGAACCTAACTCTTTCGAAAATATTTACTTGTTGAATTGTCTAATTAGTAAATTGAAAGGAAATGCAAAAGTCGTGATCAATCTTCAAACATCCAGTACTTGGAATGATTTAAAAAATATTTTGTATAGAAATTTCGCGGACCAAAGAGACGACTCATGTCTTAACAGAGATTTAGTGATGCTCCGCCAACAGCCAAATGAAAAACCGACTCAATTTTACGATCGAGTTTTGCATATCCTAAATTTGATTTGTTCATTTATTGATACGCATGAAACGACTAATGAAGCAAAACAAGTAAAACGTAAACTCTATAACGACCTTGCTTTGAAAACATTTTTGTCCGGCTTAAAAGAACCTGTTAGTACAACCATTAGATGTATGCAACCTGATAGCCTGTCGAAAGCCTTAACATTTGTAATGCGAGAAAGTAACGCGCAATATTTTCAAAATATGACCAAAGTAGTTCAAAATCAGCCACCTCAGAATTTAAAACATAATAACCAGCATGTCCAAAATTTTCTTTCCAAAGAAAATATGCAATTTAATGGGCATAACCCATTTTAGACATCAGCAACAAGCATTTCCCACCGGTCCAATTGATATTAGGCCAGTTTATAGACCCCCGCAAAAATACTATACAAATTCACAAGTTTTTGGCAGACCCCAGAATGTCTTTAGACCCAACCAAATTAAAAATCTACCTCCACCTATGCCTATGTCTGTGTCTACACGCAACAGTGGCAGACCAAATTTCAATAACCAAAATAATTTTAAAAATAATCCCATTTCAAGCACATCTCAAAAACCGCAAAAAATGTAAGTCGAGGAGATGTACAACACGGAACTCGATCAATTCGATCAATCTAATCAATTTGATCAATGTTATTATGACCCATATTACCCTGACTATTATTCATATTGTAACAGTCATTATCAGCAAAATAATCCAGAGTATTTTGTACCTTTGGAACAACCCACAATTCAGTCTGGTAAGTTGCACACTGAATGTTTTCAGTCGGTACAAACTACGTCATTATCTGAAAATGATAACGAGTTAAGTGCAAATGTAAATTTTACGGAAGCTCCGCAATTAGACAAGAAAACCTGATTTAGCACAGAAATTCTATCCAAGTTGCATTCGCTATGACCCATTTATTGTTTCTACATGTTACCAAAAATCCGCCCACAAATATAGTTCTTTGTTACCTCCATCAAAAATATTTAATTTACCAAACCCAATGAAATTAAAATTTTATCTCTTCAATTTTCATAATTATTTCAACGGTTTGATCGGAACCGATAATTTAAAATTACTGCAAGCCAGTCTAAACTTTGAAAAATCTTATCTGATCACTCCATATACAGAAATAAAATTATCTTTTCACCAAACAAGACAAAACAATTTAAATTTTATAACTATTGCCCCTCGCTGTGAACAAATTATTAATATAAAAACTACAATTAAGATTGGAGAAGTAATTATTCCACACCAAAAAATTAATAACTGTGAGATTCCTGAATGCTTGACTATAGCGCGAAATCGAAAGGCCCTTACCTCCATTTTAAATAATACGAGCGATCCCGTTACTTTAGATTTTTCTGAACAATCATAGTTGAAAAATTTTGCAAAAAAGAAATTCAAAATATTAATTTAAATCATTTCGATGATAGCCCCCAAAAAATTGATGTGTCGTAAATAAGATCTAATCACTTAAATGCAGAAGGAAAATCTGAAATTTTTAACTCTGTTCTAAATTTTCCGATATTTTTTATCAAGAAGGAACGCCTCTTACTTTCACCAGCAAAATCAAACACCACATTCGCGCAACCGATGAGGTGCCGGTTTATACAAAAACCTACCGTTACCCCTTCATTCATAAAAAGGAAGTAGAATCGCAAATAAATAAGATGTCTCAAAATATAATTCGACCTATTAACTCGCCATGGTCATCTCCTATATGGGTGGTACCCAAAAAGATCGATGCTTCTGGCAAACAGAAGTGGAGGGTAGTCATCGATTATAGGAAATTAAACGAAAAAAGTTTGAATGATAAATACTTTCTCCCCAACATTACGGACTTACTAGACAAACTTGGAAAATGCCAGTATTTTACGACACTCGATTCGGCAAGTGGTTTTCACCAAATAGAGGTAAAAGAACCTGACATACCAAAAACTGCCTTCAGCACAGAAAACGGTCACTATGAGTTCTTACGCATGCCGTTTGGACTAAAAAATAGCCCCGCGACATTCCAACGCGTTATGGACAATATTCTACGAGGAATAACAACCGAAAAATGTGAAGTCTATCTGGACGATATAATAATTTTCTCTAGTTCTCTTCAAGAACACATTGCTAAATTAAGCGATGTATTTACTCGTCTAAGGGAAGCCAACTTTAAAATACAGCTCGATAAGTCGGAATTTCTTAGGAAAGAGGTTGTCTCTCTCGGCAAAATCAAAAATCACCACTCTTTTTGAAAAGAAAAGACGATTTTTAGTACAGCTTTCCGCAAACAATTTCGAAAATGATGTAATTAATTTTGTCAAAGAGTTTGTAGTCCCCGAAAAGCTTTACTATCTCTATTTCGAGAACCTGCAACTTTATGAACCGTTTTGTGAAGTGATAAGAAAAACTTTTATGTATCCATCTTTTCCTTTTAAGAGATGTACCATTAAATTACTAGATGTAACAAATAAAAACGGCATTCCTGAAATAATAAAAAATTATCACGAGAGCAAAACTAATCATCGCGGTATAGACGAAACTGAAATAAAAATCAAAGCACGATATTATTGGCCAAATCTCAAAAAATCATTACAAACCTATATCAATGAATGCGAAATTTGCTAAAGAACCAAATATGAAAGGCACCCAGTAAACATCAAAATGAATATAACGCCGACCGCATCTCGTCCTTTTGAAATCATATTTTTAGATACATACGCTTTAGAACAAACTAAATTCTTAACTATATGTGATAGTTTTTCAAAATAGGCGCAAGCCTATTGTTTAAAATCTGCCGCAGCTACCGAGATAGCTGATAACTTAATAAACTTTTTCTCTCACCACGGAATACCAAAACAAATAATTGTTGATAATGGTACCGAGTTTAAAAATACAGTTATTACAGAGTTACTAAGCTTCCATAAAATAAAGATTCATTTTTGCTCGCCCCACCATCCGCAATCAAACGGCAATGTCTAGCGACTTCATTCTACTTTAGCCGAGCACATTCGATTATTAAATAGTCAAGGCTTTCAAAAGTCCCCAATATATTGTAAAATGATATATACTATATTAGCCTATAATCATTCTGTCCATTCCGTCATCAAATTAAAACCCATTGACATAATAAATTGTCATATAACTTCTGATGACCCCTTTGATCAAAAACTGGACCAGTTACTATTAAGTAATTACGTAAGTGAACATAAAGAAAAATCAAAATTACTATATTCAAAAATCAATCAAGATCTAATCGAAAATAAAACAAAAATAATTGAAAAACGAAACGAAACCCGTGAGAGTCCGGACCTGTTTCAAGCCAACCAACAGGTGTATATACGAAAACATGAACGCAAAAAACTTGGGAGATATTCTCAAAATCCACTGAAATTATATCCGCGAACCCAGAGCGACGTACGGTAGCAACAGATACGCAAGCAAAATTACATATGGACAATCTAAAAAAACCGCTTAGAAACACGTACAGTTTTGATTAAATTCCGTTAACACTAGGTTTTTCATTTCAGGCTTGTCGGCTTCACTTGTGGCCTTTATGATGAAATAACTTTAAGAAAATTGGACAACAACCCCGGAATTATGCCAGTAAAATTGGGAAATGCAGAATCAATCGAATACACTTACACTTTAATCCATTATTTTGATTTAAATCTAATAATATTGGAAATTAATAAATTATATCTAAAAAAGGAAAATGTCTCAAAAATAATATCCAGCCACCCGGGATATTACAATGATAGTCAAAATTATATTAAACTTCTAAACATTTTGGAATCTAGGATTGAAAATAAAATTATAGAAATCCTTCCGCATCAAAAAAGATCTAAGAGAGGGCTAATAAATGCACTCGGATCTGTTTTTAAGGCTATTACAGGAAATATTGACGCATCTGACTGCGAGGATTATGAACAGCTTATTAAAAACTTGCAGCGCAACCAAAATGAGTTAGCCGAAGGCATTCTAAAACCAAATTCTTTATCCCTTAACATTCTTATAAAATTTAACCAGACTTTGCAGAAAATGTCTCAATGTCTCAAAATGACAAATACTTGAGAGTCAAAGATCAATCAAATAGCTCTTATTGTTCAAAAGTCAGCCTATAGGGAGAACGCACTAATTATTAAAGATATTTTGGTACAAATGATCAACACCTATGAAGTAATTTTATCAATTTTACAAGACTTAGAAAATTCAATAATTTTATCAAAATTGAAAATTATTCACCCAAGTATAATTAAGGTTAACGACTTATTTAGAGAACTTCTTATTTTGCAAACCAAAGTTGGAAAAAACCAAATGATTATACCTGTAACGTTAGAAAACACTTTTAGTTTTGAGAAATTAATTACTATTGACTGTTTTATTTTGAATAATAAAATCAATTACCTTTTGAGAATACCAATGACTAATCCAATAATTTTCGATTACTTTCATCTCTACTCAATCCCCATAAGACACGAGAGTTGGTTTAGGGTTGTTTTACCGCGTGCAAAATATTTAATAAAAAGTGAATTGCAACATGCATACTATAATGGGCCCTGCAAGGAGGCTACTAAAGGTCTATTCGTCCGCACCCAACAAGGAATCAAGAATAACGGCAACAGCAGTCCTTGCGAAATAGCCTTGTTCAGCATAAATCCAATAATCACAAATTGCCACAAAACACAACTCAAAATCACCCAGCTAATAGTTAATCAACTAGAAAATTCCAATCAATGGATTTTAGTAGTTCCAGATGTACAGAGCGTTAAACTTAAATGCAACGCTCAGGATGAGATTCAGAATCTCCATGGGACATACCAAGTCAAAATTCCAAGAGGATGCCTCGTCAAAATTGATCATCATACAATAATTAGTGATGTCAGATCAATCAACCTTAGTACTCGGCCAATATTATTTCCTGATCTGCCAGATATTCCAACACAACAAAGCCAGATGGATTTAACTGTCAAATTAAATGAAGTTAAGTTAGGTGAACTAAACCTTTTAAGGAATGAAATTCAGTTAAATTACCCACTTCTGAAGTTCTCGGAGTTTTACAAATATCCGAGCATATGGACCCTCCTTGTATACATGGTCATAATCAGTTTGTGTCTATTTATTTGCTATAGAGATTGTTACAGCCAAGATGCACCAAATCCAGCAAGAAGTGGAAGAACCTAAAGATCCAAAATGTGTTCAACTACCCCTCTTGACGGTATAGTTGAAGCTTACGGGGGAGGAGTTATCTCACTAGCGAAGATCCAAGAATGCTGACCCAGCAGAGTCCCTATTTCTACATATAAAAACGTAGTTTAACGGTGACGAAAAAAGTTCTGTCTAGATATGTTATTGTAACAGACCATTTTAAAACGGTTGTAAATTTAAATAAAGTTTTTAAAAAAGGCAACGGTCGTCCCGAGTAGTTAATTCACGTTTTATTATTTGATAGCGAACAGTGTTTTAAAATTATTCGTGTGTTTTGTTAACTGTGGAAAAAACCCTAGGAAACAACCTGTAAAAAATACATACATATATACATATATATATATATATATATATATATATATATATATATATATATATATATATATATATATATATATATACATTTATTTGTGACGTTTTTCGGTAATAGGCGAGTGACCTTAGTTGATCTGCCTAACGTTGATAAAAAGTGGAAGTATTCTGTGTGGGAAAAACTGCATACACACGGGAAATAATAAAATAATAAATTTTATTACATTATGGAACAAATTAAATGCAATTCAATAAAAATGAAATTTATCTAAAGCTCTGCGTTAGACTCTCTTCGAATATACTGATCACAATCTTATCAACTTTCGTCTTCCAAATCGATCTGTGAGTCCCCAAAATATGTTTCAAGGGTTGTTCAAGGCGAATGACGTCTTTGTCCAGCAACCTGACCACGCTAAACAAAAGCTTGCCAAAAGACTTATCCCTCGAATAGTCTGTAGCCGCGTTGGACATAAACTCAATTGACTTGTTGAGTAAATCATATTCTGTATGGGTGGTCAATAATGTTTCAATAACAGGAATATAGTTTGGATGGAGCTTGTCACAATTAAAAATAAATTCCCTAAAACAATTTAATCAATTATTTTTCATCAGGCTAGATAACAACCCGGGATACCTAAATAAATCGGTTTTAAAATTGTTGCTCATGTGAGATATATATTGCAACAGAATTCTAGCCTGGTCAAGTTTTTGAGATTTTAATTCCTGTAACTCATTTACCAATTGCTTTTTCAAAATTGCATAATGTTTTACACCAAGCCTTGAAAATATGTTTTGAGTCTCTTCAGAATATTCCAATTTTACCTAGAGATAATATATAAAGTGTACTTGATTTTCCTAAATTATCACAAACCTTTGTCAGAAGTAAAAGATTTAAACAGACGCGCACGACCCTATCCTCAATGCCTGTATAATCCAGAAGCGACAGCCACAAATAGCGCACCTCTTCCATGTTCAGTATATCGGCAAGGGCTTTAAAAACTTTTTCTAAGACCCCACAATTTGCTTTGCTTAAATTTTGCAACACGCCATTGGGAAGGGTCCCTTTCATCACAAGATTTTCTTTTATGGCATAAACAACATCCTCAGTTGACACATTTGGTTGGGACAATAATACTTCCTCGATTGTGTTTGCCACTTGGGAATTTGAGGTTTTGCTATGTGTTTCTGTGACATTGTTATAGCCGTCTTCATCGCTCAGGCATATGTCAATACAAGTTTTATTGTTGTGGACATAAGATTTTAGGTGTGATTTTGTGTCACAATCCTAAAAAGCCTTTAATAAATTATGAGTGTTGGTAGACAGAGACTAAAAAACATGGACCATTACCAATGTAAACAAATTTTTCAAGCGCTCGTATTCTTTCAAATCACAATTTGCATTATCAGTTTTCATTTCAATAGCCAAACTTAGAAATTCCAATAAATCGATTCTGGACTCTTGACTAAACTTATGTCTCCAAATATCCATTTCAACACATTTTACTGAAACTAACGATATTCACTACTTTTTAATAATGGGAGAAATTACACCTCGTATGTATCAAAACTCAATTGTATCTTCCATTTAAATAAAAACTAATCTTTCGTTTTGAATACAGAAAACGCCTTCTACGCCTTCTTCTTTTGACATTTTTACGTCAAGTTGGAAAACTTGCTACGGACACACGCCCATTTCTAACTTCGTTCGAGAAATCGTTCATAATTTCAAAAAAACGGTTACACCAAACCCGTTTTGGCACGCAGTGCTTTAATACATACGAATTTTCATGATAATATAACCCAACATTGTTTCACAGAAAAAGCGCACAGGACTTCTGATTAAAAATTACACAACATACTGCTAAATATATTTTATTAAAATTTTAAATATTTCAATATACAAACTAAGTTTACTTTTGTTTACCAAAATTTCTAAATGAATTATCAATCAATGAAATAGAGGCATTTAGATACCTACTCCTTAAAAAGCTTTTCAATACCTAGATCTCAATAAATCCAACAAAATATGTACAGTATTTCATATTGTGGAGCTGCTTAAGCACCAGAAATCTCCAAAAATGTATTCAATTTTTTATGAGTAATAATTTGAATCCTTACAAAATTGATGTACTTAATCTGTTAAATTAGAATCTTTAAAAATCATGCGATACTGCAACTACTGGTACAGCTTTTCGCCACTTACGAAGCCCATGCTTCCAATTCTTTCATATCATCATCATCTTCAAGTTTTTCTGCAAAAAAAAAATTACGGCAACTGAAATAATGAAAACAAGGAAAACTTACTGGCTGGCTTCTTAACTTTAACCTTATCCTCCTCTTCAACATCTGTGGGTATTGCTGGTAATTTTGTGGGACCTGGAACATCAATAAGACCTTTTTCAAGTTCTTCAGTTTCCAACTCTTCCAACTCCTTGTTAAGCTCATCCTCATCTAGGTCGTCCGTAAATCCAACTGGATTACTAATTGCATTCGATATTTCATTGGCTATGTCGTGTTGTTCAGCTATATCGTCCATAATGTCATGAACATTATCTATATCCCTGTAGAAAAACATTAAAATTTAGAGATAATATCAATCACCTCTACCAAACTTACAAATTTTTATGAGCATTTTTAAGAGCGTCCGCTGCATTTTTCATTGTAGTTAACACCGCTGTATTTGTATTAGCTCCTTCTAATGCTTCCCTCTGCAATTCTATAGTGGTCAGTGTTCCATCGATTTGTTGCAAGTTTTTTTCTAATCTTTTCTTTTTTTTCAAAGCTTGTAGGGCCACTAAAATAACAAAATAACAGTTCCGCATTACTGGTAGACCTTAGCGTCACCTCTCTTGTTTTTAGAAGCGTTTTTCCTAGCTACACTCATGTACTCGTCTATTTTTTTCTCAAGAAAATCCTGTTTCTTTAGCAGCATTTCTTCAGTTTCCCTGAGTTTTTGGATGGCTTCTCCCGTCGTTGGTGCTTCATCTTTTTTGCCGCCGAACAGTTTGCCGAAGAACGACATTTTCGGACTTCTTCACTTTACTACAATATTTATTGTTAATAAAAAATAGGAATTAGTCACTCAGTCAAAAAACAGCGTAAATTCCGATGACAGATGTCACCCTGAGATTTTGGTTTGGTAAACCAAACAGTAAATTTGTTTTTTCGGTTGTGCGCTGCATGCCATCCGATGGGAGTCGGTACATCAAAGCAAAATATGTTTGCATTTAGTTGTTTCATTTGTCTCGGAGCGCGGCCGAATAGATAATTTTCATGTCCCATGGTAATTCAAGATGAACTGGGATTATGAAAGAACTTTAAGCTTCATCAAAGAATATGAAAAACGTCCAATTTTGTGAAGAAAATCAGAGAAGTTTTATTATAACAGTGTAAAGAAAGAGGACGCTTGGACGGAGTTAAGTGACAAATTTGAGGAAATTAGAATTTTGGAAAAAAAATGGATAGTTTACGAAGTTCTCGACGCAGAGAAAACGTATGATTCAAAGCAAAGGGACAGGTAAAGGTAAATATTCGTTATAATTTTTTCGGTTATAATTATTTATGTTCTTATCTGAGAATAAACTTTTTTTGAATATTTTGCAAAGTCCTTATTTTTATTTAGTCATTTTTAACTTTTACACAATTTAGAAAACATTTCTACATTTTTAACATGCTTAGAAATAGTAGAATACCGCCCTAATCTGTAGAGGACATTCTAGTGAAATTGTAAAAATGAGTATTCTCTTCCTCCTCCAGCATACTATTTAGGAACAACTGTCCGTAAAAGGATGTTGTCCAACAACGTTTCCTTTTTTTTGTGGTTTTTTTTGCAAACCCCGCTATAACAATATACGCCGCACTAGCCACTAAACGATTCATGTCCTCCATTCTGAGAATTTTATTAAAGCGCCTACGTACGTTCCGCACAGCCGGATCGATGCCTCGTTTGTTGCCTCGGCAAGCTCGCCTTTGGACAAAATTTTTACCCGAACGAGGCATGCGTTCGGCATCGGCTTGCCTCGTTCGCATTCGTGCTCAAGTGAATACGCGCCTTTGGTCATTTGTTATTTGTAATTTTGCAAAACAAAACTAAGAAAGATTTGAACTTCAAAATCCTTTTTGGCATAGTCATTTTACGTATATACTAGATAGTGTAGATAACAGACTTGTCAATACCGCATCCATAGTTTTTACAGCAATTTTTCGTCGTTGCCAAATATTCAATTATCATTTCTATCATAATTGTTCATTTCTGTTATATTTGAAGCTTTTTGTACCTATTCTACCATTATTTACGGCTCTCGGGCTGGTCATGATTAATATTGTTGCTTTAACTCGATTTCGGGTGAAAAAGAGGATTTGATTTTTTATTCTAGTTGGAAATTATTTCAATATAGTATTTTCGATACTTAAGTTTTTACAGATTTCTGTGTTTACTAAAAAACGGTGGAAACAAGCATACTTTGATAAAGTGGTGAGACTTGGACCTGAAAAGGTTCATTTAAGACAGTTTCTGGTTATACTGGAGTAGGGAGTGTCCCCAAAACATAGCAGTGCACGAGGCATTCTTAGGTTTTGACTGTACTCATACTTTTGTGGCTCTGATTTCTCTTTTTGGCACTACATTTGTGAAGATAAGAAAATAAACAAATAAATAAATTGAAGAGGGCGTATGTGACTATGGGGTAGTGGCCATCAGTGGTGATCATCAAATTGTAGATCTGGAGTGTATTAGCAATATACAGGATTAACGTTGAACATGGTGGTTGAGGAGGAAACAAAGCATCAGATTAAATTTAGTGCCTCACATAGTTTTATACATAATCTTGCATTATGTTGTAAAAAATAAACCACTTTTAAATTACTAGTACCCGCTTTTTCGTCCTTTTTTACATTCATCTTAGTTATTTATACTGCAAAAAATATGTTTGGAAATGTGAAACTTTCTAAACAAACTCGGTTTAATCTAATTAGATTTTAAATTGCATTATGGAAACAGTTAATATAAAATAACCACATTTTTGCAGTATTCCATAATTTCCTGGCTAATAGATGACTCCATTTTTTTTTACGTAATTTATTTATTTTTTATCCAGGGTCAGATATTTCAATTCTTTTATCTATAACTAATTATCAAAACACTCGACTTATTTTTTTATTTGTGGCATTTACGTCTCTACACAAAGGTGGTAAAATAAATGTTCACCACAACAAGGGTGTAATAATTTTATTTTGCTAAATATTTTTCAAATTGCACTAAAACATCTTGCATGTCCTTATATCCTACACAATCACAAGCTTCCTTCAAAGGAAGCCATTTGTAAGCCTGATGCTCATGCGATAATTTGACATCCGCATTGGGATTTATCAACTCCGCTAGCCAATAATGTACAGTTTTTGGTTTATTATTGACATTGTAATGTAAAATTTTAGCGCAGTCTTGAAAGATTTTTAAATCTGTCTTCTCAAGGCCAGCTTCCTCCCAAGTTTCTCGAAACGCAGTGACAAGCTCCGTCTCACCTGGATCAACATGCCCTAAAAAGACCACCAAATTATACAGATACAAACACTAAAATTTCTACCTTTAGGTGGTGTCCAGTGATGAATCCCATATGAAGTTTGCAAAAGTAGATACTCAACTGCCGCGGCTTTCCTTCGGAATATAACAAAGCCAGCTGCGACTTTCCCAACCATGCTTAATTTGTCTCTTTAATTAAATTAAACCTTATAGCAAACACAGAATACAGAGTTGCCAATATATTCAAAATGTGTTGAAACCTTTATGAAGGGCTTTTGCTTCCGCCAATGATAAGGGCTTCAAAGTGAAACCTTCCAATCGTGGTTCATGCTCCAAATCACGAAGATTATGTACTTTGTCCTTTATTTCTTGATGCAGGTTTCTGAGGTCATCTTCTGCTTTGCCGACTTCTAGAAACAACCTTTCAAAATCTCTGAAAATAGAAACAGCCACTTATCTATTACCGCGCCTCAAAATATTTTTACATTCGGCAGTTGTTCTTTGCACGTAAACGGAACCCAGCTGTATCCAACTGTTTCTGTCCTCCGCACCTTCCAGAGCTCTAAGGGCTTCTCTAAATTTGTTTTGGGCGTTAGCTACTTCTATCTTCTGCTCTTTCAACGTCAAAATATCTTGGCCCAAAGTTTCCACTTCTCTTAGATAAGTGAAGGATTTTTGCTGCTCTATATCAGAGAAGGCAGCCATATAACATCGGTAGTATCGGTACTCCCAACGACAATTCAATTCAGAATTGGAATTATAGAAATTATGTGGTTAGTGTTTTTATTCCCTCCGAGGAAATGAACTTTTTTGTTCTCTGAGTTGTCTAATTGACCTTCTAAATGTTGGTCAGTTTGGTTATGTGATAAAACGGAGAGTTCTGATTTAATCTTGTTGGTTGGCCGAACAATCTTGCAAAATTGGCCATAGAATTAAAAAAAATTGTTTGTCGTTTTTTAAATTTTTATCCTAGATTTAACTGGTTTATCAGATTCTGTCGGTGGCATTGCACTTGGCGGTTTAATCTCCGTTCGCTCCCGATAGAATCCGGTGTAATCGTCTTCAAATTTTTGATATCGGTTCCAAAAGTGTGGGTTTTTTTTTGAATGTTTTAAAGTTATAATCGTTGTTGGCCCAGCTGTTTTTTCTCGTCCACGCTGGTATGGTATTGGTGCCGGATGGTCCGTGGGGGAATCGGGGGAGGCTGTTTTTTGTCATCGGTTCAAGATTTTTGAATAACGTTTAATTGTTGTTCCCGTACCCCTTGGAGGGTGATGGATCCGTCCAGTCCCTTTTAACTAACTCACCCTCCAGGGCTATAAAGTGTCGAACTATAATTGTAAGTGGGCCAGTGATCCTAGTAGTCTTGGCCAAGAGAAGTAATGTAGAGAGAGTATCTGCTCTAAATCCTCGACGGAAGTGGGCAATGAGCGAGTGATCCTGGTAGACTTGCCCAACAGTTTTTTGTGAAAAGCATCGTTGAATTGATTTAGTATCTGCTCTATAATTCTTAGCCGTTTCTGTGTTTTTAAAGTTAATTTATCTAGAGTTTAAAAAAATCTTAATGGCCGCAGTTTCGGCACAGCATCTTGCCGATATAGCGAAATTTCTTCAAACTCCGCTGGGGAAAATCTCCACCAAAGAGGAAGTAATGTTCAATTGTATAGCTTAATTAAGTAATTTCTAGGGCGGGTTTTTTTAGCTAATATCGCGATCTCATGGCGACAAAACAGTGTCGGGCGTTTTTAATATAATATTTTCGCTTTTGAGCGAATCCAAATCCTCGCTGGGACCCAAGAATATCTTGGAAGAAGCGCAGGTACGGCAATGGCTGGAATATGCTATTGTCTACGTTTTAAATGCTTCTAGCGACCAAAATATACAAACGCTCTTAAAGGTATTTTATAGCACATAGCACAAAACGAAAATGTTTCTAGTGATTTACCAACTTTTTGTTCTGTTGAAAATAGGATTTCAATGGAATTTTACGCACCAAGACATTTTTAGTAGAAGATCGTATCACTATCGCTGATGTCTTTCTATATTACACAATTTCTTATATAATGGTAAGTTTAAGTTTATATATTGACGAGTTTCGATCGGCCTCTATTGCAGGAGAATCTTGCGAATGCAGACAAAGAGAAATACTTGAATGTATCCAGGTGGTTTGATAATTTACAACAAAATGTGTCGCTTAGGCAATCGCGCAAGTTGGTAGATTTTAACATCAATTTTTTGTACTTAACGAATCCTTCCCGACACTAAATGTAATTTATATTTTAATAAAGTGTTTCAAAATTTGAAGAAATTCTTTTAGGGTCTTATTTGCTGCTCATTTGAAATAAGTAAAGCAAAACATTAAATCAGGCAATTAAAAAAGAGACGTGCAGGTGTATATAAAATATTTCATTAAAAAATTTAGTAAAATTCAACACTAGGGTATATATCAGTCACCACCGCGAATTCATATGAGTTCAAATCTTCAGTCCTTTGTTCCTTAATAAAAAAAAAAATTACATCAGTACCAAATAACGTAATACACATTAAATAATGTAAGTGTAATATGCAGCGACCCATGCTGTCAAATCTGCCCATTCAGGAAATTGACTAAGAAAAGTTTTAAACTCTGGGGTTCTATTCATTGTGTCTTCGTGCACGTAGCGACAGGTCACCGCTATATCCATAGCTGTCCCATTCCAATTTCCCGGAACCTCCACATCGAGGGTGAAAGAAAAGTTATTGCCCCCCTTGCCACGTTGGTATAAAACAAAATATACCGGCCTGTGTTTGAAAGTCGCCGCCGAAGGCTTTACTTCATCGACGAGACTCAAATTTGTCACCGTGACACTTTCTTTGGGCGCTAAGTACAAAGTAAACCGATCTGGACCGGAAATTGTGAGGTTATAACGTATTTTCGTTGAGGTTAGGATCTCTTTCTCGAAACTAAACTCCATGGGAACGGCTAAATTAGGTTGTGCCGAAGGAATCCAAGTGCTGTACTGCCTAAAACGAAATAGTGTTTCATCCGCGGGCATAGGGTCCTCAGTCCAACTTACATGATCTCCATCATTTTTGCGTGGCCCAGAGGCAAACCGCACATTATATATTGGTCGCACCTCTTGGCAACGGACTGAGCTTCGCTTAGTTCTTTAACGTAATTTGTGAGGACGCCAGGAGAATTTCTATCCAAGTTTAGGAAAAAATATCCGGCATCGCTATCGACAATGTCGCCGGATTCATTATGAAAGCGACGCGAAGTATGCTAAAAAAATAAAGTTACTTCAGGGAACTTACGAAAAATCCTTTTCTATTTGGCTATTCTTAGTGAATACTCAGAAGTAACACCTATATAACGACCGTAAAACCAGTTGCCTATCTATTTTGTGCCATGAGTTCGAACTAAACTCACAAGTATCCAATGTCTCTGCGGTCTGGGCCAATCGCTATCTCCGCTGTAAGGAAATCCTAGAGGCGTGAAGACGACAATAAAAAATATGGCGAAAGTCGCTGCCAAGATGATAAAATAATATTTTGCGTGTCGCAGCGAGTTCGTCAATATCGTCTAAAACGCAATAATTAATAAGTACCAACAAATATAAAAGAAGTGATTCAGGTCGAGTCCCCTATTAAAAACTAATAAGTAATCTAAATACTGTAGGGAAGTAAAATGGTCTATTCGAAAGTAATGATAAAATGCAATACTTTGTGAAAAACAAATGTTTATCTTTATCATTTGTGGGATTCTTTGTAAGGTATATTACTGTTATAACGGGTAGATCTTTACATACATATATGCATTGACGTGACCCAAGAAGAAAAGAAAAGAAACTCCACTGAGAATTTTGTACAGGACCAGGATCTGTAATAAAATATTGCCATTACTATTTACAAAACTTCTGGATTTCTCCTGTCCCCAATCATCCTGTCGGCTTCTTCAGAGGTTAACTGAACCTGGCCAGTATTCTACTCTGCACCTGCTTATATATTGTTTGAGGGGACGGAGCTAAAGGAGGGGCATGAATATTGTCTGGAATGACTGATTCCCATATTGGTGAAAGGTAAAGACGTGGTTCACGACTAAGATTGTTTGGTTGCTTATAGATTTCTATAGATTCTCCGATTGATTGTTGCAAGAATTTTAGTCTTATCGAATAAAATTTTATGTCCGGTTTCGTGAATGTACGAGGCCGATGAGTTTATTTGTCTCAGTCTTAAGGCTCTTCCATGTTCCTTGAGTCTAGTTGATATTTTGGTATCTCAAACGTTATTTTGTCTTTGACAGTTCAAACAGATTGGGAAATTTTTGGACAAGTGGTCAATCTGGTTTTGCAAAACTCTTGATATGTGGTTAGTGATGTTGTTTTGAATGTAAGAGAGGGCAACAGTGGCAAGTGTGGGGTTGCTTTCGGACTCTTTGGCTTTGGAAGGTTGTGGTGAAGTGTATTTTGTCATTGAATGCTTAATATCTCTAATGTGGAAATTATTAGAGAGAACAGGGGATGTAAGGTGTTTTAATTCTGGTTTCAGTGACTCGAGCTTAGATAGTTTTAAGAGAGTTGAGAATCGTGGATTTTTGGACGGGATGGTAATGTGACCATGCATTAATGTATCGGTGGTATGTGTGCGTAGATTTTATATTGATAAGCATATCTAAAAATGGGATATTATTATTAGTTTCTAACGTATATTAGGGTATATAGAGTTTAAATGGCTAAGAAAATCTAGTAGGGATTCTTAACAATGAGGCCAAATAAAAACGTATCGTTTCAATAATTATGGTTTTAGATGGAAGGGTTTTTTTCTCAAAAGCTTATATAAATATTTTCGACTGGTGTTAATATCTGTTCCCAACGTTCGCTATAAGCATTTTTCAATTAAGATGAGAAAGTTTGGTTCCAGATTCTCGGATTTTAATCTGAAATAATGTTGAGAGTTTCAGGAATAGGGACTTTAGTAAAGAGGGATTCTGCGTCAAAACAGATTAGAATGCGAGGCAGCTTCAGTTAAGCTCTGAAGAAGCCAATAGGCAAAATATCAGCAAGTTGGATTTATCAACAACCAACGCTGGAGGAATCCAGAAGTTTTGTAAATAGTATTACCGTGGCCACTGTTGGGCAACGCAGCATTTATTTGTTTGTCTTAAGGTTCTCTTGTTTCCAATTTTCCAGAACTTTTTAATAGGATCCTCGGTGCAAATCACCATATACATATATGTAAATAAAATCACCAAGGGGCTAGCTATCGCGAGCGTGAAGAACATTGTCGCAAAACCAACTATCAATTCTGGGTTCCTGTTGCTGCCCATTCTGCCAGTGATTGGTATAAAAAGTGCAAGGGTGGTGGACGCTTGATACATGAGCAACATGGTTGGTACTAGCAGGCTCACCAAGTATGCCAAGCGCCATTTTGTAACTGGAAAATCAGCAAGGTAAATGCCGAATAGGTTCTGCATTGCGCATGCGCACCGGTGTACTGCCACCGGCAGCAGTAGATCACGACAAAGCCGAGCGAGTTGAACAAAACAGGCACCATAAGGGCGTATGCCGAACGCACGTTGAAACACACCATGGAAAATAAAATAACGGTCCATATCAGTCTTACCGCGTGAGCCTGAATTTGGCACCTTATATTTAAAGATAGGTTCTGAAAAAAAAAGCAGTTTTGTTTTGTGTTCTGATAGGCAATTCGAATGTACCGCACCTCGTGGTTCGTAAAGAACAGTAAACATCCGGATAGGGCGAGCGTCGGGACCACGTACAGGCCGAATATTAACCACGGGTTCCCGTACCAACTCATGGTTTTTGCAGCGAGGTCTAGAACTAGAGCTATAATCAAAACGGATGTGCCTGCGACCAGCCAGCTTAGAATCGTAGCGCCTAACACCAGTCCTATGTATTTACACGTAGATTTTGTCAAGCCTGCAATTTAAATTCGTGGGTGTGACTGACATTACAACGCGTAAAAACAGCCTACCGAAGTGAATACTACGTATACTGTAGACGAACACGCCCACTGACAGCACTACTATCGCCACGTTGATAATTACCCCAGCGCTATTGGTGTACGAAACTAGAAACCAGGTGAAGATATCGAAATAGACGGCCTTTCCCGGCGCAGATTGCGACAACTCTGGGGCATCGGCCAAGTTTTTGACCAGAGACAGAGCATTGGCGCCCACGTGTTGATACGAACCGTGAGGTATATGGGAGAAATCGTCGTATTTGGTATGGTAACGGTAACCGTTTTTGAAAAACGCCATATCCAAACCTAGAATTAAATGGTTCTTGCACCAGCGCCCTCTACAGTAAGTTCGAAATTTCGCGCATAGATGGAGCCGAGCAATAGTGGCGTCACAAGTGCTTTTGTTATCATAATAGTGGGCCAAAGATACCCAGCAACTCACCTACAAGACCGCCAAAGTCCCTAAAAATTCGAAAATCCGTATCGCTCGGTATTATGCCGCTTTGAAAAATCTCCTCGCCGGCAACCTGGCCGTATGGGTAGGGTACCATGGCGTAATATTTTGTGAGCCACGGTGTCTCGGGTCCCGTCTGGAACAAGATAATTTTGCCGCCGGCGCCGGCGGCTTCCAGGTTGATTACCGCTTTGCAACTGGAATAAAACTTTGTGAATTTTAATACCGTCGGGAATCAGGAACATTACTGTTTTGCCCATTTGTGCTGGGTAATGAAGCCGTGGGCGGCTTGAAGAGGCGTCTCCTCGGCTCCATTGAACAGAAAGATTACGTTGTTCGACGGCTTCGAGGAAGAGGTTGACAGTACCCTAAGAATTTCTAGCATCGCTGCTACGTTGATGCCGTCATCGCTGCCGCCTAAAATAATTACCTAATTTCTTAGCAACTAGATAGCTAACCTATTTGGGCGGCCGCTAACTAAAAGGGAGCTCATCATGAAGAATAAGAAGAACTTGATTGCTTCTTTCGATTATATAAATAAAAAGTTGTTTGGAGTATTCCTGCAGGTTCCTATATAAAATTTGTGGGATGGAATCATAGTTTAAGGAAGTCATTTAGTCACACCGATAGTATTTTGACTTCTTTATGAGTTTTACAGAACGCTGGAGATGACTGCTGTGATCAACCATCACATTGGGAAATACATATTTTATTGGTTTGTTCCATCCAACTTCCTACTATTTAGATATTTGGGTTGTAGTTTGATAACTTGTTTTTTGTAGAGACAATCTAAATTACTTTAAAGATTGTTTTAAAACCTGCGAGTTTTTCCAGAGGTTTTTTCCTATCTAATTCAAAATTGCCGCCAAAACAGGAAAACATTATGCCTTTCTAAACTTATATTAGAGTATGATAATGCTGTGAGCAGCGCTATCACTTGGTGACCACACTTTGTGATTCCCTTCTAAAGCAAATAGGAAACCTCATAATTAACCCAAATTAATCTAAAAATGGGGGGATTGGCAAGCCCCAAGGATTCATACCAAACCCAATTAAAATATTCCACTAGTCATTAAAATTTTTAGTCAGACCGAAAGCATAAATTAACCTTACCAGGGCTAGTGGGCACTGAATCAAAATGGGAGTTGACCAAAATGCTGTGTTGTGTTACATCTCGCCCATGCAATTTTACAATGACATTCTGCACATCATGATACGAATTTATTGCCCCAGAGGCATGAGCATCTAAATAGTAAGCGCCGCTAACTAACTGAACATCCAGCTTCAACATTTGGGACTCATTAGCTTGTTCAATAATCAAATTTATTTGACTCTTGAGATATTCTACAGCTAAATATTCGTTTATGTGGCTCCCAGTGATACGCGGGCCCATGTCAGTCAAGTTTTTCAGGGTCCAAATCGCACGTTCGGCGATGAAAGCACCAGGGTTTGAACGCTGCAGTTTTTTCCTCGTTAATTAAGATTTTTATTTAAGCAAATGACTAAACTTACCTCATCGTTGACCATTAAGGGGGTGGGTAGCGCATCATCTATCAAATACACGAACCCATAAAGCGAGCATAATGCCAGAATTGCACAAATTCCACAATAAAAAGGAACGCTGTGAATGCTTGCACGAGCAATCATTGGTGGATCCATATCGAAATGGTATGTGGTTCTTAAATTTCTACCCATCCTTTATTAAAGCTCGGGCGGACACTTATAATAATAATTATTAATTAACCTTGATTTTAAGTTTAAGAAATTTCAGGGGTAATTATCGTTGTTTGCGTTAACGCTTGATAAAAAGCCGTTGCACTCATATAAATATAAACCGGTAATTTCTAAACAACATATTGTAAATAAAAAGCAACATAACCTAACTCTTCGAAATATCTGGTGATTATTTGCGTCATCTGTTTGAAAAGATTTAAATTAAAGTGGCCTCCGGCGTTTTATAATTATTTTGGAATATCGTGAATAAATTTTTGGATACTTCGCCATACTAATAATTTCGACTAAAACACAAGCGATCCTAACCTTTCGGCGTGTTGAGTTTGTTTAAATAAGCCGCAATTATTGTTATTGCCCAAAAATTGCGGACAATCTAATTTGCAATTGCTATGAAGTCATCGCCTGCAATAATAACAGCGCGAAGAAAGTTTTACATGTGAAAGTAAAATTAATACGGGCTGTTATTTCTCGGACATTTCATACCGCCGACAGGACCGGATTGCCGGTACTTTATAATAAAGCAAGAATTAAACATTAAAAGGCGCGCCTCTTAGAAACTTTTATTTTCAATTTAAAGTAACAGAATTATATCTACAGCTGTCTCTTCTATTTGACGGACAATAATTCAAAATTCGAACTTATGGACAATGACTGATGCATTTCTCGCCTATGGGTGGTTCTGCGAACTCCAGATGCTTAAACTCTTGAGCAAAGGATATGAAATACGACACCTAAGTAGTACAAAATATAGTTTAGAAATTGAATAATGAATAAAAAGAGACCACTTTTATTTATGTGATGCACTTCTGTAAACTAATGAGAAATAAAAAGCAGCAGAAACGCAATATTTCCCAAATGATCTCATAAGGCAGTAAGTAAATATCAAATGTATAGAGATGGTCTATTCTACCTATCTATCTCTTACTCTTTTTAAAGGATAAATGAACTTTCAGTGATTTACATGGTATAAATTTGTTAAAAAATGCAAAAATTTTGATTTTTTGTCGCGTGTTCCTCTTGTCAACTAACCGCCAAAATAGACGTGATCCACTCGGCCACGGCTGCCACTAGATGCGACGCGTATTCGCTGCTGTATTTGCTCCAGTGTCGCCAATCTATCAACCCAAAATTCAAATATGTCATCAAGGAGTACGTCAGGGCAAGGATGAACGTGATACTGCATAGGAAAGCTATCCCGAACCTCACCGGTATCATTCGCTTCGACCCTACTGCCGGATATACGTGCAACGAGACTACACTATCACTCCACTGGTACACCAGGAGGCAAATTATGGCGCCTAGTGTGCCCATAGCTTGTGCCACAGGCATATAGATCTTCTGGAAGTTGCTGTAAATCAGGAGAAATGCAACGGCAAGGAAACCAGCTACCACGGATATCTTGCTCATCTTCACCGTCGTGGGCTTTTCTTCGAATGTTGCGCGATCGCACACGAACCTCACGAGCCTGTATCTGATGTAAACGATGACGCCGACGAGTAACGTCATCATGTTGCACATTAGCGAAAATAGGCAACTTTCCGGTGGATGGGCACCAATGTCGCTAATATAAGGGAACCCAGGACCAACGTGCGCGTAGGACTTTGACCACGCGAAGCAAACTATTAGCGTGAGAAACCACAAAGCACCGAGCAAGGTGGGCAACGCGATCCAGGATTTCCACTTTATTTTCACGAGCCACGATCGACGTGATTCTGCCGGTAGCATTGCACGTGTCAGGTCTATTCTTTTCCGCTGGCTACAGAATCCTCTGTATTGAGTGTTCAAGATATGTTTACGTTCGAACTGTTGTGTCAGTCAATACTGTCTATATAGTATACTTCTAGTGTCTAAGTGTCGCGTAGTTTCATCATTTTTTCTATACAGTGGAATGCGCTCGGGAGTCGACGTGGAAGAGGGAGCAGTCGTTTTTTTTTAGTATTATTTTAAAATTTGCTTTATCCACATATGATAGTACATGAGTCGGTCGGTGACTGGCAGGAACGAGGCAACTATCATTAGACCATAAGAATCTGTCGGCGATTGGCCGAAGCTAATCGATTCTCTTGGTGGATGCCGGTTAATGGGTACGTGACTTTAGCACCCGGGTCCAGTTGCGTGAAGAGTGGTTTGTTTCATATTCTATGGTATTCTGTGATGATTCTGTGGTGGAGCATTGCACGCGGCGGTTTAACCAACGTTCGCTTCCGACAGAATCCCTTGTATTCGTCCCCAAAAGTTTGATATCGGTCTCCACTGGGTGGATCTAGTGTAGTGGAAGCGGGGGATGTCGTTTTTTTTTGGGTATCGGTCAAAATTGTTTTTTGCTAGTTGAGCAAATATTGGTTATATTTCTTCTTTGTACGTGTTGGTATATGACCAAAAGCGAAGATCCTCGACGGAAGTCGGCAATGGGCAAATCATCCTAGTAGTCGAGCCCAACAGTTATTGTGAAACGCATAATTGATATTCTGTGATGTTGGTATAATAAACTAGTGACCTATAATTTAATGCAAAAGGCGATTTATATAGTGTTTTGGAGAATTTTGGTTGAGTTCTTTCACGAAAAGCGATCCCTTAGAAACAAGAAGACAGTTTTTGTGGCGGTTTTGGCGGATTTTGTCATGAGCATTGTACATGCCAGTGATCAACCGAAGGAAAGAATCCATTGTATTCGGTATAAATGTTTTGGTATCGGTCTGAATTGTGTAGTGTCAATTTATTGCGATTATAGTAACCGTTGTTTTCGCTAGTCACGTCAGTATACAAGCTTTATCCGTCATTATTAACGTGCAGGCGACGTACACTAAAATTTTCAAAACAGTATTCTATAAATTAAAAAAGTGAAATAATGGCATACGTCAATGCATTTAAGTAATATAAATACATTTAACATTTTCGAAAATAAAAAATTATGAATAATAATCGGTATACAACGTTAATTACAATTCATTTTCACAATGTCTACCGTTCGTGTCTAAACATTTTCTTATACAAATGCTGTCAAACTCGAAAAAATAAGTCTAACCTATTTCTTCTGATTTCGCAACCTTTATTATTTTTTGTCGTGGATCATTGATATCTGTTACAGCTGTTTCATACATTAAAGACTTTAAGTGCCCCCGAAAAAAGAAGTCCATCGGATTAAAGTCTGGTGAGCGAGGCGGCCAAGCTAGAGATCCGCTCCGACCTATCCATCTATGTTCAAATGTCGATTTAAACACTTTCGTACAGCCAATGTAAAATGGGGTGGAGCGCCATCTTGCATTAACCACATATTTTGTCTCCACTTCGAGCAAAGGTAGTTGTTCCTCTTATAGAAATTACCTCCAAAACTTGCCAAACTGTAGGGCAAGTAATTCTTTCCTGAGCAGCAAGTTTTCTCGTATTCGTTGACGTTGAAGTATTCTTTCTTCCGTTGCAGCGGTCCTTTTATACCTTGGTCTCCCTTTATTCATATTATCAGGTTTGAATGATCCTCATTGATCAAGTCTTCTGTGTATGTTGATGAATGTCTTAGCTATTGGGATAAGCGTCGATATAAAGCCGTCGTGCTTGATCTGCATTTGCTCCTCCGTAGCAAAAATGCATATCGCGATATTCAGTGTTTGAATATTCCTGACGGGTCATTACAGTAGAAGTTGAATAATAAGATCTTTTAATAGAAACTAATTTTTAAGAGATTGTAACAATGATTTTTTAAAATTTTATTAAGTCCTGTTAGGTAAAATTACATTTGTGATTTATGGCTAAATGATAACACTTAAAGCAAGAGTAACAATTTTCGAGGATTTGTGATTCTGTTTAAGGCAATCTGTTCTATGTTGCAATATCAGTCTAAATAAATAGAATACACGGAAAATAAAAAAAATGTTCTACGTAAGGTAACGATGACTTTTACTAAATCAGAGCTGTGTGTAAAATAACAGGTTATTTCGTTGATAATTATTTTATCACGTTGAATCTTTCCTCCAAATTTCCGAACTCAATTTCAGAACACCTAGTCAATATTAATCATTGATTCGTTGAGGCAGTTAATATTCACCATTAATAAATTTATAATAATTCAAAGTAATAAAAGTTGTTCTATGGTATTGATAAATATTTTATATTTTGTGGGAGGTCCTAAATTTAAACATATCCTAGATTTAAATCTTCCTTCGCAACAAAAGGAGGAAGGAAGGTATTTCGACAGCGCAGTAGACGTCCTGGGTAAACCCGATTTCGTTTGTCAAACGCCAACAATAGACACAGCGGCTCAATCGATGAGGAAAATCGGACCGTTTTAAATAGTTGACTTTTTCTGCGGTTCACGCGTGTCTGAACTCGGAGGACTTAATTGTTCCAAAAAAAAAAAAGTGGAAACAATAGACAAACGGAGTAGAATGTTTTTCGGGTCAAACATTAGTCCACTTCATGGTTCCTGGCGATGAAGATCGCACAAGAGCAGAGACAACAGGAAGGGGCTGACATATCCTACAAAAACTTGGAAGTCATGGACCTATATCGCTATTAGATAATATAATAGTGACCCTACTACGATAAATATTGATGCATCGCAGGCGGAATTGATGTTTTCGTAAAGAAGATTATGATTTTCTTCGCATGCCTCTAGATTTCACCCACTAATCTGCATTGTGCGCCATTTTCTTTCTATACAGTGATTTCCACATACGTAACACGTTTTCCCAGAACATTTAACGAGATCTAGACATATTTTGAGAAAATACAGCAGTAAAAATGCCTTATCCAAACTTATTGGCGATCTGTCAGCGGCCATGTTGGTTGTTGAATGTCGCAAGTTTCTTGAGTAGACTAACCAAATTCTAAATTTCGCGCATGCACATGTTCATTGTACCTTCTCAATTTTTTTTTCATTGCTGCTTCATAAGTTCCTGTATTATCGACATAGGTGGGGCGTCTATACGTCTAGTAGCTATATGCAAGAGGTGTATGCACAGTCATTTCAAATCTCGACTTAAACCAATCCTTTCATTCCAAATACAAACTAGCAGCATTCAACAACCAACATGGCAGTTCGACATTTCGGTTTCACTTTAGATATAGCATTTTACGGCAATATTTTCTCAAAATGTGATCAGATCACCTTAAATGTGAAAAACGAATGTAGTGGAGATCGTTGTTGTTTGTGCAGGTTAGGTGAATCAATTTTTACCATCCTTAGGCTATCTAATAGCTATGTGAGCTTTCTTTACGTTTTCCATCTATACAATTAAGATGGGTACGTAATACTCGTGTTACGCTGATTGTTTGCTTCGGCCAAAGGAAACGTGGCGCTTTCTAACAAGTTACAGAAATGAAGTAACAACGATGAGGATCAAAGTCGTCGAATACGCTGATGGTTGGTATTCTTGCAGCACGCGTATTACGAAAAAGCGACAAGGACGGCGATCGCAACCGACATCACAGAAAGTAACAATAAATAACTTTCTTTTAATATTCATTTCGGTTACGCTTCCGCAACTTTGTATACCTACAATCCGACCTCAGTTTGTGTCGATGGGCGTTTCGACATTGTTTTATTCTTAAAAAAATACATTAAATATATATGCGCTTAAATATTAAAATTGATCCGTATTTTTGCGGCTCGGCTCTACAGGATCGTGCACACGCAGACGCACTCACGTCCAGGGCCGCAACAAGGCAGACATGCAGGGCAGCAGCAGTCTTCCGGATGGCAATGATGGCAGTGACAACAGTCTGAATCTTCGCAATCGCATTCAATCCCGCAACAGTGACAGTGACCCATATTTGTTTAGATTCTGCAAAAGAAAAATCGATTGGAGCTTTGATTTGCCTGCAAGAGATATTTTAAATTCAAAGTTCTGTCCATGTAACTGCTCTATCTCTATTTGCATATTTCTAAAATGTAAAAATGTCAAAGCAACACATCGTGTACACGTATAAATTAAATGCAAATTTTATTATCGTAGCGACTTCCACGTAGCTATTAGAGAATATAGCGCCCCTACTTAAAATTTTTGCCTAAAGATTTTTATCTAGATGTATTTTGAGAAAATAATACGTCAAAAATGCCATGTACAAAATTATTGACATCTGTTAGTGGCCATATTGGTTGAGTTCATTGATTAAAAACAAGATTTTAATTCTCGCGCATGCGCATGTTGAATAGGTCTTCTCGAAGCATTTTTCATAGTTGCTTCATAAGTTCAGCATACAGCATAGGCAAGGCCTTTATATCTCTATTAGCTGTATGGAACAGAACCCAACCATAAAATACAAGTAGCAGTGTACAGTGTACCGATTAACCAATTATAAATTATTTATCTGCTACCGTATATTTTTTTATAGCCTGTTTTGCGACTGTCGAACACAATGTATCAGCTTTCTGGCTAACTTTTATATCTGCGAAGTATCATTTAGAGTAAAATTAATGCTTACCTTTAATGCTTTCAAATGCACACTACCGTTAGCGAATTCGTCAACTGTTCTCCGAGTTACAGAGTGATCTGTATTTACGTTGATGTATTGAATATAATCTTATCAGAAACTTTCGATATGTTTGACTACATGTTTGTGAATTCGGAAAACGCATATATTTGTAAACCTTGAGTCACCCAGAATTGTTTCAGATTTTTTTTTAAGGTAAAACCCATCTAATTTGAACAAAGACGTCACACTATCAGCAGCAGGAATACGAGGGCAATACTAAAACTATGTATTTTCCATTGGACGGTTTTCATTGTACGGGAACTTTTCTGTTGGTTTCATTTGAATTTGTAATAATTTACAAGGTTGCTCTAAATAGCAACTCTACATGGATTTTGGATTTTTGGGAGGACATGGTGATGATTATGGAAAATAAATAAATTATTCTGATAGGTTGTTTTATTCATTATACCCTTCATAAAAAAAAATGCGGTAATTCCCAGTTAATCCAAAGAAACTTATTCCTACCCGACCGTTACTTTATATTAGTAACGGGGCAAAAATTTTATAAAAGTACATTTTTTTAATAGCGGATAAGGTCCTACATAAAATTAAATCTCGGGTTTTAAAGGATAGTGCAGCACACCACCCCCCTGGGCGGTCCTCCGTGATGGTGCGGTGGTCCGTGGTGCGGAGGTCCGTGGTGTGGAGGTCCGTGATGTGGTCCCCCGCCGTGTGGTCCGTGATGTAAAACGGGGGGTGCAATGTCAAAAGCTGCCATTCTTTACGCCTATGGAACCAGATAAATTATAAACAAAATTTCTCTGGAAATCAAACATAACAAAACACGCTATAGAACACGTAGGTGGATTTTTTCTTTAAAAATTATCTTTCAAAAGTCTTATTTCCTAAACAACTTGTCCTAACACTTTAAATATTAATTCCTACTTTGCTTGCTTTGCTTTTGATTTAATTTAAAAACTTTTCTTACCTACGATAGAGTTCCCGCGAAATTGCCTTGTTAACTAAGAGACTTGCTTTGAATCCGTGTATTATTGACTGGGGACAAAAATATTGTAGCGGGTGTAAAGTTGGTGTGGAATGAAAATCCTAGAATCTTATCTTATCTCCCTGCGCCGATATTATCAAAATCATTAGCAATTTCGTGTTTGCAACGATTGTCCTTAATGTGTACATCTAAATTCAATCCAATTAATCAAGGACAAAGCGTATCTGTCCAACAGACACTTTAGGAAGACTTTGGGAAGTAACTTCGACCATATCTAGATTCTGGCGATCTGGAGGCTTATTGATGGTCAATCAGAAGAGCAGCACTAGTTCGTACTGATCGCCGAGAGATGATCATACCTTCGATAGTTTTGAAAATTAAATGCCAACCTATTCCCTGATTTGATATAATTAACAATATGTCCTTTAAAATTGTTAGCTTTATCAAAATTTAGTTGTTCGATTGTATAATGCCGAGGTTAAATAATGACAAAAGTTGTACAGCGTGGGTTCACTTAGAAAATGCTAGAATGAATGTTAAAAGCGCATAAAAGAAAAAGAAATAGTTTAGCTTTTTATTTAATAATCTATTCTCTTCCAAAATGTATGACACAGCCATAAAAAATCAACAAAACACGTAAGCCAACATCCGAAACCTTACAAAATGGTGCAACATATTACAGATCTTCGTCGATGCCCATGGATATGGGGTGGCGGTAGAAAAGGCGGGGGACCGCTGTGGTGGTGATGGGGAGGGCCAAAATGACTTGGACCGTGGTGAGAAGGGCCAAAATGACCTGGACCGTGGTGCGAAGGGCCGAAATGACCTCCACCGTGGTGATGAGGTCCTCCCCCGTGAGGTCCATGGTGCAGACCATTTGATAGGCGTCCTTCGTTGTAGATCGCCATTCGCGTTCGATTTTTCTATTATAAAAGGAGGGGAAAAGATTTTTCAGGGAAATGTTTGTTATATGTTACACACACTACTTCAAGTAAAATTAATAAATGTTTTCAATGAGATGAATATAATGAGCGAAATATAAATATTATTGGGTACATCAAAATGAAATTTTTTGGGTTCATGTTAAAACTATTGAATCAGGCCCTTTCCTTCCAAGGTCTTAATTGAGAAGTACCATTTAAATATTGGTATTTTTTGGAAACTTTGTTTCAAGTCCTCTTTTTCGATCAAATATATAGGAGAGGGTGGGGCAAGGCGGCATTCTTAAGCTTTTTATTATCTTTTGTTTTTTTTTTGACTAACTTTAACTACATTTACCCAAATTTTGGAGAAGCGTCTGGCAGTCGTGCCCCACTCTCCCCTATTCATAATGTTATACATAATAATTATATTTATTTATTAAAAAGTATTTAATAAAAAAAAGCGTAATTGATTAGTAACGATTTTTCTATAAATTAAAAAAATTGTGATTGGTATTTATAATATTTTCGAAAGCTCCGGCTTTAGGCTAAATCCATAGAATTATCCAAAAAATAACACTTTCAATAAATTAATTATGATTCGGTTATAATAACATGGAATAGCATTTTTTTAGAATTTTTATGCGGTCCATTTTACCCCTGGTGTTACGCAAAGTGCTAAAAATGTCCAAATAACGAGAATTTATAACTATAACAAGAAAAAAAATTGGTTAATTTTTGAGGTTTGTCTCTTTGCCCCAGGGGGGTAGGGGCGCCTAGCTCCACCCACACCTAGATTTATAACGCATTTTGTTATCCGTAATATTAAAATAATACTTTCCGCGAAACACAGGGCTACAAAAAGAAATACCATCGATACTGTTGAAATACTCTTCGAAAGATGAGAACAGCTATTTGTTTTTTTTTCAATGTTCTCATGTTTTTCTTCTTTTTGCTCTGTGGCATGTAAGAAGGACTAATTTCTAAAGCAAAATCAATGGCACAGCAGTAACCATGATGCAGTCAACAAGAAAGTCACGTTGTAATTTTTTATTGGTACCATAGTATAAAGTTTTTTAAAATATTATTTCATATTGCAACGAATTCAGATCAATGATGAATTCGGCTGTGGCATACTAAATAAGCAAAAATATTTACCTTGGTACCGATGTACAATTTACACACTTATCACCAAACGTATGGCGGTACGACAGTTGCGATACATTTTTATCAGACCGCCGCGGGGAGATATCATCTAGTCATCTCTGGTTATCGATGTTGACAAAATTTTCACGAACCGACTGAGTCATCGTCGTGCAAATGTGTACGTCGATCCTTTACCCAGAATCGCAATTGTTTACCCAAACGAAACACAAATTTTCTGCGCAGAAAAAGGGACGCTATAAATTTCAATTTTCATTTTTTTTATTTTTCCAATAATGTGTCGATTTATCATTATACGGCCGCTTTAAAATATCAAAAATTGAACCACTTCGACGGTCTACAGGATCGTGCAGAGGCAGCAACAGCCGTTGTCGTCTGGAGGCGGTCCTTGGTGATGATGGGGCGGCGGAGGGTGATGATGTGGTGGATCGTGGTGCTGCGGGGGATGCGAATGGACTTCTTGATGGTGGTGTTCCACCCTGCGTTCCTGGTGGTGGTGCATTTCAACGTGGGCGTGTTGATGTGACGACATTTCTGGAGACAGGGTCCAAAGACATTTATTTATCTTTATCTGATCGTCTTGAGTACAAAAATAAAGAAAACTGCTTCTAAAATTGAATTTTCAAAAGATTATATCAAAAATGATCTCACCTTATTCTTTTGGTTTAGTTTAGAAAAATAAAGGTTTGGCTAAACAAATAGTAATTTCAAAGAGTGGATTTAAGCAACTAAAAAAAATAGCGTTAGTCATAGCGCAAAAATACGCCGACCAAGCCGAAAAATACAGGCATACTCGAAGAATTTTATTCCATCTGCTTTGCTTCACGTAAAATGAAAACAATAGACAACGGCCGTTGGTACTAAACGTGTTTAAATAGCGTGTCCATGCACGCAATTTGTTTGTTTAATTTTCCTTTTTGCCCAAATCATGACTTATTGAACGCTTTTTTGGTTTCTCCTTCAGTCCAAGTTCTATTTCGCTATTTGCTGGTGAGAACCATTGAAGACATATATAGATATTTGAAACTTTGATTGGATTACTTTTTTTATGGAAATTAGAGCGCGATTTTCAAACAAATGTTTTTTTGAGATCATCTAAGCTGTAGGTCGTTAGACTTTTATGAAGATAATATCTGATCTGAATTATAAAGGAGAAACTGTAACGGCGTATTCAGCGGATAAAAATAAATAAAAAAGTTCATATCATCCTAGACCATTTCATTGACATATTCTGAAAAAATCTTTATTTCATTTTGGCATGAATAAACTTGTTTTTATTTAACCAGGGGAGTTCGTCAAAAGGGGTAGGCCAATTAGGTGCACATGCAAACAAAATTTGGTTTCTTGAAAGCGGTTCGAGACCATTTTGTCTAGAATCTATTAACTAAACTGCTATAAACACATTTCCAATTATTGAAATTAATCGGAACGGTTTCACGAACGCCTCTGGTTAAATAAAAACAAGGTTATCTATTCGATATTTTTTTTAAGTGGCAATAATTATTACTAAATTTGAAAGAGAAATCTAGAAATTTTTTTAATATTAAGAAAAAAGAAGCATTTTAGGATATCATTTTTTTTAGTTATGTTTATCTGATAAATACCTTGTTAAAGTTTCCCCATTTTAATTCAGACCTTTTTATAACTGAATCGCGCTATATATTTTCTGCAAATGTTTCTCTAAAATGCAAAAACCCTGAGGTACAAAGTTATAGTTTGAGTTGCCCCATGAATCTATGTGAAGATACATAGTAGTCAGCGGTAACGAATTTGGGATACATTGTAGAGATTTAATCAATAGCCCGCACCAAATCGATGTACTAACTATATTTAAATACTCACTGAGTTTTTGCTTAACAGTTGTTGCTGCGGATAATTTACAAAATCGATTACCGAACTCCAACCGTCAAAAGTTAAATCACATTTTTATAAATAGGTTTGATTGGCATTGTTTTTATCTAATCAGCAGCAATGCGTTGTCGTTGATTGATTTATCTAATCCTATTATATGACTTTCCTAGCAGTACGCATCAAAGACCTTGGATCCGAAAAAGACAGAACGTTTTACTAGAGCCACAAGCACAAAACTTCCTAGTAGAATTTCGGCACTATGTTTTTGTTAGCAAACTAAATTGTCTTTATAGAATCGCGCAGATCCAGATGCATCTGGTTTCCGGTCCTGGAGGTCCGCAGCATCCGCTTGGTCCACAGCCGCAGCATCCGCCGTAAGGTCCACCACAGTTGCAGCACGTGTCGTCCTGTGGGGGCGGTGGCGGCGGCGGCGCGTGAGGCACCGGTCGCGGGGGTGGTCCCCAATGAAGGCCGCCAGCAGGGGGTCCGTCGGTGGAGTGTATAAATACACCCATGGGTACCCTGACGCTTGGTCTTGAGTTAGCTGACGGTGGTGGGATAGAATCACTAACGTCTCTGAGGTTGTTATTTCATCGACTGAAAGAGGCGATGGCGGCACGTAAACCGATGGATGATCGGATTAAGTCTTTATTACCAGTTTATCTTATCTGGGCTTAGAGGTCCGAGAAACTAATAATGCTTACTTCCAATTACGATCGATTTCCTTTAATTTTTTTAATGCTTTTCAATCCGTTCCTCTACTGTTTAGATAGGTGCATTTCTTAACCTAAAAAAATGCAGTTTTAGACTATCGTACGCATGTAAACTGTATTGACGCAGTGATTTGCTAACAAAAAGTAATATTTAATAGGTTAACAAAAGCGACTAGTTCTACTATTTTTTCTTCTAAATTTCATCTATGATATACCAAATCTTAACGTGAATCACCCTGTATAACAGGCACGCACCTCGGCCGTTTCGACCACTCGAAATATTTCCTGCCTCAAATCCCCTCTCCTCCTCCTTCGATAAAAAAAAACAAACGAAGAAATCCTCGCAAAACAAATCCCCTTTGTTTATCATCAAATTTTTCGATACTCCACCGCCGCGAAGAGAGGTGAAAGTGGCGTTGCGGGCGCAGCGTGAAAGTCTGTATCTTTCTTCAAACTCGCGATAAACCGCCATCTTCAGTCGACTGCGGTCGCCCCGTTTGTTTCCATCGCTGTTGCTGAGGCCGACAGCGCGCGCGCGTTCTTTTGTTTTCGCCGGCCCGATTGAAGAAACGAGTCGCATGAAGATGACAACGGACTGATTCTAAAAGAAGAAAAACGACTGGCAAATTTCAGAAACAAACATCGGCGTCGGAACGATGCACTATTGAGAACTTCCAAAGGGGACGCCGAGACTCACTCAAAGTAAAGAAAACGCCACCAGAATCCCCAACTTCATAGGTCGAGATAGCAGTAGTCACTAAATGGGATTTGGCCAGCATGAACAAAATTCATTCTACCGTCCTGACTTCGGTGTTGAGCGTTTTGCTGATCCAAGCTGCCGATCCTCCTTACGAGAAATTCCCTGCTTCATTGATTCAGCTCTTGCCAACTTCTGAGCAAGTTAGACCGAATATAACTACGGATAAAGGTAAAAACAAAACCATCACCAAACGGTTGTACGAAGAATCGTCTCCGCAGCCGAACGATTACGATAAACTCCTCGAGCACAACTTTGCCAGGTCGCTGCTCAATCTTTACCAAAAGGAAATACATGACGATACAGCGTATGAGTCAGGTCAGATCCCTTACAGGATATCCAAGGAGGATTACGTGGACAGTTTTAAAATTTTGAGCAAGGACGAGCTAGATCTGTTGATCGAAGGTGGTGACAAATACCAAGAAGGTAGTTTCGAAGGATACAGCTACGATCCCCCGCCTGGGAGTGACGGTGCCACTAGTTTCGTATCCCTAGGTGGTGAAGGGACCTACGGACCTCCCTCGTATGGTGACAGTTATGGCGATTCGCCCCCTTTGCCTTCGAATGGAGGCGCTGAAGGTTACAGAGAACGACCTCCACCGCTCATCAACTCGGCGTATTCACCACCCAACGATGGAAATGGGCCTGCCTTGAGTGTTGACGGTAATGGTTATCCGGAGACTTTCGGTGGAACTATAGCCAGTGGTGAGATCTTGGTGGGTGGTTCCGAGTTTCTGGACAACGAACATTTGAATGGAGGCCACCAGCCAATAGGCAATGGTAATTTTCAAGAAGAAAAAAGAATAAATGGTGGATATCAAGAAATACCTCAACGTTCAAACGGAGAATATCAGCCAGATAACAAACAAACAGGTGGTGCCGGAATTAACGGTAACTCGGCGTCCAAGGATCAGTACTCCCAGCAGGAAGAGCAAAAACGTTCGAAGGAGAACTCTGCTCATCCCAACGTACAGTCTGGATTAGCGACCAACGATGCAGATAGTTTGAAAGGTTATAAAATATATCCGGTCGAAACTGCGCAAATTATAGAAGCTGATGGTGCCCAATCGTCTCCAAAGGGCTCTTCTCCCGCTAACGGAAAAATCTCTCCACAAAATGAAAATCGTTACGAAGGTATTGAGACGCCTCCTGGTATCGACAGCATACCACTGGAGGCTGAGGACGAATTCCAGGGCACCACGGATTCCTACGGAAAGGCGAGAGGTGCGAGAGATCACCGCACCAAGACTGCACTGGTGAAACGTACTGACATTTCCAATAGGAGAGACGATGTTTCGGTTGAGGATTCCGCCAAAGAACATATAGGGGAAATACTCCCAGCAAATTATAAACCGCAAGTGTCCAACGCCCTGGTTCTGGGGAGATACCCAGACCGAAGAATGAGGAAGTCGTACCAGTACGACGAGAGTTTCAAGCCATTGTCTCCTCCAGCACCGATAGTGCGCAAGCCGATCACTTTTCCTGGCGAAGGTTTCGACGGAACCAAAGCCAGACACGAGTTGAACGCCTATCGGTACCCCAGAAGGTTGAGGGGTCCTTATGATAGCTTCCAACCGTACTACGATCCTTCCGCGAGGTACCAGACTTTTCCCGGGTCGTCTAGGCGACCGAGGGTCATATTTCCTAGCGATCTAGTGCAGTTCAGGGAACCTGCCACCAGCGGGAACCATCAGGAGGAGGTAGATTGGTTGGCGGGTGATAACAGTCTGCAAGACTTGCAAGAGCAAGATACCAGGGATAGAGGTAGGTCGGTTCATTCGTTATTACTTTTATTTACGCTCAACACGGGTGGAATTAATAAGTACTTAGAATCCATAATAATAACAGTAAAAACAATATGACCATGTTAATATTAAAGTTAGCAACTTCACTGGCGAGTGAATGTTCCTATAAAAAATATTTGGAAAGGAGGCGTAATAGTAAGCGCAGCTGTTACGACTTATCACGTTAACACAAGATAATAGTTACTGGGCAGGAAATAGTGTAGACCAATGTGAAGATTTTTTATTTTAATATTATTTCTACCTAACTATATATTTTTCGACCATAGATCATAGACCATAGACATAGAACTAAGAAACCCAAGAAAAATTATTAGACCAATGTAATGTACTGCCAAATTATGTTTTACGAGTGGGAGGACCACGAAAACAAACCGTCGAAAATTGGTCGCAATTAAAAATTGAAAGTATCGCGATAATGATGATGATGTCCCGTGATGATGTCGACATTACGTCGAAATTTACTTTCACCCGGAGGAACCGGAACCGGTCCGGTGCCACCGTCATCTTGGTCGACGAGTGGCGCCAAGAGTTCCGAAACGCGGATGTAAAGCGTTGACTTTCAGTAAAAAAGTGCGCTCCGTAAATAGTACACTATTTAAGCGCAGGAAGAAAAGGAAGGAACAGACGTTTTCCTAACCCTTTATTTTAACAACGATTGCCATACAAATAAAAAAATAAAAAATAAAAAAAATATTATGATCGTTGTTATTATTGATTTTAAAATTATTCACATTTTTACAGGGGTAATTTATTTTTAAATTATCATTAATACTACAATTGCACCTAAATTTTGTTTTAAATAGTTTTGACAAGTAGAATAATCTGCGTTGTTGTAAATTTGTCTTTAATTTACATGAATCTTACTAAAATTGTGTTTGTTTTTGTAACAAAATTTCCAGATTTATAATTGCAGTATAATTACATTTAAAGAAAGGGAAACATGGATCCTTATTTGTATTTCACTTTACATTTATTTTCACCAGGCTGCCTTGATAATGAACGTTAAACTACAAAAATTTGTACCCGATTACGAAAGCGCTGAAAGACCACCAAAATTAAATATAGGTTTTAATTTAATTAGGAAAATTTTTGAGGAATGGGTCAGAATTTCTAAGGAATAAGTAAGAATTTCTGACATAAGTGTCGGCGAATCGAAACAGATACAGAGTGTAATTTTCAAGAAGGCAATCTCTAAACTGGAGGTAGCAAACATCAAAATATTATGAAATTCCAACATTTGTTTTGAAGTTTCTTCATTACTACTACTAAAATTGTAATTGTTAAATATTAGTTTGTGCTTGTTCCTCATACCTTTTTTAAGTGTTTATGAAAAAAGTCTGAAAAAATACGTTATAATTGTTAAAGGCAAATAAGTCTTCAGAGTTCCACCACGTTTTAAGCAGAACTCGACAGACAAACAAAAATATGATATGAAATAAATTTCAAGTTGGTAATTGTCATGTTAAAAAACCTAAAGCTGTATAAAATCTTTCTAAATTATTGAAAAAAATTAGAATAAAATCAAAATATTCAACGTCCTATATTTCCAAAACATTTGTATAAGGCAACTAGAGCCTAATCATAACATTTTTGTTTAGTGCCTCCACTTTAGACATTGCCCATTTTTTTGGAATTACAATGTATTTCTGATTTTTTGATTCGGAATGTCATTCACGACAGACTTATTTCAGAAATCCTGACTTCTCAGAAATTCTGACTTCTTTCTCCGAAATTCTCTCATGTTTTTCAGAAATAATGACTTTTTCTTCAGAAAGTTGTCTCTTCGTAGTCTTTGAGATTCATATAATATAGAAAACTACTAACCAACTAAATAAAGAGTAAACGTTCACTCTCTATTTAAATAAAAAATCGGCACTTCTTCGGGAAATTTTCAAGGTGGAATAACGCCAGAATGTGAACTTGGGCCTATAGGCCCAAAAGTTTTCTAGTTTTCATTTTTATTTTAAAAATACTCGCTATTTTCTGATCCTCTCAAATACCACTATGTCGCATTCAACCGTCAAACCGTAAATCGGTCACTGAAAATTGCGGATACTTCGAGAATCCCTAAAATTGGAGAAAAACACATGAAAAATCAGGGTTGGCTTGGTCGGTTCGGGATGTTATTTCGTTGACTAAAGCCAAAGGCTGAAAGTTTTCCTTTAGTTGAAACGGTATTCGAGTTAGAGTATCTTTTCTACTCTGAATCAAACTGTACCAATTGTGGTCCCATACGGCCTATGCTTATCGAGAACACGAATTAAGAGATAGGAGCTATTATAATATTATAATAACAATTTAAAAATAAACAAATAAAGTCACCGCTTGAAACTGTTAAAATTCGCACGCAGGTGACGTAAAATTATGCCCCCAAGGGGCTACTTGCGAATTCTTCCTCACGTGTTGGTTCTCTGGCGGGCTCGTCGACACCCCCTGCGACGGCATCTTGAGGGGCTGCTGCTTCAGGGGAGTGGCGAAGACTAGTTTGTTGAACACCGCCCAGGCTATAGGGACGATTGACGCTCCCCCCGAGTCCCCAAAAAGTAGACAAGTCGGATCGTTCGAGAATATTCGTAAGTCGTTTTCGTAGAGAACGAGGGGAGGCGGCCACGCCGAGCGTTTAACCTCGAACAGTCGCCCCGACGGGCGGGTTTGTAAACAGGAAAACGGCGTTACCACCCTATTTTAAAAAACTTTCGATGTCACCCTCGTACGTCGGTAATTGTAATTTTCAGCAAAGGTCGCCTGAATTTCCATCACGGGATTTACAAAACCGCCCAGTTTTTCGAGGCTATTAACCCCCTTGTAGCATGCTTTTCTCTTTTCGGTGTTCCCGTGGACGTTTCGTCAGAGGTAAGGGGCAGAGGAGTCAGGGAACTGAGTAGTTGTGTACATAAATGTAATATTTCACCGTTTTACTAACACTGTCGCTGTCGCCGACTTTGTTGCGCATGCTCGAGCGACAAGGTTGGATTGTACTAAAAAGAGAAAACATGCTCTACTAAGACGACTTACACGATGGTTTGTGGTGAGGAGTTTGAAAAGTGACCAATCTGTCCAGAAAATGGGTTTTAAAAAGGTTTCATCAAATAGAACCACCTTTCAGCTTCTATGTCGACGTATCCTAAGGACACCAAAAAAATAAAAAAATAAAAATAAATAAATTGCAAAAATTATGATAAACATAAAGTTGGTGGTTGAAATAAAATAAAATAAATAGAGCACGGACATGAACAAATAGGTTAACAACACATATCAAAATCATTAAATAAATTTATATAAATGCGTGTACTTTTAATTAATGATTTTAATGATTGTAATAAGTCACGTTAAACTGTATGTGTTTTTATATTCAAAATAAAATGTATAATTTCAAAATGTATCAACTGTATGGTCTGTTCATAGATATAAGAAAGTGACCAATTGCTTTTGAATGGGTTTATCCAAGGGTGGTCATTAACATATATTGCAACAAGATTATTACCTAAAGTTTCGGAATTTAAATTCAGGTAAAATTGTGGTCCGTAATAGAAAATAATTTTATACCTACCTGTGTTTAATATTCTTTGGTTTGGTATACTACTTAGTTTAAGTTCATTAGTAATCATTCTTATTGCGTGTGTAATAGAGCGTGTGTTGAATCGTGTGCGAATTAAGCAAAATATGTGCGAGTCTAGTGTATCTCAGGAGATGCTCCCGTCCAAATGTAGAAAACACTATTCCATTGAATGTATATTTGACTCTCATTGAACGTGGTGCTAGCAAGCAAGCATCTTTAGAAGAAACGGCCACATTGACGAAAATTCCAACATCAGCTGTATGGAAAATTGTGAATAATCTCATTTCAGCGAGGAAAAAAAGAAGCGATGCTGATATTTTCTCGAGTGTAGATGAAAGTGTTCAAGATATAATACGATGTAAAATTTACCAGTTATACGAGGAACAAAGCGTGCCTGTATTAGATATCTTAATTAGGACCCTTGAAAAAGATGAAACCGGTGTTTAGATTTATAAAAATTGACAAAAGGCAAGTTTTAATGGAATCTTTTAGAATTCGGAAATGGCGACTGGAATATCTAGAAAAAATTAGGATTTACAGAGAACAACAAAGGCCAATTATTTACTTGGATGATACCTGGTTCGACACTTATGATACCCCGGAAAAGGGTTGGGTTGACTCAATAAGTGTAAAACAAACGCGCCATCAAAAAGAGGTAAAAAAATAACTATTTTGCATGCTGGCTCTAAAGATGGTTGGATTCCAAATGGATTTTCTCTGTCTGCGAAAAATATTAAAGATTCTTCTCTGGATTACCATGAAGACAGCACCGCTGATTTATTTGAAAGTTGGTTTAAAAACAAACTAGTTCCAAACATTCCTCCTAATAGCGTAATTGATATGATATGATGATAGCGATAGTGATACTGATATATTATGTGAATAATTTTAAGTAATTTAAGTAGGTAATAAAAATAATTAAATAATAATAGATTTAAACATAAACATATACATAAATAAATAAATATTTTTTAGTATCTTTCCTAACAAAACCCCAAATAATTAAATTCTAGGCGAAGTAAGGCCATATTTCATTCTTACAGCTTGCCCGGGTCTTTCCTTAATTCGTATCAGTTAGTCGCTTTCTTATATCTATGAACAGACTTTACCTGCCTTTAGTGTTCTGATCATGGCCACATAAATGGAACAAACGTCGGCATAGCACTGAACGGATTTCAGTATTTGTATTACCTATAATCATTTTATTAATAAAATGTACCGTTATCAAATTTGGAAAAATTGCAGCCGTTGCAAAAATGAAGATATGGAAATGAATCAAAAAACAGTAATATAAAAACTGAAACGGCTTGACAATTAAAGGACAAAAAAATTATAAGGTCTAGTGTAGTATAACCAAGACCTGCGTAGGTGAAAATTTTTGTTAAAAAAGAATCAGTATTTTTAAATAATTAAAAATATGATGAGAACATTTAGACGGCGTTGAACACTTTACCTCTGTAGCTTTTCTAAATTTATACAAAGTTTAGAAAAATATTTTATTGTGCTATTTTTCCAAAGACAAAATTGTTAGGAAAGCGTTGGTTGATGCAGCTTTGGATGGTGTTTGTTTCCATTACTTGTGTCGCGCTCTGTAATTGAATTAACAAAACATTATTGTTTTTTGTTTTAATGGGTGGGATTATTTCCAATAAGTTGATCCACAATATGTGAGTTTTCCAGAGCGGCTGCAAATTTCTGAATTTTTAAAAGCGGTAATTGTAATTGTAATCCCGTTCAGACTTCAGGAATAGTGCGTCTCGAATTTGCAACAGCCTAAATATTTAAAAAGACAAATGGGTATTAAAAAATGCATCGCGTCACGCGGTGCCGAGAGCTAATTGCAAATACGCCGATTAATAGAAAACACGGAGATCGACGACCCCGCGGGCAATGGCAATGAACTTGACTTTCAATTTTTTTTTATAAATATACCAGCACGAATCCATCCGTTCCGGTCGGTCGAACTTATTTTAGAAGGTTCGACTGGTACTTGGTTATACGCAAGACCAGAAACTTCCGGATTTCTACAACCATTGTTACAAAAAAAAAAGATTTTATTATATTTTTTCACAGTTTTTATTGAACATAAACCATAAAAAAATAACCTGAACTTAATTTTAGTAGTAGCAAGCAAATCTTAATATTGCACATGCACCAACTTAAGCAATTTTTTTTTACATACATATTTTTTAAATTGGACTTTGCTAAAAACAGTATAGTAATCTATAACTATATAATTTTAAAACTAAACGGTATTCGGCATAAAATATCCTTCTACCTAAACAAAGTCAGTAACTAAAATTTTGTGAAATGCAAACGTGATGCCACATTTCTTTTTTAACGATCCAATGCTATTAGTCAACAAGATAGGAGAACACAGCAAATCAATGGGCCAAGTACCAAAAAAACAAAGTATATGATTATCTCTAGAAACCTAAAAATGTTTGAAAACTCCACCATAACATTTAATGCAAAGCCCATGGAAGTTTAAGTACCATTTGGCTTTGCGAAGAATCAGACATCAGACAAGGAAATAAAAAGTCGCATTGAACCGGCTCGATGGGCATTCTGGAGGTTTCTGGAGCCTACCTGTTCCGATTTTGACCTTAACCTCAGACTTATTTACGATTTAGAAGGTTGGACACTAAAGGCGAACACAATTAATAAAATGGAAGCCTTCGAGATGTTGCTGCACCGCTGCTGCATCCTAAAAATACGTCGGACAGCTAAGCGAATAGGAGCCCTAATTTCAACTAATTGTTCGGACGATGTACGAAATAATAAGAAAACAATTTTAAATTGATCTTTTTTGCCTTTTCGATTGAAAAATGAAATCACGCACTTATTTTCATACCAAAAAGTGCTATCGTAATGAATTATTTTTTTATTTCACATAAATTATATAAGAAAATATCAAAAACATACCGAATTTGCTGACAAATGAATATTCGGACGCATTTAAATCTTTTACTTTAAATCGAACATTAATAAGAAGTAACATCACCTTTCGCGGCAATAACAGCTTTTATGCGTTTTGGCATGGAATCTACCAAAGTCTTGCAATATTCGGGGGTGAAAGTGTTCGAAATTTCGGTGATTTTTGCCTTTAATGCTAGAACTGCACGCTGAGGATTGTTAGGCAAAGTCTTTTTCATCCGATGCCATAAAGTTTCAATAATATTCAAGTCGGGGCTGCTTGATGGCCACGATAAAACTTTCATATTATGGTCCCCAAACCACTTTTTTGTTGTTTTCTCAGTATGGCACCGTCTTGTTGAAATATAAAATTTTCATTTCCAAAAGTTCGTTCTATTGATGGAATCAAATTTCTTGATAAAATTTGTTGGTATTTTTCTACATTTACAGTACCATCAATGAACTCGTAGTTGCCAACCCCTTTACCACTCATACACCCCCATATCATAACACCCTGGGGAAATTTTACCGTGCGCTTTAGACAATCTTTGTGAAAGCTACGAATCACCCTTTTTCGAAAATTGCCTACACACACATCAAATTTTGATTCGTCGCTGAAGATAACGTTACTCCACGTTTCCGTTGTCCAGGATATTTTAGATTTTGCCCAATCTAAACGTTTTTTCTTCTGAATAGACGTTAATAATGGTTTTTCCTTTGCGTTTAACAAAAGTAGATCATAGAATAGTAACAATTTTTATATTGAAACAGGAAAAATTGTAAACTTACCCTATAAAAACTCAAACCAGACTTATGCATCCATTGTCTACAATATTCCCTGGAGACATTTAAGTTTGCCTCGTGATTCCATTGGGCTTGAATTTGTCCTAAGACGCTTCGTCTTCTAGTTTTACAAATCTTGACCAGAATACGACGATCTCTTTCAGTGATTTTAAGGGATCGGCCTGAACTTTTACCACGAACGCTAACACTAGCTGTCTCTCCATACTTTTTTTATAATATCCCCGACTGTTGATTTTCCAATACTCAAGTCATTTGAAATTTTTTGCATTGATTTACCTCTGTAATACTGAGATATGATAATTTCTCGCACTTTTTTGTTTGCTGCAACACCACTCGTCATTTTCTTATCAACTATTATACAAACTTGAAAGATACAACCCGAACTGACATCTCATTTATCTAAGCACACTACATTTTACCATCAATGCATGGGTAGCATTGATTTCTTGGTCAATAAACATTCGCGTCCAAATATTTATTTGTTCGCAAATTTGGTATGGTTCCGTTATCTTGCTATGTAATTCGTGCGAAATGAAAAATAACATTACGATAGCACTTTCTGTGCTATCGTAATGTGCGTAAATTGATCGACAAAGCAAAAAAAAATTAAATAGATATAAAAATGTCTTTTTATCATTTTTTGCATCGTCCGAACATTTAGTTGTTAGGGCTCATAGATCCTAAGACATGCCAATAAACAACGTGAACTGCTTGAATTGGCATTAAGAAGCGTAAAACGGTGTATCTGTGATAAATAATACACGAAATACCAATTCTTGCATCTGCTAATCGAAGGCAAGTTCTAAAGCCGGAGAGGGATCGCAAGGAAATAAATGTTAGACAGTGGACAGGGCTACACGATGTACTGTCGTTAGTACACACCGCAAGGAATGGAGAAGCAATGGAAAATGTTATTGCAAACATCGATTAGTCGATATGCACTAGAAGAAGAAGAATGCCAGTAATTAAATTACAGAAATCATAATCCAATAATTAAAAAATTAGTCAACCATGAACCGATTAAATGAATTCTATACCGGATACACTAATAAATGCATTTACTTGGTTATGTAAGCTCTAACATTTCTAAATTGTATGTTCCTATTAGTTTTTAGTAGTCAATTTAATATGGCTGGAAGGGAAACAACAGATTTTTGAGCATGTTACGTCGCTAATACGCTATGTGTGCCTAGATAACTAGTATGGTAATTTGTCAGTGTGGCTAAAGTTAAACTGCTACAAATAGCAGTTAAGTCTTGTCGCGGCTACACTAAAATTGCAGTTTGGCCCGCATGGTATGTACGATTCAGGAAATTCAAAGAGATGCAAGAAAGCTAAATTTTGGTTGGACGATTTCAGAAATTTGTAAGTCTAATTAGGCTGACTTTGTATTAAAAAAAATGTATGAAACGATTTACAAGATATTGGTAAAATATAGGCACATATTTTTGTTCTAACAATATGATAACATCAATAAATAAAAGCCGTTCTCTATCAATAAAATATATTGTAAAATATTGAAAAGAAAACTTCATAGGCAGGATATAAATAAATTAGTTTATTTTTTCTGAGTGATAATACTTTAACGATATTGTTTGACAAAACAAAGTTAAAAAATAAAACAAATTTGGGCTATCCAAGAATAATCGAAATTGACTTAAAACTAACAAAAACTTAAAAATAAATTGCGGAATATGTCGATATTTTTCTTAAATAAATTAGAATGAATAAAAACAACGCTCTTAATATTTTTTTTTCACAATAGGGGAGTTCAACAACTTAAATGAAGGACTCATCGCACTCGCCAAAACAATAAAAATTATTTTTTTGTTAAATGGTATAAAGAAACCGATTTACTTTCTATACCCGGAGACGTGCCTATTATTTGGCACTATAAAATGGAATGGAACATAATGAAAACAGAACCAATTGCGTATTTTTCGTCATTTGTGCAAAAGTTTTCTTCATTTGAGTCGAAAAAAGTCGTTTTGGCAATAGCTTTGAGTTGTTCACTTATCGATTTCATTAACAATTGTAAAAAAAATGTTTTCTTTTACTATAATGCCAACAGCCCAGGGCTGGGAAAACTAATTCTTACTTTAACTTAAACTAAAATAGAAATCACAACGAACGTTATTGGTTTCAGGTTGCGGCATACCAAACAGGCAGCAGGCACAGAGGCGTATCGTAGGAGGAGAAGAGGCTGGGTTTGGAACCTTTCCTTGGCAAGCTTATATCCGAATTGGTTCTTCAAGGTAATACTACTATTATTACTACTAATATAGAGTCTCGTATCGTACAAATTTAAAAATGGTCAAAACGTATCTATTTGACTATTAACGAATCCAACTAATTATAAAAATAATTACTAATAAATACAAAAAATAATATTGAATATTTAAAAATTAATTTATATATGAAATATTAATTTTTCAGTTCGGCGTAACGAACTGATTAAAACTTTCAACTTCAAGCGTACTTTTGGTCGGCAAACAAAAAAGCACCACCGACTCGAACCTAACCCACTTTCCATCTGGACGTCAGATTTTGATTTTCACGTGTCACGTACACTAGATTAAGTTAGCGATGATATCTTGGCCGGCATAGGACGACATTTCACCAGCCATTAGGCCAAGAACTGGGTTAAACTTTTTAGCCGAACCTCACGAAATTCACAACAATACGTATTGTTCCAAACAATTTGACTTAATTACGACGTTCAGTTCCCAAGTGATACGTTCGAGGTGCGCTTTTCTAATAACTAAATAAATGTTTAATTATCGGGTCTTAACTAAGGTGGAGGATTTCAAAATTCGCGCGGAACCGTGAGAATGACGTTGGGGTACCATTTGGTGCAGTGACTTCGAAACTTGCATTTTGAGGGCGTTAAAGCAGAGAAAGAACGAATCGATTGCTTTTAATAATCACAGTTTTACGAGGTTAGGTACGAAACGAATAAAAAAGTTACAATAACTAAAACAAATAAATAAAAAACATTAGCACAAAATATTTTATGTCTACTTACATGCATCCTTTTCAAAGGTGTTTTGGTTAGGAGTTAGAAAAAAATTTAAAACGATTTCCTCTCCCGCTTGTCTGACCAATTTATAGCGAAAATGTATTGGCAATTTCGAATTATATTTTCATATTGTTGACAGTACGACAATAATGTGTTAAAGTAAATAAATGTCATTGACAAGAAATAATAACAACCACACCAAAACAAAAGAGAAATGTAAGTCTCAGCTAATAAGATGATGCAAAATGCGAGTGTAGACAAAACATAGCATTGATTATCAGTGTCAAGGCAAATTATACCAGCGATTAGCAAGATAAATTGTAACCAATCAGGCATCTTTATTTATGGCGTATTGCTAGTCAAAGGTACATTCTGTCTAAATGCCGACATGTAAACATTCGAAACGTCTTTTACATCTGTGATATATTTGTCAAATGTTGGTAAAGTGGTAAAATGATGTCTTCCATCTTTATTTTATTGTTTTTTGCTTTCGTTTTGTTGTTCTGTTTTGAAAAATAATTTAAAAAATATGACACAAGTTCAATATCGAAAGATAAAGACACGGTGTTGTCGAAATAATTGTCATGTAAAAATATATAATTTTGTGAAAATCTGAACTTTTAGTTCTTATTTATTTTGATCGAAAGATAAGCCTGTATATTTATTCAATTTAATAAATATTAATATGGTACTTAACAATTACTTTTTGGTATTTGTGGAAATGGATTTAAATGGTCGGAATTTTTCATGAGTAATATACAGGTTAACCACCTAACTTTAAGTTAGTGGTGTTTTCTTGTATGGACTTAAATAATAGCATTTTAGTGAGACTGGAAAAAGTTGCTCGTAGTTAAATTACTAGTCATTTCTTTTTAATCTCACCTATCTCGAACCAATAAAATTAGATGATCAAAATAGCAGATTGTGGTGGTGGTTTGTGATTTAAGTTATATAAATCTAGGAGAATGTGAAAAATTGAATCGACTGCTACATTCTGAATCAAGAATCCAAGTTTGTCGATTTTTGTTTTGCCAAGCAAACATCACACCGCATAACAAAAAAATGATATACGCACTGATGATTACCGATTTTTATCTTCGGATTCGGATCGAGGGAAATTACGTCAGATGTACAAAATTACAGAATCGGATCTAATATATTATTCCATTGCGTTGATAACGGTAATTTTCCGATTTTAACGTCACGCCACGATAACCTGGCGGGCCTTCTCGGGTCCGGTTACGAAACACTCATTAGTGGTTATTACCGAAGAGGAGGAGTAGAAGAAAGAAGAAGGACGCGGGGCGGGCGGGTTGCGTTAATAAGAACGCCGAAACGCTCCGTAGCAGTTGCTTCGTTTGTTGTTCAATCGCCCAGCGGAAAAGAACAAGACCGAATACTTGAGGTTTTTTCCAAAAAGGATCTTCGGAAGTCGCATGCGTCAAATGCTGACGTCATATCGAGTGATTGAAAACAGATTCAGGAAGAGTGAGCCAAACCTGCCTGTATACGCAATTGTTCCAGTTGCCGGATATATAACGCTGAAAAATGCTTACAAATGAAAACTACCGGAAAGGTTTTCTAAAACAATAGGATGAAAAAAAGACTGTTGGATAGCTAGGAAGCTATTGAGCTATCCAAATAAAACAGCAGACTGACTATGTCATGTGCACGATGTATGAACAGAAAGACGAGACAGCAGAACACATCTCTCGCCTACGGTCATCAGGGAGATCACTCTGGGAGCTGTCATTAAGCTTGTGTAAAGCGGAGTACTCTGCCCAAGAGGAAGCTCGATGGACTTGCTGAGGCTGTGTAGGCTACCCTCTGCCACTTATACATATGAAGAAGTATTTCAATTCCGTCCTTTAAAATAATTCTGATATTAACAAGGGTTCCGGATCTGTTGGGGTTCCTGCATTATTATGGTTGCTTTAATCTATTAAGATGCTCGCACCTTATCTGTAACATGGAAGTCCTCGTTTTGAGGCTCAATTAATTAATAAACAGTTTCATTTTAGGGCGGGTAAGTTTAATGAATTAAATCTTTTAACGCATACTGATTTTGTTTCGGAGGTCTTGGAAAGTGGAAGACAGGTGAATTCCATTTATACTGACTTCTTCGAAGTCTTGCACAGAGTCTTTCATCACAGGCATGAGCTTAAACTAATCGTAAACTATGAACCTTTGATTTTATGGTTAGATACGCATTTATTTGATCGTAAATATATTTGTAAATTGGGTCGTTTTTTGCCAAAACCGGTAGACGTTATCTCTGTGGTGCCACGAGGTTCGCACTTCTGTTTAATGAGTTTCACGAATGTTTCATTCTTTTTTTAATTTTTACTGTTGACCTTAAAATAAGTCTTGGTGTTACTGAAATGGCAAAGGAATGCAGTCCTTTCTTTCTATAAAACTATAAAATTGGTCAACATAGTCTAGATTATGTTTCGAGTGTCAAAGATCTAGGAGTTACACTCGAATCATATAGATAATGCCGTTAATTTACCTTTCCAGATGCTTGGTTTCATTAGCCGTACCCAAGACTTCACTAGCATAAATGCTTTAAAAAAATTGTGTTCGACGACCAAAATTTTTTAAAACCAATTAGTCTACAAAGTAAACATTTTTAACACTTTTTATTCTGAATATGACTTTTATATCGGTGCGTTAAGGACAGACCGTTATATAATAAACTAGAAAAGCGCATAGTTTTCACTATCCAATTCATGGCATAGATTATGACATTAATGGTTTCATTTCTAAAACAGCTAGAATAGACAAGCAACACGGTCTTTTTTTCACAAGTCAATTATTTAAATCAGAAAATACTATGTTTCATGTAGTCTTGAGTTTCATTGAATATATTTAAATAACTTAGTAGTTTTATTATACTCTTTTAATGCCCCCAATCTAAGATTTTTTGTTTAATTTTATAAAGTATTATGAATTCATTTATTTATCTTAATTATTCTCTATTGGTTATGTTGAGGTCGGGAGTTTAACGTATATTGTTAATGAAAAAGTAAATAAGTAGAAATATAAACAGTTCAAAATTACGACAGTGATACAAATACGTCTTTAAAAAATAAGTTTTTGATTATAACTAGCAGCTATGGGATTTTGGATTTTTCCCGTTTCTCTGGGCACATTTGCCTAGATTCACAGTATTATCTTTTTATTACCGACTTAAATTACTATGTTTTTTCGCAGATGCGGCGGTTCTTTAATCAGCAGGAGACACGTGGTCACGGCGGGCCACTGCGTCGCACGTGCCACCCCCAGGCAGGTACACGTGACATTGGGTGACTACGTCATCAATTCGGCAGTGGAACCATTGCCAGCGTACACCTTCGGAGTGTCCAATATTCAGGTCTGCACCGTCTTTCCTTGTTCACAAATTTTTAGTTCTTTACAGTTGGTACCAAAAATTTTCCACCAAATAATCATCATATCTAAGAAGAGGTTATTAAGTGTAGATATTTATTTTTTGTTAAAATAGGCTATAAATGAAAGTATGTGTGTATGTATGGCAGAATCCTTCACGAGATTTATAATGTGTTACATAGAAATGGTAAATATATTTTATTAATATTTGGGAAGCAGTTGAGATACATGTTACAAGTTTTCTCCACGTCTTCGATGGATTCTGGAACGATAATCGAGATCAACTCCTAATTTCAGTGTTTTAGACATTAATCCAGACGTAGCTATATCTGGTGGTCAATAAGATCGAATTCATCGATAAATCGATCTCACGGATATCAGTCGATCCGAAGCTACCATTTACTAATATCCGATTGAACTGCTTGCTAAAACGGCACTAAGAGCCTTTTATGCGATTATTAATTCTTCTTAGAACCCCTGTGCCTCTATGTAATGCGTTGCGACAATGTACAGACCTCTGCCGACGCCCAACGTCGCATCACTATTGTAGGATTTCGAAAAATCCTGTTTCCAACTCCCCGAAATTTCTCGTACACCTACTACCATCTTACCTTGTTGACGACTTAAATGTTCTCGTTGAAGGAAAGCGGGCGTGCTAAAGGCTTTGAAAACTCACCTGTCCAAAAAGTTTCGAACTTTTTCCGAAACTTTCGAAAAATACAAGTATTTTGTTCACAGCTACCGCACTTAGAAATCCGTTCCGACCACTTGTCGAAAAGCGTTTTTAAAAAAAATTATTTTTACAGAAAACTGAAAGAAAAGTTTGGGTAATTGGATAAATAAGCAATTGTGCGGTTTGTCGACCATAAATAAAGAAAAACTTTGTTTTTGGTGAAATTTAATAAATGTCTGGCAAGTTAAACACATATGCGTGTTGTAGTTTCATCGTAACCAGTTAACGCGAGATTTTTAATTCGATTAGTAGCGACAGATACGCTAGTTTAAGCTCCGAACCGTCGACCAAAGGTCAAGGTATTAAACAGTGAATTTCTTTAGAGAGAGATTCGTTCTGGGTTCACCTTTACCTTCCTCAAGAAGAAGCCGAAATCGAAAGTGGAGAGCGCCATTGCCTGGTGCGGGCTCGAAGACCACTTTCTTTTTGTAACGTTACGACTGATTCGGAATATAAATAACTTTCACTCGCCTCACGTATATAACACTATTATCGAAGAAATTGGTAAACGTATTGCGCGTAAGTGCCGAAGAAAGACAATGAAGTAACAGCAGCGGCGCGCGGCGCTATATTAAATATATTAAATTCTGGTTTGAATTTTCGTACCCCATTTTTCTCTAGGTGCAACGCATTTTATTTTTTTAAAATGTATATTTCTGATAAATTATTCTTTTAAATGGCCGTTGAACGCCCGATTGTATATTTAAGTTTTATTCTTAAGTTTAAGTTTAATAAAAAAAAAATGCTAGCAAGCTTTAACGTACCTCCAATTCAACGTTTTATTTCGGTAAAATATTTGTTTTATTACTTTTTAAGAAACAAATTTAATGATGAAAGTGCATAGAGAGAGAAGAAAAAATATTTTAAGTCGGTTTTCTCATTTTACTTGACCCCTAAAAAAAAAATCTTAAAACGTAAAAAACGATTAGTGAATGGCGACCAAGTAGACGACGGTACCTTTTACCAAATCTGCAAAAAAATTAAAATTTGAAATGAAAAAGTTAATATTTAACTTACTTTTTATAAAATACGTCATTAAACAACCGCGGGCCAATTCAAGCATTTTCCGAACTTTATTTTATCAGACGTTGTTTTTAGTTATTTAAAGCAGTGTTTTTATCGTGCAAATTAGAAAAAAAATCTAAAACCATTTGTTGCGTACAAAATAAAATCTTAAAATTCTTTACCTTATAATTTTATTTCCTTGGTTTCCTCATTTTGATCGCCGTTCTATTGTAGGAATCAGGGTAGTTTTTTACCCGATATTTTTCCATATGTCCCCTTTTTTAATCGTGCGCTCATATCAACCCAAGTTCCATCCTTACTCGTCTAATATAAACGGACTTTCTCTTTCATTCAAAAATAAATTAGCCAGGAAACAACATACACTTTTTGTAAATTAATAGAAATTATCGGGCATAGAAAAAATCGGACTTATCCAGTTGTTTCATGTCGTCGGTTAACTTTTATTTTGTTTCGATTGCTTGTCTGTTTCCCCATATTTTTTAGCCGATTTCCTGCTCGGTATTGTTATCGCGACAACCAGAGCGTAAATCGAATCGCCTTGGCACGTAAACTATCTACAATTAATGCTTTCGGTATCGTCGAAGAAGAAAAAATTAATTAAAAATATAAATAGCTTCAGTTTAAACACATTTTGTGGTACGGCACGACGACTTTTATTACCTTTTGCGTTTCAAATTGTAACGAGAAAAAACCATTGACATAAATTTTTCTCTATAAAAATATTGTCATTTTTATTTTTCTTTGAGAATATTACCGGATTTAGATTTATTTTATATGGGACATTATGGAACCTTGTTTACACAGTGAAATAGTATCCTTAGCTTTAGAATATCATTAAAAAAGATAATAATGAAACTATATTTAGGTGCTTTATTTATTGCTGTGGTCAGAAGAAAATAAAAAAAAATATTAATCCAGGAAAAAAAAAAGGTTTAATCAATAATATTTAGCAGTACATAAAATATAGAATAACTTTTTTTTCAAAATATATTTTCATAACAAAACGCATAAAAACAGTTTAGATCTTCTAAAAAGTGGTGGTTGAACCACTGCCATCGAAGGAAGTTTTTGTCGCTTACAAAAAAAGAAAACCCGTAAAAAATATAAGACAATATGCAATAAATTGATATTCAATGAAATAATAACAATTTCTGTATCAGCACGAAAATTTTATGTAACATTTTTAAATAACATCCACCTGTAACTTCGTATTGTGCCCACTAACTTGGGGTTGTGGAATTGACCGGTCAATTTTTTAATTAGTCAATTGACCAGTCCTAACACCAATTGAACCTAAACAAACTTTGACAAATTTATTCGGCCATACTATACTGCCATTCTATTATCTAATTATCTATTAAATGATTAATTATGAGCAAGGTGCTTTGGACACCCCGTATGAATTCCTATTCGGTTTTAGGTGCACCCCTTCTTTAAGTTCACACCCCAAGCGGATCGCTTTGACGTCGCCGTCCTCAGATTGGACCGGGCCGCTCACAATCTTCCCCACGTTATTCCCATATGCCTGCCCGCGAAGGGGGAAAGTTTTCTCGGGGATGTGGGTCACGCCGCCGGGTGGGGTGCCCTTAGTCCGGGCTCCAGACTCCGGCCACAAACTTTGCAGACGGTTCAGGTGCCGGTGATTGATAACAGGCAATGCGAAAGATGGCACAGGTTAGAAAACACATTTTTGCCCCAAGGAATTCTTGACCGATGGCGGATGCACAACCAATGTTTTTAACACGTAAAATAAGGTTTTCTACATTTTGTTTAAATCACTGCTTGTGATTTCGTGTAATTATAGTCATAAACGTATTGCAAGCTGAACGTGACGTTGCCAAATTACGAAATTTTACTTTCCCAGATCCAAAGGTATCCAGGTGACTATCTACGACGAGATGATGTGCGCGGGGTACAAGACAGGCGGAAGGGACAGTTGCCAAGGCGATTCCGGGGGCCCCCTAATGCTTCAGAAAGCGGGCAGGTGGTTCCTGATAGGGATAGTGTCGGCTGGATATTCTTGCGCCCAGCCAGGCCAGCCGGGAATCTATCACCGCGTAAGGACGCCCTATTTTTTAACAACCGCGGTGTTGCCACATAATCTTCATTTTCTATAGGTCGCGCATACCGTCGATTGGATAACGAGAGCTGTGGCGGCGAGATGAGAGACCCACGCGGACGGCCGAAACGTCGCGACACGCACAATTTTATTCAGCGCGATCGTACGAATAGTCCGGGACGGGAGAGGGGGTAACTGTGTGGACGTTCTTGAACGCGCGCTAGATGCTATATAATATATAGTTTCATACAGAAGACTTGCGGATAATTAATTTAAAAAGCTATAGGAGGGAACGAAAAGAGTGGGGCGGCTAGTATAGTGACTACCGGCCAAGTATTTAACGACTAACCGTTTTAAAAATTAAAAAAAAACTGTATATTTTGTACATTTTCGTAGTCGTAGATATTTAAAAGCTTAATTAAATACGATATATTTGTAAGCACGTTTTTACCAAAACCAATAAATAAGTTATTAATTTGCTTTTTTTTCGTTACGGATTCTGACAAATGTATTCCAATTTGGTTAATGGGAATGTTCTAAGTCTAGAGGACAGGACAGTTAAAAATGTCAAAAAGGCAATTCGGGCACTGTTCGCCAAAAATATATTTTTCCCACACCCGTCTGTAAAATACCTAATTACACACCGATCTAGCGTGCGGGAAGTGTCACTTTACCACATCAGTTTCATTTCCCATTAGTCCGATCAATTTCGGACATTTCCGGGATTTTACCGCACGAATTTGGGAGCAATCGGGTGTTTTCGGAGAAAAAGTATAGTATGCAACACGTTCGCTAAACTTTTTAACTCTCTGGTTTATTAAAAACTCGCTCCGCACGTGTCAAATAAACTTGTGAGTCAAATGCCGTTTACTGCACTTGTTGCATAATATACTATTTTTCTATTCCCTACTCTAAAATACCCAATTATGCGCCTAGGAGGCTTTGTTAAACATCGTCGACTTCGAGTTTTTCCGGTTAGGAGCATATGACTGCGCAATCATTTCAAATCCCGTTTACAACCAACGACAGGTTTCAGTTTCGATGGGGCATTTTTTCAAAATATGCCCAAATCTCGTTAATTGGTGTTTAGAAATAAAATGGAGCAAAGTGCAGGTTTGTGTATAAAATATAGAGGCATGCGCGTAAAATCATTCTCTTCTCTACGAAAATATCAACATCGCCCGAGGCCCATCAATTTTTACCGTCCTTGGGACACTATATTATCTAGTAGCTATATGGCTTTGAGCGATCGGATGTTTTTGGTAGACATTGACTGGACGTTTGTTAGTTCTGATGGTTCTACATCTGTGTTGTACTCATCACATCACTCGGTGAATGCCGCGCCGGTTGTATAAAAGTCATAGTAGGCAACATATTTAGAAATATCTGCAGACATTCATTTATTAAACACTTGACCTGCGCGTGCCTAAAGAAACTAGTGACTGATTTATTATTATCCTTCGAGCAAGACAATACTGAACTGTGAACTGTGGGATCTAAATCAATCAAGGAAACTGTGCATCGATCGAGTGCAAATTACAATGACAGAGTGCATCCTAACGTTCTAGCAAACCAGTTAAATAGGCGCGATGTCAATGAAATACGTAGGCAGAGAGTGTTGCCATCGGACATAATTACAGAAATCAGATAAGTATAGCCTTTAGATCACATAGGCAAACAAACTTTAGCTGTAAGATTTGGATTAATTTTTAATGGAGATCATTCACAGGAGTGATACTCTACGTGTCTTTATTCCTTCTATTCGAAACAAATGCTCGTTGCCCATAGGTCGGATTGCAGACTCTACTAGAAGTTATAAAAAAAGAGTTTCATTTATTTAACTCGTTGAGTAATATACCATTAAGAACTGAAAATCATTTTGTAGTGATGAATAAAACTGCATTGAAATTTGTTTTTTTTGTAATTTTTGTTAGGTTTATTTTTTCTTTTTTGGAATTCCCGATTAGACAATCATTATTATTTCTAACTTCCTATATCGTTGCACTTCCGCGCTATACCTTTGTTATGGGTATAGACCACGTAGCCTACCAAAACATTTAAAATAACTATTACTCGCTGTCAGCTATAAAATATAGCGTATTAATAAATCTTCCACATTCTAAGCAATTGATCCAAGTAACATGGCAACGAGGCTGGTTTTATCATTGTTAGTGGTGCTCATCGTAAGCGAGGTAATCTGGATAAATGTTGTTAACCCGTGTATTTGTGTGTATGCGTATTTCACTACTTCTGTACATGCCATGTGCAAAAACACCGCGAGTGTCGTATCTGGTTGTAAAGATTCATTTCATTTTGTCTTTGTCCTCCAAAATTTTGTATAGCTCTGTAAATTTCGCTTATTAATTGTTATAATTATTAATATTAAGTGAACTATATTATGTTTCCTTATATTGGCATATTGATTTGTCATTTTAAAACAAAATCAAATTTTGTTAAAATCAGTGGAAAGTCTAAGAAAAAATTCAAAATGTAGATGAATTTCATATCTTCTAGCGATCCAGAAATATCAAAAATCGAAAAGTCAGCAGGATATTTCTAAATTCAGGCAATCGTGATGCTCTATGTAGTAACCTTTATCTAATTATTTATTTGTGAATTTTTTCAGGCATCTTGCGGTTACTTGCGGTACCCGCCGACGTGCCCGAACCTGCCGCCTCCGCCACCACCGGCCTGCGCCCCCTTGCCCAAATTTATATCTGAAAGCGCGGTGAACGTGCCTCTCCCCGTACCTCAGGTCATCCCACTGGGCAGGTTCTGCAACTGTCAAACCATTGCTTTACGTCCGTCGTTGGTCGCACCGCCAGCTTGCGTGACGACGACCCCCGCCCCCGCGCCGACGCCAGTTCCTTGCGCTCCCGCGCCTCCCAGCATAGCATTACCCCCCCAAGTTCTCCAAGCGTTGTTATCGAACTTGTACCCAAACCCTTGCCCCCCCACTCCCCCGCAGTGTAGTTATTAAAACCGATCGTGAATAAAATTGAACAAAAATTTTGCTAAAAGTTGGAGTTTTATTGCTGCTGCTGCTTCTGCGCATGATATTTATTTTTTAATAAGATCTGAGCTGATATATATATTACAAATTGGTAAATTGACGTTCTAATAAGAACATGGAAATTTGGAAATTAAATCGAATTTAATTATTTATCGTAACGTCTCAACTAATTCTGATTTGCTTTACAACCATCGTTGGTACTGAAGACAATTATCAGCTTCTGCCCTAAGATGTACTAATGATCAATTTTTAAATCAATTTTATTGGTAGAAGAGTTGATAATGCTTGTTGCTTGGCCGTAAAATGCTAAAGTATGAGTCATCCCATTAAGGTTGCATGGCGTTTATTTATAATATTAAAAATATGCGAAACTGGATAAAAAAAAACACAATTTAAAAGCTCTATATTATTTTAATGTTTAAAAGTACAAATATGTAGAATAGATGAACATGGTCTAGAAATTCATATAAAAGTGGTGTAACTAAATTCGGGCTTGCTTAGATAAATGAATAACTAACCTGCCCTGCAAGTGTTCACCATAAATCTGGAAAAAAAAGATAGTAACACTGGAAACACAAGGCACTATTTTTATTAAATACACAGTCTCTAGTTCGAATAATTATGCCACGCACATAAACAATTATGTAAAAAAATAATAAAAATATTATAATCTTTCACACTAATTCTGAGGTTGGTACCAACAGCTATACTAAGAACCCAAACGTCTTCGCGAATCCTATTTCTTTTAGTTACCTCAATTAAAACGTATAGACCAATATACCCTACAGCGATCGACATTTATTTTCCCATTCGTGATGACTCATTGATTGTTTGCACTCTTCAACACCTTGTCGCAGAATACATGTTGGCCCAACGGGTTTGGTCTAACCAAACACACGCGTGTATTGCTGGTTGCGGGCCACTACGCCAGTAGTTTGTATTTCAACGGGTTTTTGTGTGAAAAGTAGGACGTCATCTTCGACGATCGTCCCGTTACCTTTCTGACCGGTTGTTGTTTACCGTTGGTCCGCCGAAAACAACGCGTTAATTCTGGCGCCATTTTAGTTTTCGTCGCAAAGAAAAAAATATGAGTTGGGCCGTCGAAATCTAGTCATCTTGCGGGAAATTTTTCGAAAATGCGCGAGAAATGCGCCTCGTGTACTGGGTGTTTCTGTGTCATTGGCACGTGGCTATGGCATTCTGGGTTGACTGGAAGTGGTTCGGCGGTGCTATCGACGGCAATGACGGTATAGGAGGTACCGGTAACAGAACACAGACCACAAAATAAAAGCGCCATTTTTGTCCCAATTGTCATTCTAATACAACTTTGAATTTCTAAGCAAGAAATTTTTGATTTTTAGTTTGGTTATATTAATCATTTTTTTAAAATGGGAAACGCCTTATGATTTTCGTGTGTCGTTATTAAATAATTCTGCATACGGTTTTCATAGTCGGATATTTTTTTATTGAATATCCGATTTTCATTTCCACTAATTTGCGTTCCACGAAATTGAGTTACAAATACAACCAAAACTAAGCAAATAACGACTTTTTGGTTATTTCTTCTTTGTTGGTTTAGTTGAAGTTGATCGCGAAACATTTAATTCTACCTTACACAAGTTGATGTAGTTTGGCTATTAGGATAAAAATGACAGATGTTCGCTATTTTTTTTATGCGCACTGGACTGAAAAGCATTATTTACCTTCCTCTTCTTTTCCTCCTTATTTACTATTGACTAAGACTACTAGAATCGTTTTCCCAAATTTTCCTCATATTGACGTCTTCTGTTTCAGGGAGGGTTTTTGTTACGATGTTCGGCTATCCGGCAAAATGCGAACGGCAAGGGTTGTCACACCCGTGCACGTTGTCATTGGCGTGCTGGTTTGTCGGAGGATCGAGCCAGGAAGGTTGCGGCGCATCCGCTTGGCTGGTAGCGTGCTGCGTTACGTCTCGGAATGTCCATCATCAGGATTACGCCGCTAAAATTATCGAGCAGGACGCAAATACCATAGAGTACGGTAACGAGTGAGCGGTTTAAAAATTTGTATTGGCGAATACTTTTTTAGAACTAGGGAATCACCTGGTGTTGCGATACAAAGAAGACGTGACATCATTGAGGTCGACGACTTTTGCGGCTTATCGTCAGACAGGACGTTGAGGAAGCGGATTGTGGGTGGGAGTGAGGCCGATTTCGCACAGTTTCCCTGGCAGGCCTACATTAAAATTCGGGCATTCCAGTGTGGAGGCGTTTTGGGTGAGGAGAGGGGGGGAAGCAGGATAAAATTTTACCTTCTCTTGTAATCAAAGCCAATAACGCCACTTGGAAAAATAAAAAAATGTTGTTTAATTTTTTTCTTCTTTTTGCATTTTTATCGAGATAAAAAATAAGAATTTCTTGATTCAAAGGAATTATATGTTGAAAATGATATTCTTAGACACCTATAATTATATCACGTCCAGTCTCCAGAAATTTCGTCGCCACCGCAGCCCATTGCGTCCTATCCGCCAGAATGACGGACATTTTGGTCTATTTGGGTGAACTCGACACTCAGGACACCGGCAAAGTGGAAGAATTAGCACCGTCCGAATTGCACAGGGTAGGATTTTTTTCTACACAGTTTTCCAATCGCCGAGGTAGCAAAATTGTGATCTAAAGTTTCTTCCAAGGTGCGGAGGGTAATTTTCCATCCGAAATTTCGATACAAGGCGACGCAACCCGATAGGTATGACTTGGCCTTGTTGGAATTGATAACGGAAGCGGGCTACAACTTTCACATCTCTCCCATTTGCCTGCCCGACGAGGACCTCAGCCTCGCAGGAAGGGTAGCCGTGGTGGCGGGTTGGGGTAAAATCAACCCCGCGAACCACTTGGTTGGAACAAACTTGTTGAGAAGCGTTGCGGTACCCATTTTAGGTGAATATTTGCAATTGCTGTATTTATATACTAACCGAATTTCTAAAAAAAGTGTTTGATAGGAAAAATTGACAAATGATCGGCAAACGTTACTTTTGACAGAATACATTAAATATCTCATAACGTTAATATAACTATAATAGTATATTATGCAATAAGTGCGGTAAACGGCATTTGACTCACGAGTTTTTAGTAAACTAGTGAGTTAAAAAATTTACCGAATGTGTTGCATACTATATTTTTTCTACGACCGTTAGTTTTTGGGTACATTTTCTCAAAACAACACGAATACATTCCCTGATATGACCGTCACAATTGACAAACGTCAAAATTCAAAGCGTGGGAAATATCTCCGAAAATATCCGATTGCTCCCAAATCCGTGGGAAACGAAACTGACGTGGTAAAGTGACGCTTCCCACACGCTAGATCGATGGGTAATTGGGTATTTTACAGACGGGAGTAAAAAATAAAATTATTGTTATATTTTTGTCAATAGTAAGAAAACCATACAGAGTCAGCATTTATTTGTCACTGCATATTTCCGAATTTTATTTTTCATACCATTGGAGATATCGGTAGGGTTTGCGGAATAAGCAGAGCGGTTACGGAAGTTGGGTTAAAAACAGAACCGGAGTTGATTTGTGGTAGTCTTTTGTCACGAATCCAGACTTTTTATGAAGAATGTCAAACAAAAGTACAGAAATTTTTCAAAGAAAGTTCCACAGGCTACTGTAATACTTTTTACAAAACTTCTGGATTCCTGCTGCGTCGGTTTTTGGTGAGAAGAAGTTGCTAACGTTTCGCCAATCATCCTGTTGACTTCTTCAGAGCTTGACTGAAACTGGATCGCATTTTACTCTGTACCTGCTTATATATTATATATATTATATGGTATATACATACTGTCTCCAAATAACGGATTCCCATATTGATGACAGGTAAGGACCGCGGTTAAGATTGTTAGTTTGGAATGCTGTAATCACCTGGCATGTCAAATGGAATTTTGTCTTTGACGGATCGAAGATGAGAGATTTTTGGACAAGTGGAAAATCTGGTTTTGACGTTATATTTCTTTAGGATTTTTGATATGTGGTCAGTGTTTTAATTCTGGGTTCAGTGACTCGGGCAGAGATAGTTTTACGCCTCTGTAAACAAGAGAGTTGATTACCAATGATTTTTGGGCTGGATGGTGGTGTCACCATGCATTAAAGGTTCGGTCTGTGTGCGTAAGTTTTCTGTAAACACAATGACCCAATGTTAGGTCTGAGTTTCTATTAATAAGAATTCCTAAAAATGGGAGGTTGTTATTAGTTGCCAACTCAATGGTAAGACGTATGTTGAGGTGTATAGAGTTTAAATATCTAAGAAAATCTACAAGTGACTCTTGACCATGGGGCCAAATAACAAAAGTATCATCGACGTAGCGTTTCCATAATTTTGGTTTTAGATGAAAGGTATCGAGAGCTTTCTTCTCAAAGGCTTCCATAAATATATAAAATTCTTCGAAAATCTAGTTCCTCTTTACTTCGAGAAAGAATTCATAAGGCTCTTCTGTCTCTATACCTTTAAATTGCTTGCCTTGAACATGGTTCATGACAAAGCTTTAAATCTTCATTTATCTACTACCCAAAATGACCTTCAGAAATTTTAAAAACTAACGTCTATACTAGGAAAACCATCAAACTCTTCTCAACCTCCAAACACCATAATACATGTATCATCGCACTAACTTTCAGAAACGGAAAAATTAGGTCTTTCAAAAGGTTCCAACTTCGTCATTGCCCCACGTATTATCCCAAAAGAGGAAATTATTTCAAATGTCGAGTCTATCCTAAACAAACAGCCATCTCAAACAGCTAATGAAATTCGATTTGAAATCGCAAAAATTCTGAAAAATTCAAAACCTCCTAAATCTAATATTGGTGCGCTGGTACATATATTACAGTGTTTGGAAGTTGAGAAGAGTTCGAAGGTTTTCCTAGTATAGACTTCAACTTCAACTTCAAGGTGTTGAGACAGAAGAGCCTTATTGATTCGGGCATGACGAATTCTTTCTCGAAGTAAAAAGAAACTATAGAGAGAGAGAGAGAGCAAGTGTTTTCTCGATTTTGTCGCCGTATTCCTCTACATCCCTGATGACTTTGAGGTTGACTTTGTCGGCTGGAAAATCTTGATGTCCACATCCTTTTGTAAGTCTTTAATGGCTGCTTGTTCGGCCGTAATGGTCGTCCTTTTTCTTCTCTTCTCCAAAACAGTTCAAACTTTCCATCGAAACCAGTTTGACGATAATGACGATCTAATGCTGCCGCGCAGTCATAAATAATAATATTTATATAATATTAGATAAAATTCTGGAACATGTTATTATCTCTAAATTGAATGAAAAAATAGCTTAGGGGAGGATGGGGCAAGGCGGCGTACTTAAGCTTTTATTATTTTTTGTGGCTTTTAAACATTGTAGCGAAACAGATTATCGCGGGTAGCGGTTTCTATATTTCTATTTGCTGCTGCAAGTTGAATTATAATTTAATAGATGGTGCCCCCACGATTAAATGATTATCGTATCGAGCTCCAGGCGATAAAGCCGGACACAATAGTTCTTATTTTTCTAGATCTTGTGTAATGTGAGATATTTTTCATATCGAGAGAACCAGTGGCCTGTTATATCCCCGTATTGTGTCAATACCCTTTACAGGACGTTTGCCTGGTCTTTTGTTAAGGTAGATCGGATATTTTTGTGTTTAATAAAAAACAGACGTTACTGATTAGGAACTATTTTTCTATCGATTAAAAAAATTGTTATTTGTATTTATTTTATAAAATTTTCGAAAGCTCTGGCTTTAGGCTAAATCCCTAAAATTATCCAAAAAATAACACTTTCAATAAATTAGTTATGATTCGGTTATAATAATATGGAATAGCATTTTTTAGAATGTTTAAGCGGTCTATTTTACCCCTGGTATTTCGCAAAGGGCTAAAAATGTACAAATAAACAGAATTTATAATTATTATAAGAAAAAATGAGAAAAAAAATTCCACCCCTATAATCCGTTAATGACCAATAAAGTAACATAAGGATGAATTTTCAAGGGACCAAAAAACTGGAACAATCCGAGCGCTCTGAGCGTCAATTCATACCCAGAAATCTGATACACAAACACTACATCTGTATACAACAACTAATATTTTGGCACGTCCACGTTATCACCACTTTGATTTTTAGAACATTAATTCTCTTGAAACTGGAAAATATAAAACATATCGGCGCCAACTACACATCTACTACAAATCTTACGCTAATCGCGAATTCTTCTTCTTTTAGTACTAGGGATGCTTTCCTCCGCACATCTACTTTTTAACGGGTGGGCGGGGTGCCCAGGGTGCTTTATTGTTAACGTTTATACCGAGTGTTTCAGACATCAAGGAGTGTATGGCATGGCATAAGATCCGACAAATTACGGTGGAGCTCCACGACGAGATGATGTGTGCGGGGCATAAACTGGGAAAACACGACGCGTGCCTGGGGGACTCGGGGGGACCGCTGATCCTTTTGAGCAAAGGTGAGAATGACAAATAATATTTTAAACATTGAAAAAGAGAATAATCACTTCATTCTTTTTCAAGTGTATTTTCAAAATTGCGAAATTGACATTTGAAAATCAGCTTTAATTTAATAACACATTGATAGAATTAACTCGGTGTATCTATTATCCAAAAAACAACCGGATGTAAGGACGGCTCTGATGTTGGAAACATTTGGGCGTTGCACCGTGAATAATGCGGTTTTTATTTCAGGGAGGTGGACTCTGGTGGGGATAACTAGCGCGGGATTTGGCTGTGGGGAGCCCCACCAACCCGGCATCTACCACAAGGTCTCGGTCACCGCCACTTGGATTAGGAACGTCATCCAGGGTCGCCGATGATTTTATTTAATTTAGTCCATGCGTTTACTTGCTGTTATTGTAAATAATACAAACATTTCATTGGCATTTTGCAAAATTTGTTTGGTTTGCAACAATTACTTCGCCCTTAAGCCCTATTATCAATCAAATTGAAAATCAAATTAAAAATAGATATAGCGTGACTGCTATTAGAAACTGGTGAGACAATAAGTAGTTCACATTAACACTTTTTTTTTTCTAAAGAATTTAGCTTAAATTTATTTTGTTGCACTTTATGTAAATGTTTTCTACGCTCCCGGTATAATCACGGGCATTGTGTAAACATCGACTCTATTTTTTTGGTTTTTCCATCACCTAAAATGTATCAGTTTATCAAATAACAGGCGGATGCGCAAGGCGAGATTTTTCAGAGATATTTTTTTAATTCAGTTGGGAGGAAATAGCCAAAATTGGTTGTGTTTCCTTAAAATATCAAATTGCAGTATTCTTTTTTTTCTTCTATTCCATTCTATTAATAAAAAAAAATTACTCTCCCTTTTATTCGATTGGTCATGAAAAATCGAAATGTGGGAAAAAGACAATATCATAACCTACAAATTAGTTTTTTGCTACTAAACTAATATTTATTAAAAAATAATAATAATGGAGGACGTTAACCAACTTGCGTAGTGGTATATTAGAATATGCCGACCATGGAGGATGGTATAAAAGATTTTTTTTATTTAGATTGAGAAATCCTCTTGTTCAGTTTGTTGTGTTCGAAATCATATTTTTTTGTTCGGTGCTGATCTATCTGTTTATTGGTGGAAATGCTGTTGAATACAGATTTTTGCTTTCCAGAGAAATTTTTGGGTAATAGATATTTTAAAATCTCCCAGGGGGTTGAAATTTTTTCTTTTTTCAAACAATTGTGGCAGCGACACCCTAAAAACAGTTAAAATGGAACTGAGGTTTGAATCAATAATCGAATTTTCTTTGAGCCACGCGTGTTCATTTGTGCTCGACTTAATCGAGCAATCTATTTCAACCTTCGAATCGTGTTGAAGCGAGAAAAAAATAGGCTTCCTGTAGCAACCTTACATGGTAATTAAGCGATTTTCAGTCGTAATTTTCAACTCATTAGCGCAAAGCCACCACCGCTTGTTTTCTATACAGGCCGGCCGCTCAACCAAAGACGTTCTCGATTTGCTGAAAGAAGTGAATGTTGAAAAAAATATATTGAAAATATTTCAATATATAATACATAATAACTAAATATGCTAAATGTGATTTTTCGAAAAAAAATTATTTAAAAATTAAACGGTCAGATATAAAATTTGTTGAACCAAAAAATTTTGTCAATTGTTTTAAAGGAAAATTGATCGTAATAATTGATAATTATTCTCAAACATACAATATTATATTATATATTGTAAATTACAGGTCAGTTCTGTAACGATTGTTCTATTGCATTTGGGTAGTTAATGTATACATAAATATCGAAATATTTTATTTTGCTAAATAAAAATATAAAGAAATTAAGTTTATACGTAATAACCAATATTCTTAACAACATTAAAATGAAAACTATTGTAATTTACGCATGACATCTTAATAGAGCTGCCCTTTTTTGTATTTTATAAATTTATAAATAGATTATATAGCGAAATATCCCTTTTGCTAGGCGTTGTTAGATCGATAATATTGGATATCTATGAATTTAATTGATTAATGATTTATAATAACAAAATTCAGATTTTTCGACACAGTTTGAATAGGGTTCAACAAATTTCATTTATTCATGTATTTCAAGGTTTAGCAGAACTTTCTATAAAGAATAACTTTTTTCAAAAGACCAAGAATAACAAAGTCTGGAATATGGTGCCCATTTAATTAGACAAATTCCAGTAAGAGAGAGAGAAAGAATAAAAAAAAACTAACCAAACCAATTAAATATCTAAAACTAGTTAGATTTTAGATTTTAATAAAACTTAATATTATTCTAGGCAAATAGGTAATAACCAGATGACTCATAAAATCCATAGCTTATGACGATATTAACAAATAAATAATTTTTCATTGTGGCGAATGGATATGTTATAGAGTGAATTAGGACGTCCTGTATAGTACTGCGGTTGTCGACAGATTGTGCGGTGGTGCTTTCTCCGGTACTACGCCGACATTCCAAACCGTTGACTGAGACCTTTCTCGGGGAAAGTGTGTCATTACTTCGCTGACCTTAACCTGCTGTCATTACGTAGGAATATGTTTCTGTTGGTTACTTTGGCGGTATGGTATACGTCAGTTTGGTTGTACCCTGCACGTCTGTTACGTTTCTAAAAAATAAAAAAAAACGGAAATATCCAGAAATTAAATAAGGCCATTCTTTAATGGTATGCCAATATTAAAGGTGATAATTCTTAAGAAAAAAAACTTTATATGATCCTATGAGATTTGGGTTAGTATCATTTCCGCGTATAATCACTACATTGACAAGAAAATGTAGAAAAGTATAAAAAAATTAAATTAACTCAACGATGTGATGTGAGATTGACAGTTATAAACTGTAATTTAATGAAAAATTGTTTTCTTCAAAAATATGTGACACAAATCGCGAACAGGTGGGAATAAAAAAAAGTGTTGTGCACCTAACCATTCTTTTTCTACAAAATACATTTACCAATATCTAGATATCTAGAATCGTTTCTTAATTAACGGTTTTTTCTAAAAACTTTATTAACTCAATCAAGATTAAGATACGTTGATATGTTTTCTTAAAATGAATGCTTTTTTATTATTGAGAACTACCCTATATGAGTATGGTAAATTTTGATGATGGTGGCCATTATGTATCTGTTATCATAGGCACCATATTTTTGTTTCAAAATACAAAAATACTTTCTAGAAGTCCTCTTTGTCTTTTTTTTTGCTCTTTAAAATGTTGCTGTTGCCATATTTTTGCTTTATTATTATTATTATTATTATTATTATTATTATATTATTATTCGAAACTTAATTTACATATTTTGGCAAGAAGATGGTTCTGCTGATAAGATAGAGAATTCGGGATAGGATAACAATTTTTCGGACTAAGTGGGACGCCAACGTTTAAATCCGCCTGCAGTAGTTATTGTTGGTTTACTAATCCACGAAATTGTCCTACCGCTTTCACTTTTTTTTGTTTTTATTTTTGGACAGTCTATTATTGTTCGCGCGATGAAAGTTCTTCAAATTACGGGCCGATCACTTTCTCCCCGGCGTCAAGAGCATTTCATCGCCTCCGCACATTTTAATGGTTTAATTGTCCCACTTACACGCGGCATGTGACGCAAAAAGAACGAGAAAATCCCAAAAGAAAAGAAGGAAGAAAAGAAGAAGAGTTGTGCAATAGGTTCGCTGTCGCTTTAAGAAAGACGACGTCGGAAAAAAGGAGTATAAGTTATCCCGTACAAAAAGACGAAAATATCGTCTAAGTCCAAGAAAGAAAATAAGGAAAGGTTATCGCCTCATAAGGACCAATATCGAGAAGAAAAATTACGCAATCATTGAGAAAAAATAACAAAAAGAAAATTAAGGCGAAAAAAAATCTGTTTAAAAAAATGATAGTGCGATTCACAAGGGAAATTTAAATATTTAAACATTTTTGATTCGTTGGTTTGATTGTTTTTGGTTTTAATATTGTCATTTTTTGTAAGTTTAACTACTGGCGACTTTTTGTGTTTTGTTTTTCTCTATGTTTATCTTGTTACTTAATCAATTATTTATTTTTGCGATATCATCAGTTATAAATTCCAAAATAATCCATTTTTTTAAAAATAACAATAGCATTTTAAAATTGCAATATAACTAATAAACAAAAAATGAAGCATTAGATATCGACTCAGGTCACTGGCCTATTTTGAAATAGACTCACCATATCCACCAAATTAAAAAAAAACTAAACTAACCAAAACAAACCTGCAGTTTTTGTTATTTTCTTTCTAAACAGCGATCTCCACTTCACTTAATTCCTATATAATAAATATACGCTGAGCGATGTGTTCATGTTGTTATGTCAACTTTTATAATTTTATTGTTTGGAATCTTGAAATTTTGGTAGCAGGCAAACATTCTTTGCTGATCATGCTTGATTACTGATTCGTAAATTATCAACGGTTTGGTTATTAATATGTTGAGGTCTAAAAATCAGCTACTCGGACTTGCAAACTGTAAGCAAAAGCGCAGTGACATTTGTTTTTAAAATTGAAAAAATGTTTCAAACTAGTGACTATTATAACAAGTTTCCGTGATGTTACAGACATGTTTGATTAACTACACTCCCCTCCATTATCTTTTTATAAATACAAAAACAGCACTTGAACATTTATTATAAGAAATCGTTGGCATTTTCTGTTATTTAGAATTCAACTTGACCAGTTCCTTTTTCAAGAAAACCTGACGCCGCTCATACACGCTCTGATTACATGAACTGTCTAACCTTCCAACAAGAATTTCACAACTTGTTTCTGATAAATCATTTAGAAACTGCACAGTACAACTGGTTGCGAGTGAGTCGGGGACTGATAATTGACTTTTTTGTAGCAACAAGTCTAAGGATACCGAACCATTAGAAACAAAAATACATTTACCAAAGGTTAGGTCACTGAGCTATTCTACTTTGTAGCTAAAATGTTGTTCCAGCTAAGCATTAAATTTCAGATTAATTTTGAAGTAGTTTTTAATGCTCATGCTCATGCTCAATTTGGTCAAAATCTGTTGCAGGTATGCTGTGTTGGGCCAAACTTCTTATGTGTCAACCGGGTCATCGATTCGTTTCCCAGTCCGTTTTGCCTCCGTCCAAACTGTGGCTTACTGTTGCGCAAATTACAAAATTCAGACACGTCTATTCAATCGCATTTATTCCGTTATTTCAAACGTCGATTCGTGCGAACTCGGATATTTTTTTTTTCTGAGAGCCAATTAAGCACAAAACTGTGCCATCTTTCAGACGGCAAGCGTCTATTAATGGAAAACTAATTATCTCCTTATTTATGCCCACCCGTTGGGAATTTCATTTGTCGATTCTCTCACACTCTACTTACCCGGTCGCTCTGTC